TGAAACGGCATCATTGAACCAGTAATTCCAGGTCAAGGCGAATCCAAACGCATCATCAACAAATCGCCTGGTTCGAGAATTTAGTTCTGAAACGTATGAAGAGGAAAGAAGGCGTTGTTTACTTACCCAGCGAATGTGCAAAAGCTGCCGGCTACGGGCACGAAGGCGGACATCTCGCCGAGGCACAGCATGGTGACGAAGACAATTCCACCGGTGATGGCGTAGCAAATGAGCATAGACGCAGGGCCACCCGTCGCCAGCGATTTTCCCGTCCCGAGGAACAATCCTGTACCGATTGTGCCGCCAATCGCGATCATCTGCACCTGTCGCGCCGACAGGGACCGTCGCAGGCGGTCTTGCTGCACGTGGCGAGGGGATCCCTCCTCGTCGACGACTCCATTGCTCTCATTGGGCCACTTGTCGCCAGGGAAGTTCTCCACAGATCTTGTCATTTTGAAGATGAGTGCGAGAGGTCTCCCTCAATGATCCCGTCGCAGAGCCAAGTTGGTATCAATCTTGATGTCTCAGACTCAGATGTCACTCCTTATCAGAAGGTGAGGAATCTTGCTGCCGATCTTCTCTGCTTCTCCTCTCCGCCCACTGCGACCTTCTGTATTAGTCAGGGCGGTATTGTTCTGGAATCAATCGCTCCCGAACTAAGTTTGGCAGCGAAATGGCGCTTGTATATTCTCCCATCCCCGAAGAACCGAAGAAGGACATTCTGCTCCTTATTATCAGCGCCATCATAGAGAGTCTGCTTGTCATCCTTTGAGACCAGGTCGATTGCGTGCTCGCTGAGAATGTGATAGCTTCACGGTTCCCATCGGATCTCGCCGTTTCCGTTGGTCATACAAACCAGGATGACACCTTGTGGCTACGAATTTGGCTGCAGCTCATTGGCCACAGCCGGGGGATGATCAAACTCAAAGCAGTCCTGAGCAGGATTGTGCCGAATTGCCGAGTGACCTGCCCAAAAGCATCGTCTCTTTGTGGAAAAGAGTCGTCTGCCCGGTCTCCAGTATAAATAAATTGATCGCTGCCTGCAGTGTCAGGAGTCGTATCATAAGGGAGGGCTCCAGTTTCGGCCATTGACTCAGCAGAAAGTCACACCAGCCAGCTCTTGGCTTGCTCGAGTGGCCAAGTGCTGAAGGAAAGGCTACGAAAATTTTTCTAGGGACGCAGCCTTGTGAGAACCTTATTCGGCCACGACTCAGGACAACCGATTGCGTCAGTGCTGGGTATTTTGACGCTAACAGGCTCTGGAGGAGTGGAATTTTCAGGAGAGAAAAATCAATATGCGTGTTTGTGGATGGTGTTCGAAAGTAGAGGTGTATATTCACTTCTTTGAGTACTGAATTGTTCTACAAGTGATTGTATACAATATATATCAACTTTCAACCCAGAAGACAATTGGTATTATCAGTCCCAAATGACAATTGATGGCTGGCCACTCACTGATACAAATTCTTCGCTAATTTTTGGAGAGTGGTTGGCTCGCAGTGGGATGTTCAGAGGGAACTGACAGTACAAAAAGAAGTCAGGAGACATCATTGACATTGACAGGAGATCCTTCTGCTCCCCTGTGTTTCTCTCAAAAGTCAGTATCGACCAATTTCAGACCACTAATCAGGCCCTGGAATTCTCCACCTCCAATCTTGGCAATAGGTGCTTCAAAGGCCATCTTGTCCCACACAAATTTGTCCCCAGTCCATCCGATGACTGTTAGGAACTCCCTTGGAGCATCACTTCCCACGTCCAGATACGTTCTTGTTCCTTGTGCTCTCAACGTGGCGTTGGTCCATTTCCCAACCGGGAAGGTATAGTTGAGGGCGTAGACGCTTTCGCCGGAGAACATCATGACACTATCGACGGTCCCGTTGCCGTACCACAGTGCGCTGTCTCTGCCCGTAAATATAGGCCCCTTTGCATCCGAAGTGGGCTTGACACTGAATGAAAGGGTATAGTTTCTGCCTTTAGATTCGAGTGGCGTTGTCACTTCACACCCTGGCTCAAGTAGAACGCCTTCTGCGGTATTGGCACAATTTGTGGTCACGTCATACCCGTTGCCAGACGAATCCTTGAATTTCCCTTCGCAGTAGCGGGTACCAGAAAAATCGATGTCGATGATCGTCGAAGTCTTTGTTTTGACTCGACGATCGAGGTTCTGGGCTGGAATATGTGGATGAATAGCCGCGAACAAACCTGGATACTCATCCGCCGTCAACTCCCCTCCCCACTGCTTGTCGGCCAAAGCAGGGAGGCCATCGCGCCAGCTGTAATACGCCTCCAATACCGTGGTCGCATTGGGCCCGTAGTCGTTCCATTGCGGTGCTATATGACCGTATATCCTTCCATCCTCTCGCTTAGCGTTAGCTGTGGCGTTGTTGGAATCAAAGATATTCGGAGAAAAAGGCTTTTTGTCCGGCGCTCCGTGGAATAAGAAATCAAGGTTGAGCTGTTGCCCGTACCATTGATTCCATTTTCCTACGATGTAGACAGAGTCCCATGAGTTGAGTACCTGGTAACCGCTGCTGAGCCATTCACCAGCAAGGGCTTCAAAGTTTGCCCAGTGCTGAACTGAGACGTTACGGTCAACATCCCCATTTTTGGAGGGTGGAAATGTGCCCCAGAGGCGCATGTCCTTTCCAGATTCCTCCTTGATAAAATCCTTCATCTCATTGCAGAAAGTCGTGTACTCTTTAGCAAGTGCTCTAGAAGACTATTGTAAGTGACATGTCCCATGCTAAATGTCGTTGATTTAGTGTCGACTTACAGGTCATCCAGTGATTCATCCCTGTACTCATCAGCCCCAATATGTACCGTCTTGCTCTGGAACCAAGGTAGGAACGTCTTCCAGATTGTCTTCACGGTTGGGATGGTGTCAGGATGAGAGATATTTAGCAGACTGTAATCCGAGCTCATCCCTATTTCTGGCTTCCATTGGGAGATCGGAAGGGAATGACCGGGGCTTTCGATCTCTGGAAGCAGTGTGACACCCCTGGAGACACATTTACTCTGGATATCATCCCAGACTTCTCGTGTATAAGATTCATTTTGGCGTTTCGCAAGGCCTTCCACCGCAGGGTCATCCGAAAGGAGTCGGAAAGCAGAGTATAGACTCATCTGTCGCTCGTACCCGTATATTTTCACATTGTTATAAAGATTGTCGCTGAGATGAATGTGAAAAACATTCTGTTTGAAGAATGACATGTAAGAGCACAGCTCGATGATGAAATCGGGTGGATAATAATGACGTCCCACATCAAGCTGTTGTGATGCCGACTCGTTTCAGCAACTGGTCTTACTTTTCCATCAGACGCGCCGAACTTACCATGACACCGCGCTCTCCCCATCCTGGGCTATCTTTGCCTGAGCCAAAGGGAATTTTGCCCTCTCCAAGTAGTAATTGTTGGATAAATGTTCGCGTCCCCCACCAAACTCCAAGGGGACTGGCACCAGTGATGACAACGCCATCTGCCCCCACGGCAAGAGCATAGCCTTCGGAGGTTTCGCGACCAGCGACATCAAGATACTCAGATTCGTCGCCTAATGTTAGAAATAACTTGTCCGAGCCCCCGGCAGTTCCAAGTTCAACAGTGACTTCATGACCGAGGACATCCTTCAAATCTGCTGCGAAGGTATTGGCAAAGTCAGTTAGCTTAGGGGGAATGAGGGTCATGCCCTTTTCATTCCTCGCATCCGCATATGAACTGTCCACCACTACTGACTTGAGGCCTGACAACTCCCATGACTTCCCATCGACGTCCAATTCAAAAGGAACAGTTGGCAATCCAGGGAGCACTGCGGCGGATGTGGCCGCTACCAGCGTCAATACGGAGAATAGATTCGCAGGCATGACGGTAACAGTTAGTCATTGGTGTTGCAATAATAAGTGCACAGAAGATGAGTAACATGCAGTGCTTTTTAATAAATTGACAATGCCGAAAAATGATCGTCACCCGATGATAAACCCCACTATCTATGTAACTCCAACTCTCCTGGAACTACACACCTGGGATTGCTGTATAACGGCGGTGATTGCCAAATTGATTCACTGATATGGATCACCTTATCAATGACGAACCTGTACAACAGAACATGATAGGCGCGCCAAGAAAACAAGCACGTGCTTGAGGTCATTGATATGAGGTTCGAGTAACGTTACTGGCATAAGTGTTGTTTATCAAAGAGGGGTGAGCGGGTCGACAGGGTTTGGATTCAGGCAGAAGTCCATGGAGCTTTGTAGATAATATCCGTGGTCAATGAACCGATTCAGTGGCTTTGACTTGTTGATGGTGCCCTTTATCCATCGTATTTTAGTATTTGTGTTAATGGTCTGTTCTATCTAACACGAAGATTCAAACCCTGGTAACTCCCCTGGCAATTTTAGTGGCTAGATTGCAACTGATCTTCGATGCTCTATCTTCGAGGCAAAGTAAATTCACCTAAAATTCGCGTAAAGATAATAAAAAGAATAATAAAAATAGTTCAAAGAAAACAAGAAGTGCCCATTAGTTCTTCAAGATGAAGTCTATTGTTTGGAAAGTTGGATATGCTTGTACTTCAAACCGGCCGGTTATTTCGATATCAAAATGCCAATGAAAGGACACACAAAAGCCTCCTAAGTGACATATCATCTTACCCTATCATTGAATAAATCTTTCTTATCCTTAGGGCTCGGATGTCTCAAATCTTGATTTATCTGGAGCCAATTAATAAAGTTTGTGACTGCACGCACATTCCAGAGCGGTTGGGCGAGACACGACTGGATTAGTTTGGTTCAATTGAAAGTCAGCATTCCAGCTTCAGAGACACTGAGAGCAAAATGTCTGATCGTACAATCATAGGCGAACCCAAATAATACAGTTTACTGCAATTGGAATGGTTGACGACTGCATTATGAGACCTGATGAAATTTAAACAAGAGGAACCCCGAATAGTAACTGAGTGTGCTATTTTCGTTTTCATATCTGCACATCCGATCCGAGCTCTCGGTCAAGATGGGGTTGTCAGGAGAGGGGCTCCTGGTAAGTATGATTGATACATCGGGTTAGAGTTTTTTTCTTTTCTTTTCTTCCAACCAACTAATTAGGACACAGGCCTTCGAGTGGACGATGATTGCTGTTACCATTGCTCTTGTCATTGCACGTCTCCATTTGAGGTTCAATTACATCGGAATTGGGTTGGTTATGAGTGACTGGTTCATCTTCGCCACTTTGGTGTGCAACACAATGTTGACATGCACTGATACATATCTATACGTCCGGGGCGTTTGGTCTGAAAGCATCGACTACTACGTAGCTGGCTGGGTACTATCAGAAAATTACGAGCTTTCAGTGCTTAAGGTATGCCATAGGACTGATCTTCTGGAGCTAAAATACTAATTATGTCGAAGGTCTTCTACGCTTCAGTCTTCCCGTGGTATCTAGCACAATATCTCAATAAGGGAATATTGATCACGCTCTACTACCATGTGTTTGCCCAGCAGAGTGGCAGAATCCGGACATCACTTCATGTTCTATCATGTTTCACGATTTCCGCATTCATCGTCACAATCTGCGTAAACCTCCTCTTGTGTAGCTGGGGCTGCCATTGGTGAATATACCCATGCTTCGTGTTTGCTGATCTCACTGAACTAATATCCGTTAAGGACGGTGAGTAATCTTTGCTCATCGTCATGCTTGAATTTGCAGGACAACATAGCATTTGGGCTACATTTTGCCAATGATATCTTGAGTATGTATAACTGAAGATTCAATTCATTTCGTTGCTAATCGTAACACGTAGTCTTTATCTTCCCCCTTGTTCTAATCAGCCAGTTGCAGATGTCTAAGGCTCAGAAGATCAGCACGAGCATCACTTTTGGTCTGGGTATTCTCAATATCGGCATTACCTTTACCAGATGGCTTATCAACCAGACAGCGATTGGACCAGACGAAGACCTTGCCACCGCTCGTGAGTAATTACCCCTGTTCTAGTACTTGTCTCCTACTTAGGTTTTTAACACATGATAGAAGCTTTGTTTATCGCCGATTCTCATTCTGCTCTGATCATTGCAATATTACCCTCTCTGCGACCGTACTTGCGCATCTTGCGAATGGAAGATTCTTGGACTCGGTCGCCGTTGTGTCAAAGTCATGCTCCTGGTACCATCCGGAAAGAAACTGTTGTGACTCAACATATATCACACGCAAGTAGAAGCAGGTAAAGTTTGGTTCAATTGGCCATTGCATCGAGACTAAAGACTCACCGAGTTGACCTACCAGGGAAGAGCCAAGGTGTCATGATTGGGAACCATAGCATCTTGATGCCGACTATTCGCCTAAAGCATCCATAGTGACGGAATTCGTTTCAGCGCAGCAATGTTCAAACAACCACGAGCCCATCTATAAACGCCTAGCAGAAGTATCAGAATTCAGTTACGGCCTGACATGTGTGCAAATAGGAGGTTGATTTGAAGTCGCGGGCAGGGGAATGACGCAACCGCGTGGTGCCAAGTTTGCTGACGACGGAAGGATTTCGTCAATGCTATGCTATCAGAGGTTTTTACCTGCAGACAGAAATATGTTGCTACCCGAGGACAGCAAAGTTACAAGACCCTCGGCCCGGAAGGATGACGACTTGTTCCGGATTCTAGCTCATCCCGATTAGCCGAGGGAAATACAACCTTAGAGATCAACGGGCGTGTCGTGGAGCACGCACCTCCTTGATGAATAATGACACACCGATGCGGGGAAAATAAGAATCCGAGGACTCTGCTCACAGCAAATACGTACCATTTTTGAATTCTAGCGGTCGAGAACACTATCAAGTCTATCGCCAATGACCATGGACTCTAATACAGAGCATTCACCTGATGTGCTATGGAAGCCCTTGCCATCATCTGGTTTCCATATTAAAAACCTGATACGGATGGCGAACGAGAAACATGGAGCTGCTGTCACGGACTATGAATCGCTGTGGGCGTGGTCGACGAACGCGTCCACAGCTCCCACCTTCTGGATGGAAATTTTTGAGTATCTGGGAATAAAAACAAGCAAAGGACCGCATGCCGCGATGCAACCTCATGTGAGAGAAGTGGCATCTCCGCCACCCCATAACATGGCTAACCGAGTTGCCTAGCCCAAGGGGTCAGATTGGATGTATCCACCTGTCAAATTCTTCCCGGGGGCGAAGATGAATTTTGCAGAGAACATGTTTGCCAATTACCAAGCGGAGGAAACCGCGATGCATATTGTATCGGAAGGCGCTGACCATATTCGAAACGTAACGTGGCGTGAACTGCGTGATGATGTTGCAAAAGTCGCCGGAGCTATGGTTGCTTCAGGTGTAAAGGAGGGAGATCGCATCGCGGCTGTGATCTCGAACCGGCTGGAGACCATTGTGATCTGCTTGGCAGCGCTTTCCATCGGGGCTATATGGTCAAGTTCGTCACCGGACATGGGCGTGGACGGGGTGCTGAGTCGGTTGACCCAGATTCGGCCCAAGCTCGTGTTTTGTGAGAGCGAAGTGACTTACAACGCGAAGCTACGAGACCTACTGCCTAGCCACTGCCAGTGGACTAAGGTCTTGAGCAAAGACTCTCAGCTCACTAAAGTGGTTGTTATATCAGGAGAAAGGGAGATCCTAACGGAAGAGTATCACAAGATGACCACTTGGGATCGGTTCTTGGACCAGGACACCGGGCGGCCGTTGACATTTAAGCAGCTGCCTTTCGACCACCCAGCATTTATTGTGTACTCGTCAGGTACCAGCGGTCCTCCAAAGTGCATTGTCCATTCTGCTGGAGGTTTATTGCTACAAGTCAGAAAAGATTGTTTCTTCAGCTACGACGTCCGTAAAGGAGACACTTTTCTGCAGTATACAACAACGGGCTGGATCATGTGGGCCATGGTTCTAGTCTCCTTATCGTTTGGTGGCCGCGTTGTTATCTACGACGGCTCACCATTCGTTCCTGACTCTCTTGTTTTACTGAGGCTGGTCGAGCGACTCAGAATTAATGTACTTGGCACATCGGCCAAGTTTCTATCCATGCTCATGGATAGCGGGGTAAAACCGAGGGATGTGATCGACCTTTCTAGCCTTCGAACAATCACTTCGACAGGTAGCACTCTTACCGCAAAAGTTGCGAGGTGGTTCTACACGGAAGGCTTTCCCCAAAGCATCCATCTCGTTTCGACATGTGGAGGGACCGACTTGGCTTGCTCTTTAATCTCTGGAGCAGCAACACAGCCGCTCCATGCGGGAGAGATTCAAGCAGCAGCTCTTGGAATGGCTGTTGATATATTCGATGTCGATAATGAAGCTGGAGTCTCGATTAGAACTTCCGACACCCCGGGGGAGCTTGTGTGTACACGTCCTTTTCCTAGCCAGCCGGTTTCCTTTTGGGGAGACAATACGGGAGAGAAGTACAAAAATTCTTATTTCTCTAGATTCGGTGAGCGGGTGTGGGCACAGGGCGACTTCATATCCAGAAATCCATCTACAGGCGGCTATTTGACTCATGGAAGGTCAGACGGCGTGTTAAATCCAGCAGGTGTTCGTTTTGGATCCGCAGAAATTTACAACGTTATCGACAGCGACAAGGAAATTATGGATAGTCTCTGCGTGGGGCAAAGACGCCAGAATGATAGTGACGAGACAGTCGTTCTGTTTGTGCAGATGTATCCTGCATATAAGTTCACCAGCTCTGTGGTAACCAGGCTTCGTGAAGCTGTGCGATCCAAGCTCAGCCCAAGACACGTGCCGCGCTATATCTTCGAGGTTCCGGACATACCTCATACAATCAATGGGAAGAAAATAGAGATCCTTGTCAAGAAGATAATCAGCGGCCAGAACCCTCAAGTAAGCTCTACGGTTGCCAATCCGGAGTGTTTAGAATTCTACAAGCAGTTTGTCCACATCGAGCAGGTGGATGCTCAACAGCAGCAGAAATGGAATATCTCCCGGCTTTAGGAATAGAAAGAAACTGCAAATGGATCATGATATTGAAAATAATACATGTTTTGACTTCGCTCTCATAGCCCAACATTATCCTAGGTGACGAGGACTGTAGCCTCCGCCGGATGGCCGGAGCGTAAGTAGAGAGCCAGCTTCTTGATGCAACAATCCCGGGCCGGAGGATAACCCATGGCAGATTTGACGGTTCCTTGATTGCTTCCCGCTGAAGCTCAAAGCCCGTAGCCCCTGAATTTAATACTTGCACATTTCCATGATTTATAGTGATTTATATAGATCTCAACGTAGCTTGCTTTTGCTATTGAATAAGTTCGTTTGCAGAATACATTTTGCCACTATTATAATGGCTACTAATCAGTTCCCTTCCCTCGAGCCAGCATTCACGGTGCGCTTGTACCCTGGCAAAGATTATAACATAGGTGATTAGACACGACTTCTCTGCTGCTTTTATCAACACTCTTCTAACACTTAGACCAGGAGGCATCCTCAGCGGCGAAATGCTTAGCGCTTTTGTAAGCTGCGGAATGAATAGAAACTCTTAATAGTTTAGCTAAACTTTTTGCTTCGACAAAAGCCAGTTACATCTGGTAAAGTCACTAGCGAGCCCGGATTCGAAATTCCGCTTGACGCTGAGGTAGTCATGGGGTCGGATATGGCACGTACCGCACCAACACAAACTCACACGCGCATAGATGTGAATGCGATTTTGAGGTACGTATCAATGGAAATATTTTACATACGCTTGGTACCATTAACATGTTTGCTCGACAGAAACAGTGACGGTGCCCTGGTGAGCTACAAGTATACGGGAGTGGTTGAAGTGGACGAGGCACTGGCCGCCATTCTGGCCGGAGATCCAGAAGCCAAATCCACATCCTTTGGCAAGGCATTGTCCCACGTTACGTTTGAAACCGGATCAGAGTCCCTGAAGGAACTGAGAACAAGTCTCTTCGTGGGTAGTGCTAGATTTCTCATCGAGGACGGAGTCTTCTCGATTGAAACCAAGGTCAGTCGGGTCAAAGGGTAGTATTACATCCATACCTTTAGGGTGAAGATTGGCCGGGATTTGGGAAATGAAAGCGGGATTGTCCTCGGCAACCCTCACAAACCTCGGAGCCGACTTGCTGAATTGGGATACGAAGTAGCGCAAGGGTGATGTATCTATACCAATATGGAGGATGGTGCATGCAAGAATGCTCTGTAACGTAAATGATGATCTGGTCGCCGTTTGGTGAATGGTTTGTTGAATTGAATTCACATGACTGGTAACTTTTCGCCAAGACTGATCTTGAAGTACCCAGGATGCGTTACCTCCGTGGCCGGAACTGGCGGGAGATAGTCTACCGCTTCCGTGGAATTACATTGATTGAATGGAACTCTGCCCTTCAAGTGTATAATGAGTCTTTTCTCTTAAAATGGAAGCGAATGTTTTGATGATAAACCTATGAACGTGGCTTTGTAATCTATTACAACAAAAGTCATACAAATCACTGAAATTGAGCACTTGCCCTGACGCTATGAGCACCATTCTTCCTCACCATCGCAATGGATCTAGATATGATGATAATGACGTGGACGAGAGAAGTCCGCTAATCAACAATGGTGATAGGGGGAAAGCGACGGAAAAGCCACGCGATGGAACAGCTTCAGCGATGGCGACTTTTGGTCTTGCCTTCACTATCATGTGGATACAAGCTGTCATACGTTGGATCTCGTCTCCAACCGAGTTCCGACCGGCTCCCGTCTTGGGACCGGATGAGATTGAAACCTGGCGCCTTGTGTGCTTGCGAATCTTCGAAGCGCTAAGCGTCGGTGTCCTTCTTGTTCATATCTGGTTCTGCATCCTTGTGCCGGCTTTCCCGTACTTGAAGCAATTCAAGAGAACGGACAAGGCACCAGAATTTACACTTGATGGCCGGCATGTTATTGGAGGTCTAGTAGCTCTCTGCGCCGACGGATTCCTGAACTGCTATCAGTACATCTTCATGTGGAATTCGCACAGCATTAACATCGGGGTCTGGGCCAAGTTCTTGCCTTTTCATAACCATGCATCATCCAGCAGATATGCTGAGAGCCTTCTTTGGGGACCGCCTATGTACGTGTACTTTTGCGCCGGTTTTGGAATTGTTGGTTCCAAGATGGCAATGCCACTCAGAGCTCGATTTTCACAGCTGAGCAATGCCGGTATTCTCACGATTGTCTGGTGCATCGAGTTCGTATTGGATTTTATCATTGAGAACTTGGCTATCCGCATCACTCACGGATATGGGTTTGCCAAAACATACCGGCCCCTGACCCTCTTCCCGGGAAAAGTCTACCAGTTCCCAATCTATGAGTCCATCTTTGTCGCTAGTCTTGGTTGTGTCTTCACTGCCATGAGGCTCAAAGCTTTTGAGAATGGACGTTCTCCCGTTGAAGCCGGCTACGAACACTGGCACCCGCGTTTGCAAGATGCGGTGAGGACATTTGCTGTCATCGGATTCTCTGCTGGTGCAGTGGTCATGTTCTACCATTTGCCACTTAACTGGCTTGGTGTAATCGGAGATTGTCACGCTGATATGCCAAGCTACATGAAGCCGGGTCCAGTGGAGTAATATGAAGCCTTCTTCTGGGAGACGACGATCGTCTCATGAACGATTAAGAGCGTGGATACGACATCTAGGGGGATTATGGCAGCACGAAGCGTGGGATGGAAGAGTATAGGGCATGATGAAATCATATGTGTGACTTGTTTCATTTGATACTATAGCTAGGGCAATCGTGTCATTGATATACGTACTCGTTTAAAATGCTTCCGATGCCTGAGATCTCCACCTCCACTGTATCACCTGTCTTGAGCCATGCAGGTGGCTTCATAAAGGCTGCAACTCCGCCAGGGGTCCCAGTCAAGATGACAGTACCTGCCTTTAAGGTTGTACCACGGCTCAAGTGAACAATCAAATCACCAACGCCAAACTGAAGATCATCCAGCTTGGCTCGTTGCCGTTCCTCATCATTGACTCGTGTCACGAGGACCATGTCACCAACAGGCCCAGCGGCTGTCTTAGAAACGAGCACAGGACCAATAGGAGCGAACCCATCAAAGCTCTTCGCATATCCATGCTGCTGTCCGCTGATCTCTGGTGCCTGCCAGTATCGACTACTCACATCATTTGCCGCAGTATACCCCAATACGAACTGGAGAGCGTTTTCAGGGTCACTGACGTCCTTACAGTCTTGTCCAATAACAACAGCCAACTCCCCTTCATAGTCCATCAAAGTACATTGGGGGTTAATGGAAACTGTCGAGAATGGGCCATTGAGAGCTCCAGATGGCTTCGTGAAAACGGTGGGGTATGGAGGTGTTGGCCACCCTGCCTCAGCTATGTGCGTCTTATAATTTAAACCAATTCCATAGATAATTGGGGTGTAAGCCAACGGAGCAAGAACCTGAAATTTCGTTTGATATGAGCTCAAGGCGTACATGCGCTGGAAAAACATATGAAGAGCATACCTCGGAAATTACGGCTCTCTCCTTTGTTAGACTTAGATTCCAGGGTTCAGTTCCACGGTAGACGTCTACCTCAAATCCGATCAATGATCCTGAAGAAGGGGCTTCGCCATATCTGATATTCCCATCCGTATCTTTAAAACGAACGAGACGGTTGAAGTTGGGCATCATGATTGAAGTGTAGAATTTTAATGGCTCAATGATCACAATTAGAAAGAAGCTTCCTCTTGAGATTTTGCATCAAGAAGTAGCCTGTCGGATCCAGGGTATACCGAGCTGTTTGGGTTCGGCCGGACATAGGGACTGGCATCCCGATATCCAACCGGAAGAATGTCGACCACATAACCCTATGCTCCGGCATGCCGGTGTATTCCTCGGCCACTGTCTTTTAACACATTTTAGACATAGTTCTATACAGTCAGTCAGTATAGTGGAATATATAATCCTCACAGCTTTACGCCTCGCACATAATATGGTAGCATGTTTGATTGAATTAATTAATTCCCATCTGGCAAGCCTTTTTCATAATTTCGTACACAGTTAGGTTATCCGATAAACAGCCCCCTAATATTTTCGCCAACGCTGATCAAAGTTTTAAATGATTATATGCACTCACGGAGCCATGGACAAGCTATAAGGCGCTGCCCAAAGATTGGCCTTGCTCTCCGGGAAAGGGCTGTTCAAATATATCGAGCGTTGGAATCGAAGGCAGGAATGTGCACCAATCTTCTAGCCCCAGCACAGGGTCGAATGCGGACATCTGCGGAATGGAATCATGTGAGTTTGGGATTGTATACCTTGGGAAGGAGATACGAACATCTGCTGTTGCAATTGGATCTTGCGCAGAAAGTGATGACTGCACATTCAACGACTGACTGGTCGAGGTTGTATGGCCGTTCTCCTCCTTCACCTTCTTTACGAGGTTCCTTGCGTACGACGCAACCTCTCTTGGAAATGAGAGATCTAGTTTCGAAGAAGACAAAAACTCAACATATCCAAAATGACCGACCACGATGTCCATTAAAGCGAGGTTCGACGGAGTAGAAGGGCTGAGTGGGTTTTTGAGCACGCAAACGAACATGTTGATCAACCCCACAAGAGGAAAATAGAAGGTGAGCCTAGATATTTATCAGTATATAAGTTGAAATCCATTTGAACAGTGGAATTGAGTAGGTTACCAAACAGGCAAGGCTGCAGTGATCTCGACGTGTTGTACGGCAATTATGATTTGTCGTGAAGACTCCGCTACTACTTCAGTGCTTCTCTGCACCTGGGCCTTTATCTCGGGCTTTTCATTGTTTTGAAGATCGGGCCTATTCCAAGGATAACAAAATACCCCATGTACTGCAATCAACAAAGCATGGTAAGTGTAGTGGAGATAGAGCATATGCGCTACCTGCGTACTCTGAGGTAGAGAATGGGTTCGGAAAGGGGGCTGCCTCTGGAATGTGGGATCCAGCCCCTCTCGCCACATCTTAAGTTTATGATCGAGATCGTGAACTGTCGTCAGTAGTACATCTGGGGAATCTCTCATGGCTTTGACAGCACTTAGTCTCTTGGTGATAGAGGATGATAGCCGCGCGATACAGATAGTCTGCTTGACGAACTCCATAGTCGTACCGGATCCGCGCCTCAGCTCGGTAGGGACTAAGCATGTCATAGAGTCATCATCGATGGCCTGTTACTTGGTTAGATGTCTGCCATTTGATTTCGTCATCGTGAACTTACCGAAGGTATGCCTGATCGATACGCGAGATGTTTTTCGTACGCGTAGATAATCCACCAAAGGCATTGTCTTGAGAGAGTATCGGTGTGATGGTCTTTACTAGATTGAGATCCTCGCATGTGTAGTCCTTTTGCTTGCGCTAACCTAGTCGCGCTCGATACCAACATGAACTCAAGAGCAGGTGTTCCTAGTGCCTCGGCATGGAATGCCTTTGCGATATGAAATGAGTCTCTTGTTCGGCTCAAGTTTCTATATTCAACCAATCTTAACTTACCATCAAAATTAAGGCTTGGATTGACGTGATATCTGTGCTGACATATAGCAGCTCTGTATGGACAGAGAGTGCATTTTCAAAATACTTCCAAGACTGTGCCCTGGATCTGGAGAAAGACTCTGGACCGGAGTCTGCGCAAAGAAAGACTCGACAGCCTGAAGCATATATCGTGTTTCTTAATGCGTACCATGATGCATCTGAGCGTGAATCTGGATTCATCTGAAAATGATCTCGAAGGCGTTTTTCAAAATCATCTCTATGAATGATACCGAAGATTGAGTCAAGGCAGCTGTCAAAATATGCTTTCCACACTGATCAGTAATCTCGAAGTCTCTCATAGGCACAGAGCTTCAATAGGTACCATTTGACCACTCCATAGCCACCTCGTAACTGGGTTCTGGTGTTCTCGTTGGGCCGGCTACTTGGCCAAGAGTCTCTCCTTGCATGACTGTCTTTGATAACCGTCGAGCACTGACGAGGAAATCAGACATTCCTGCCTGGCTAGATATCCACTTGATCGCTGGAAATGTGCATATCGATAGGTAGGAGGCACACTCTTAGAGTAGTCAACTTTAGGTTAATTCCAGTTCTATCATTATCATATACAAATTCGCCACTGCTTACCTTGATTTTCATTCTGATCCTAGCAAATAATGTTAGCTATATATAGTCTTTTGAAGGTCTAACTGTAGAAGCGTATATTACTTCAGCCTCGATTGACGCAGGGTGTTCTGCTGCAGTTGTGCTTGGTGGCGAGACTGGCACACGAAAGTTGGTTGCTGCGCATATGGTATTCGTGGTTTGAACACTCGGTATCTGAGAACAGCTTGGATCAATAGTGATGGTATCTTGATCTAACGGCTGGCTGTAATCGATTTGATCTGGGAAAATCAGAGACATGGCAGGGTATGGTGAGGCCGCGATAGTCGCGCTGGAGACTTCCTGCGCCGATGGCGTGGGTTGTGGAGGTGTCAGTTCGGATGTCCCACCATCGCTGCTGTTTTGTACACTCTGCTCGATGTTTCTCATCCATGGTTCCTGTGACAGATCTGGGGAGTTGATCCTGCAACTTGGCCGGCTCTCGCCGGCAGAGTTCTGAGCAGCCGATGCACGGAGTAATTCTTCCATTCGCGCCAACCTATCCTCCATCTCTATCTCCCGCTCCTTCCTTTTTCTAGTCCTTTTTCGCTTCTCTGGAAAGACACATGGTTCATTATGATCCTGAGATGTGTCAGTATGTGGTGATTCCGGGCCGTTGATGAGTATAACTGACTGTACAATTACCACAAGGGAATATTCCACTACCTATGGTGAGATGACCCGTCAGCGTGAGGATACATAAATTATAATTTTTTTTTGACTTGCATTTTGCTTTTTTGACCCTACAGTATTCGCATGCGAGCGGACATTTGGTGGATTCGCGCTGAGGAGCCATTTTCACGACCGCCTCATAACTGATGGCCCCTAGCAGAGAACGTCGAAGTTCTGACCTTCCGACGAAGGTGCCGACAATTGTTTGATTTTCAGACTCCTGTTTTTCTGTCTCGTCGTGTATCGAACTAGGTTGGTGATCAGGGACTCGGGGTGGAGATGCAGGTCGGATTACCGAGGGTTGTAAGTATACGAGAGACGTACTGCTTATCCTGGACACCACCATTTAATGCGGGGAAGACATTACATTGACATGTCACCATGCGTATGGTGCTGTGCCATAGATACATAGCATTGATGCATAAAGGTCTGATGCCCCATTGCAGTACGTAAACCAACTTGTCCATGCAGGACCTACTTGTCATCCCAAAAGTGAGCTCCTAGCTTGCATCTCTCTGTGGAGGCGAAATAGCACTCATTCGTGGCTCAAATACCCATACCATAATCAAACCTAGAGAAATGTGTATCTGTACCTAAAGAAAAGGCCGAGAGCACTAAGCTCGGGAGGCGAGAATCTGGGGAAGCATGCCTACCTACCTTGAGAGCGGGGAGATGTAACCCTAAACAGGGAAGCAGAGTCAGGCCATGTCCACAGCTAGCTTCAGAGGCCTACTAGGGTGACGCTTCAACCATACAATCAAATGCCTTCCCTTGGTCAGCGGGACTGGGTTCGTCATTGGTCCGGGTGCTCGGGTCTAAAGAGTTCCGGCCTCCGGCAAACAGCAAAAACCCGATGAAACTGAGTCCAGAGAATTGAGGAATGATTACGGGAATGATTTGGATTTACATGAAAAGGTGATATGTGATTATACACGTCTAATGCGCGACAAAAAGCCGGAAGGGATCCATGTAAACCATGCCAAGATGAGCTTTGGTAAAAGTCCTATGTGCCAGATCGTATAGCCGGGAGTAGCATTGTGCCGCGTGAACCATCGATGGATGATATTAATAGACCAGGATACTGTGAAAGATTTTGAATGACTGGAATTCCATCATATTACTAACTTGTTCTTTTACACGATTTGGGTGAAATTGTCATACGTCAAGCTTCAGAATTTCAAGACCACACAATAGGCAAACGATAAGATGGCCCAGACGACATCCCTAAGTGGCATAACCGCTATCATTATTGGCGTAGGTTATGGCGGACTCTCCGCAAGCATTGAGCTCGCGCTAAAGGGCGCCGATGTCCAAGTCTTTGAATCTTATCCCGACATGACTAAACAAGGTATAAGTCAAGGAGTGTCATCAAAAGGCCAATGTGTTGACCCGTAGCAGGGGATGTGATTCAAGTGCCGGCAAACGCAACCAGGCTTATGAGCCGATGGGGTGATGTGTTGAGTCAGACTGTGAAGGAGTCAGCACTACCAACAGTTCTTGCAATCCAGAACAAGGACGGAAAACTCCTCCTCGATCAACAACTCCATACTGAGTTTGGTGGCTTCCCTAATATTTACAGTCATAGAGGTAGAATCCAAAAGAGAATGTATGACGAGGCCGTCAAGCACGGGGTCCGAGTCAACTTTGGAGCAGCCGTGACCGAGGTTTTTGAAGAGGGAGATTCTGCTGGTGTCATTGTTGGTGGCGTTAAGAATACCGCCGATGTTGTGCTTGCATCTGATGGAGTTCATAGCCGGACCAGAGGCTACGTCACTGGCGCAGTAGAAAGGCCAAAGAAGAGTGGCTTCGCTGTATATCGATCTTGGTTTCCTCTCTCCCAGTTGCAGAACGACCCCGTTACGAAGCCAATCTATGAGTCAAAGAAAGACTTGTTCCAAATCTGGATAGGAGAAAATACGCATGCGATTTTAACAACAAATCGAGCTCTCCAAACTGCAACATGCTTCGTCACTCACAAGGTAGGAACAATAATCTCACCCGATCTTAACTCTGTTAATTGCTGATCTGTGATTTACCAGGATCTCTCGGATGTTGTAGAGGACTGGAATCTCCCTGGAGATGTCCAGGACATGTTGGCTTGTGTAGAAGGGTGGGATCCGGTACTAAGACACATTATCCAGAGCATTCCTCCTGAATGTCTCATTGACTATAAACTCCTTTGGAGAGATCCTGTCCCGAAGTGGGTATCAAACGGCGGCCGTGTCTGTCTACTGGGTGATGCGGCACACCCTCACCTCGCCACTTCTGGCACTGGAGCCGCGCAGGCCATTGAGGATGCGGCTACGATCGCAGTCGTTCTGGAGAAGCTTGGAAAACAGAACGTTCCAATTGCTTTGAAGTCGTATGAAAAACTGCGGTAAGCCGAACAAGCTTTCCTGTTAGGTGCTATTTACTAATACCTACGAAGTTACGAGCGGACAAGCCTTACCCAGAGGATGGGATGGGAGACTCGCCACGTCTGGCACCAGACTGACTGGAATGCTGTTGCCTCAAACCCTGATTTTCTCAAGCTGCCCCAGCCAGCCTGGCTGCTTGGTGTGGATGCAGTTGATTACGCCGAGGAGAATATCGAAGCTGTGAAATCTCATTTGCTAGATGGGGCGCCGTTTCAGTCGAAAAACGTGCCACCCGGACACGTTCACGAAGATTGGAATATTGAAATGATGCTATCTCACGAAGGCAAGAAGGTGGATGAGGACTTTTACAAAACTAGAGAGTAGGGAGTTGTATCGAATGCATGTCAATGTTCTTCTCCTTCTACCACGATGAACAAAATGCTCTCATTAGCATGATCAAAAACATTTGCCTCAACTTCTAATATTCATAAGTTTACAGAATGTTGATCCTAAGCTTGGAACTTCAATCTGACTCATGGGAGATGTCGTGATGTCTGTCATTAAGGATCTAGTAGTGGCCTACTTGTAGTCGGCAAGTTTCAGTAGTTTAATATAGCCTTTTAACACCATTGAACACCATTTGTGTTATTAAAGTAACGCATTTTGTATTCAGGGCTACGGTGTAACTACTTAAGTTATTTATTTGAATGAGGCTTTGATAAATTCAGGCGTGAAGTTTCCTTCGCTGTCAAGGTTCTCTTGAGCATCACTCCAACTCTTTCGAATAAACTCTTCGCGGCTCTTGCTACGAACCTTGATCGTACACCTGAAGACGATTAGAAAATTTCATTTGGACGAATTCTCTGCTTCAAACTTACTCAAAATCCTCCGGTCGTACAATGAGGCCAGGAGTTACGGCGTCTCGATTGATCGGAATTATTTTGCCACTTGCGTCCCGGGCTCGTTGGAAATTGAATCCCCAGAGCAAGCGAGATACAGCGATAAATATATTCCTTTCGGCTACATGGAAACCCGGGCAAACTCTCCGTCCAGCCCCAAAGGTGAAGTGCATTCGGCGAGGAGAATCCTGGCTGATGGAGTTATTTTCCACCAGAGTTGATTCAGGTGTATACCGTGTCGGATCGAAGTCACGAGCGTTCGGGAAACGGTCATGATTGACGGTCCAAACCTAAACAAACATTCAGCCTCACTCACGTTTATACGCTTTAGAATACATGCATGTGAAGTAGATCTTACATTTATCATCATCATTGATCCCTTCGGGATTACCATCCCATTATAAACGTCGTCTTCTTTAGCAGCGTGTGGGACCGCCGCACTAATAGGACTCGGTGCCCCTGATGTTTTCAGCACATTTGCGTGTCACGAGAAGTATTCGAGTATACTGCTCACATCTGAATGTCTCTTCCACGACCGCACGAATGTAGGGGAGGCGGTCACGATCATCCCATTGTGGCAATCGATCACTCCCAATCACAGCGTCGATCTCTTCTTGTGCTTTTGCTTGAACGTCGGGAAACATGACCATGGCCTACTCTAGGGTCAGATTATGTGATGAGTTAATCCCGGAATCAGATTCTATTTCTAACCTTTATAAATCCCACAAGGGTATTCGCGGAAGTGTCCCTTCACGTTGTTAGCGTGTGATGAACAATGCATCCAAGCTTTAATCTCACATTGCAGCCCCAAAGCCATGTGCTGCGTTGTTCGCAATTTGGCGGTCATCTAGCCGGTCGTGGTCTTGGTCCATTAGCATGTCGCGGATAAAACCTGTGTTGAGGTTAGAAGGCGACAATTAACAATGTAACCATGGAACACACTGGGATGAGCCTCTCCAGATTCCAACTTCTCCTTTGCTTTTCCTAGTAGATCGTAAAATACTCGGTTTTCCAGTTTCTGAAGGTTTTGGAGCTTTCTTTTATTTGGAAGCACCCAACCAGGAAGAACTTTATAGAGAATACGCAGAGAAGGATAAAAGTCGACAAGCTGGAAGTTCAGAGCATCGGAGGTGACTTCCATCCACTATTAATTAATACATTAGTTTTCTAGGTGCTCAATAACAAAGCAAGACCAAAGCGGGGGTTCACATGTACTTCAAGGAGGTCTTTGACGTAACCAGTGTTGGTGTGAGGTGTTCTCCACCCATACAGCAAAGTAGTTGAGATACTGGCAGTATATCTCTGGATATGCTCTAGCCAAGCATCTGGGCGGTCAACAATGTCATCTAGAAGCTGCAGGCTATCGCAGTGCTGTTCAAAAATCATGTAAGCTGATCATCCTGGTCAAAACCAATGCAGATATAGACACTCACCTGATAAGGGAGGTATCTATCAGCGGACTTTACGTTTAAGCGGACGTGATACATCTTCCTCTGGCGCCGCCATATCTCGTCATTACTGTCACAGGATTAGCAAATCCATATAAACAACTTATATCTGGTGACATACTCTCTCAGTGCGATATTGAGATTATCTCCAAATTGTCGAGCATATAGGTCTGGGCGACATGAATAATTATTGCTTCTTTTCTCCAGCAGATCACGAATGACAGTAGGATCATTGAGGAGGAACATGTTCAAGTTTCCCAACTTCATCGTAGTAATAGGTCCATCTAAAGCTTAGTTAGCAAATGACTTTCTGTAGCTAAGGACAAAGGGGGTACATTCATTGATGGGCTAATTTTTGAAACTCAAGGTGGAAGTTCTTAGTTGGCATCTGATGCAAGTTGCCGAGAATAGGTAACGTGGGGGGTCCTTGGATAATCGGTCAGCCTAATTCTTCATCTTCAACAAATGTATCAAATGCATGCATACCAGGCGGGAAGTCCTTTGAACGACTCCTATATCTCAAAATCCTTGGCAGAGCATAAACGCTGCCTAGCAATACTAAAGCGCAGCATATCAAAGTAGCATGCTCTTGGGCGATTGAAATAATTGCCATCGTGTATTGCAATACTACGTAATACAAAACCTATCGTGGTATTCTTTTCTCAGACCCGAGCTTCTGCTCAGAGGAGCGCCTTTGATGTAAGGGAATCTCTTGGTAACGAACCGTGATCTAGGAGCGGACCATTACTTCCGGATCCGGATGCTATTTAAACATATGCCACACGGATTTTCAGACTTCGGGATGTGTTTGATAAGATGCCGCGGTCCCCCGGGTGTCATGTAGCTAGGCCCGTGGCTGGATATCGATCCCACTATACTTCAAACAACCGAATGGCTCTCAAGTCCCAGTGTCCCGCCCGAGCATACAAACGGAAACGGCTAATCTCTAGCAACTCATCTTATCAGCCGCGTCAACATGTCTTGGCCATTTTCAACTTTGGATAAACTCGTGGTAGTGACCGGAGGAGGGTCAGGTGAGGCCTAATACATCTACCAAGTCGGGCATCACTGACGTCAAAAACTTCAGGGATTGGGCTTTCTTATGCTGTCCTCGCTGTGGCGAACGGAGCCAAGTCAGTCATTATTGGAGATATAGCACTGACAGATGAAGCCCAGAAGATTGTTGCCGAAACATCAAACCTATCATTCCAACACTGTGATGTTACTCAATGGGCCGACTTGCAACGTTTAATTGATGTTTGCGTCACCAAATTCGGTGACGTTCCAGATATTTATGTGGCATCCGCGGGCGTTTTCGAACCAGTGAGACGACCAACCTCTCAGCATTCTGTTGAAAGATGTATCTGCTAATCTTCAACTACAGGCGTATTCCAACTTCTGGGAAGATCCTGAGCCACTTGAGACCAATGGGTACAAGCATGTCGACATCAACGTCAACCATCCAGTGAGTTCATGATCAAAAGGTAAAAAGAACGCTTACTGATGCAGGTCGATTTCCTTTCATAGATAAAGTTTACAAGACTTGCAATGAGAGCGCTTCTTGGAAAACAAAAACAGGGTGTCGTGGCCCTTGTCTCCTCCATTGCTGGATACAGCAAGCAGTATCCAGCTCCCATCTATAGCGCAACAAAACATGCCGTGGTTGGATTTACGAGGAGTCTGGGTGATGCACAGAGACTCCAGGGCGTCAAGGTCATTAGTATCTGTCCAGGGTAAGTCAAAGGATAGACGTCCATCTTAGAGCCCGCCCTAACATCTTGTCATATGATAGAATTGTAAGTACTCCCATTTGGACAACAGGCACACCAGGCTCTGGGGAAAGATTTGGTATTGTCGAAGATAATACGATCACACCGGAAGTGGTTGCAAAGACAATAAGCGAGGGTATCGAGTCTCCTGAGTATCCCGGCGGAACAATCCTTGAGGTATCTAAATTAGGGACCAGAGTCGTGCCGGAGTGGTTTATCCAGCCCCCGGGTATGGTTGATGGTAAAATGCCAGAGGGAACTGATGTCCCAGAGCACATGATCGTCAAGTCTCTGGCGCCGATCATGAACGTCACAGAGAGGGAGAGGGGTAATATGGCCTATCGCCACGAATAACTAGCTCTTTCTTCCTTGATCAAGACCCATGATCTACTACAAGAGATCAATTGAGACTTCCCAACCTTACTTTAGACGTCTGTCCCGTACTGCTACTTGTTTACCTCTACTACTTTCCCCTAATCTGCCGGTAAAACAATATACGTTCCGGCCCGAACAGTCACCCATTACGCACCGGGCCTTCGGGATTCCGTAACCCCTCAGCACCTTGCTTGGGCTGCACCGTATGCCGGAGCATCCTTAACCTATTAGACAATCTGATGCTTGATCCCAAGTAGCTATACCATTAGTAGACCTATTGCATCGCAACGCGAACGCGCCTATTACAGCCTGAACCATGAACTCAGATACCCCTATCACCGAATCCCGGCCTACACCCGAGCTGCATCAAGTTCCAGATGATACTGTCCTCATTATTGGTGGTGGGCCAGTCGGGTTAATGGTGGCCTCGGTGCTTGCATATTTTGGTGTACGAAGCATTGTTTTTGAGCGCAACGCTGAGCCGACACGGTGAGATTTTCCCCATCCCACATTACAGAACAAGTAACTGAAATTTGATTTGAAGATGGCCCAAAATGGACTTGACAAACGCGAGATCCATGGAGTTGCTGAGGAAAATTGGGTTGGCAGATCAGCTACGTGAGCTGGGTACGTTCCCCATTACTAGGTCAAACGTTTGCATGCTTGTATTGGCTAAACAGAAATCAAGGAGTTCCAAGTGAGATCCCGTATACTGTTCTGATGTCAACCGGCTTAAGCCAAGATTCTGCTTTCGCAAGCTGGGATCACTTATCCGTCGACCAGTACAGAGAGAACATTAAATCCATCAATGATGGCAGCCAGCCAGCTGAGCCATACTTGAGAGTCTCCCAGAGTATATTTGAGACTTGGATGAGAGACTTATGTCAGAGAAATCCGCTTATTGATCTCAAGTACGGCTACAAGCTGGAATCTATTCAAGAGCTTGAGCAAGGCGCTCGCTGCACAGTTGCGGAAGTAGGCCAAGGTGAACGTGATTACATTTCTAGTTATGTCATAGCTTGCGATGGTGCTTCAAGCCGATGCAGAAAGTCCCTCAACATAGACCTGGACGGCGGTCCAACGTGAGTTTCATTATATGCAAGACTGTTCTGAGATGTGTGCTAATCGACGAGGAATATAGCGAGGCCTCATTTCTACTCGTTCACTTTAAGTCGCATGATGTAGAGCATCTTCACAAGCAGGGGAGATTCTGGCATTTATTCATGTTTGCTAATGGCACTTTTGGTGGTGCCGTGATATCGCAGGATGAGAAGGTATGGAACAAGATCTAGCAATCGCGGTTCATTTTACTAACCCAAGTCGATGTAGGACATCTTCACTGTCCATTATCCACTCTTGAATGGCGTTGATGAGTCTTCTATATCCTCTGAGGACGCTATATACACAGTGCTTGGTGGATTGCACGAGCCGTACAAAATCAGGATCGATGAAGTACTAGTGAGATCAACTTTTCGGCCCAGTATTGCCGTAGCCAACTCTTTCGCCAGTCCGAACCTTCGCATCTTCTTCGCTGGAGATTCAGCGCACCAAAATATTCCAACTGGTGGATATGGCATGAATACGGGTTTGGGCGATGCTTTTGACATCGGTTGGAAACTTGCCGCAGTAATCAACGGACATGCTCACAGTGGCTTGTTGAAGACCTACGAAACAGAGCGCAAACCGATTGCGTATCAAAATGTGCAACGATCAGGCGTACACATGGGTGTTCACTTGAAAGCTGTACAGCTTCTGGGTGATAGACCCGAGTTGATCGAAAGCTCGTCTCCAGAGGGTGTCAGCCTCAGAAAAGCTCTTTCGCAACATTACAACGAGAATGATGGAGAGAATAGAGATATGGGCATTGAAATGGGCTACCGCTACGACTCTCCAGTGTGTCTTCCTGATTCGACAAGCACAAAGCCAGGGTGGGAACCTAGAGGGTATCTGCCAACCACATGGCCAGGTAGTCGTGCGCCGCATGTCATCTTAAGTGACAAGTCATCCATATTCGACCACCTTGGACCATTCTTTACATTGGTGGAGTTTCAAGACAAGGAAGCTGAGCACAGCAGAAGTAGATGGTTCATCATTGCGGCAAATGCACTCAACATACCACTGAAACTTACACAACTGCGAGGGGAAGCCTTAGCTGAAAAGATTTGGGAGCGACCTCTGGTATTAGTGAGGCCTGATGGACATGTTGCTTGGAGAGGATACCGTGTAGATACTTTATCCCAGGCAAGTGGGATTTTGGAAGCTGTTCTTGGTTATCATTGTTGAGAATAAATGAATTTCCTTTAGATTTTTCTTCATACGTTTAAAGGTTCATTCTGACAATCCAATTCGAAGTCTGAACATTTTCAGCCGCATCTGAGTGAGAAATAAATGACGGAGTTGTGTTCATTTAGTCAACAGGGGATCGGGGCTGTTGTGGCTTTCGTATTGTTAAGAAGAGTCAGATATCAAAGGTACAATCTGATAATAATTTACTTTTGTGAGAATCTCAATGACATACACTAAATACCAATACTAGTGTGCTCTCTTTCGCTGAATTATAACACCCAGAGGCTCTGCTTCCTTCCATGCTTTATCGATGATATCCGCATGCTTCTGGCTTCTTGGTTCAAGTACGGCATGAAACCGAGCAGGAACCATCAAGAACCCAGGTTCTGTCTTCAATACAGGCTTAATTAGTACCTCATTCTCATCCTTTCCACATTTGATGTTAAATGCCCAAAGAGTTCGCGCCATGTTGATATAGAGCGAATTTTGCGCAAGATGCATCCCACTGCAGATACGCCGACCGGCGCCATATGCAAAATGGTCTCGCGCGTTTCCATCAGCCAGATTTACGGATTCAGCAGTCGTATATTTGTCATGAAGGTATCGTGTTGGGTCAAATTCATCTGGGTTATCCCAACGCTTCTCGTCATAGTGAATAGCCCTATCCAGAATGTTAATATGGTCCGCGGTTGGAGAATAAAGATGCGCAGCATACCACCAATTGAGCATTACAACACTCCCTTTCGGAATGAAATAACCATCATACCAATCATCTTCTGTTGTCGCATGGTTCATCCCGGGCTTCGTGATGGGCCAGAATCGAAGTGTTTCCTTCACCATCGCTCGGATATAGGGCAGGTTGTCCTCGTCCTCAAATCCGGGCATTCTATCGCTGCCAACGACGCGGTCAAGCTCTTCTTGCGCGGATTTGACGATATTAGGATAAATTTGACAGGCCAATATCCAAGCATTAATGACGGTTGAGGTCGACTCGCTGCCCGCTTCCACCATGCCACCTGCAGCATATGCGGCTTGCTCATCATCGATGCCCTTTTTGTCTAGTCCGCTTTCATAGAAATCTCGAATAACACAATCAGGTGCTGTTCCATTTTGGATTTGCTTCACCAAGTCCAGATAAAATTCTAGGTACACTTGGCGGTCGTACTCGAACCATTCGCGTCCAATCTTCCACCAGTTCTGGACCATCCATGAGGGTAAACTTGCAAGCGATGGCAGGGCATCAACTAGCCAAGCTCCAGGCTCAGACATTAAAGTAAAATGCTCAAGAACTTCATAGATCTTTTTGATATAGCGGTCATTCCAGTCCTCAACTCGGTGTCCATAAGTGACTGTCATGATCACACTAGCTGAATATCGCCGATTGATGTCGTAGAATGCCATGTCATCTTTTGCATGCAGGAACTCGTACATGACTTGCTTGGACTCAAAATCTTGGATTGGCTTGTATGACGCAGAGGTGTTAAGGTTGAGGGCAGCGTGGCTGAGTTTCCTCAGCTTTCTCCATCGCTCTCCGTACGGCATAAATATTTCGCGATTTTGATTTGACGTGGCCTCAAATGCCATAGGCATTCGTGGACGGGACGAGTACTTTGAGCCTCGCCTGTCAAACAGCTCCTTGGCCACTGATGCTGAGTTGACCCAGATCCAATCGCCGCCACCCATCTTTGTGTAAACTATAGGGCCATACTCTCGAGCCCAGCCTCTCGTTATATTCGGAATTTCATCTGGATTCGAAAGTGATTTAAGATTCCCAATGAATGGTAGCCCTTTGGGTCCGGGGGGCAGGTACTTTCGTCGCTTGTCGTATGTAACAATAAAGGATATACCCAGGATAGCCTATCGCAGTCAGTAAGATCTTCCCAAAGCCAAGTGAAGCGAACTTACGAATGAGATGAAGATTAGAAACAAGGATTTCTTCAACATCCAAGATAGGTTCAACTGGGAAAGATGATCTACGATCTGCTGTTGCATCATCGTTACTCAATTATCCTCTACAATTCTAGGTTGGCTTATCGAAGTTTGCCGCCTCGTGGATGGTGCTGATAAATCTTAATTAGAATAAAGATTATATCATTCACTTTCCAATTTACAGAGAGGTTGACAATAATAACACACAAGCGATGAAGTCCAATTCAAAATTCACGGAAGGTCTTCATTACTTTGATTCCGGTTAACTACCTTCTAGGTATTCACCCATGACGCGATTGAGAGTCTGTCTCCACCGTTAGCACTCCCAACATGGGTGCATGTTCCCTTGGTCATTCCAGATGTTGCCCGGAGATTCCAGATAAACCTTGCCCTAGTTTGAGTGTATTCCCTTTCCTCATGGCCTGTTATTTTCGCTAGGGATTGTTGATATTGGAACCCGCGGAACAACCGCACCGTTCCCTCCGAGGGACAGAAACAGGCCGGAAACCGGGAATGAGCACCCGCCTGCAATGACCCGCACCCCTCTTCCGAAACCAGGTACTGGGGGGTCCTATTTGCAGAGACGGGTGTTGATTGACATGCATCGTTTCCTCTTTTAAGTGTAGGCAACAGCCCTGGCTCATACTCGGGTCGTAAATACCCCATCTTCCATAGGCAGTCAAAACCAGTGCCCCATCCAGCGGAATAATCAGGCTTATTACAACTTGGAAATCATATTTGTTGAATTATTGGCATGAGCCGTTACATGGATCGTCTTATGTCTGAAATGAAATCCATTACATGACACGCGCGGCTATACTCGGGTGCTATAGAACTTGGAGTAGATTTAGACCACAATAGAAACTCTTACTCGTCTCTCACATTAAAGTCTTCTGAAAGCTATTCCTTCTTCTTGAATTCAACAGACTCAGTAGCCTCTTGCTTCCCAGTGAAGTCCGCTATCTTCGTCGTCATGTCAACTGGAAAGGAGTAGTGCTCATGAACGTATTTCCATTCGCCTCCATCAACCTTTCGTAGAAGTGACGTGGAACGGAACGAGAAGTCATAGGGTTCGCCATCAGCAGCTTTGCCATCCACTCGCTGCACAGCTGTGATATAGCCAAAGCTCTTTGTAACTGCCACAATCTCAACCTCACGAAATTGCTGATTGGTTTTTCCCAGGTATGGCGTAATACGATCATAGTGAGGTTCGAGATTTGGGCGAGGTACAGTACCCATCAGGTCAAAAATGGAGTAGTCCTTCAATTCGAAGAATTTCTTGCCTGCCGGAACATCTGTATGGCTGACATGATTGAGAAAGTTGCCAAATCGCTTGTAAAACTCTAGGATCTCTTCCTCGGTAGTAGCCAGTTCCAGGTCATGGTACTTGTATCGTTTAGTCAAGGAAGTAGGAAAACATCTAGACGAAGGCTACTCACTTTGCTTGGAGGATTACTCAAATCTTTGTGGAGAGCATCCACGGTAGTGAAATCCGTCTACAACTCTTTCAGTAAGGGTACTCATATATGGGCTGTGCAGCTCACCTCTTTCTTCCAATTTGCCATTGTGTAATGATATTTTATGTTTTCAAGTCACATATGTTCTTCCCATATTGTCATAGCGGGTGCAAGTATGGTATCTATAATATAATTGGCTGTGGATGCAAGGTCCCCAACCCGGCCTTGTTACGTCCGGCCTCATTATTCACTCACGGCCCGCGGAGACCCGATGGATTTCACGCCAGATCATATAAGATCACCACAAGATATTATGAAGTCACGTAACATGGCAAGCTCAGAAGATGACGTAGAAGATATCAAAGTTAAACCGCGGTGTAATCATTATCGATTAAACAAAGATAGTCGAAAGCAGGAACGGCTAACCCTTGGGGGACGCAATGTCCTTATTCTGAGCCTCCTAAACAGAGAGCGAACATCAAAAATAACATGGTAAAATTCATACGTCGTTCTCCGCATAAACTTCAAGTGGTTGGCAACCCAATGCATTAAATGAGGTCATATGACTCTCTAACATCTCTAGGCGGAGGTTTTGGAATAGTATCCAGACCCCGAGGACCAATGTTTGCTCTCTTCTTGAGGACCTTCTCATCTCCAGCCCCCAGCTGCTCAATGAGAATTTCCGGATCAAAATCAACCCCAATAGGGTTCTCCGCATATTCTGGGGATGCCATAAACTGATTGGCCTCTTCAACCGTGTCAAAGTTGTCTACCTGCGTCTCGATTTGATTGCCATCGGGATCCTGGTAGTAGATACTAGTTGTCGGTCCGTGATTTATAGACCAAATTGGGAGGATCCCTCGAGCTTTCCTCTGTGTATATGCGGAAAGAAGATCTTGCAGGCTACCAAAGGAAAACGCAAGATGTTCCAGCCCTGCGGAAGTTGGGACTTTCTCCGACGTTCCCGGGACGTTGCCAATTGCGATGCGATGGTGCTCTTCATCGTAAGTCAGAAATGAGAGAAATTCATTCTCAAATGTCGCATGTGCACCAAGAAAGGCCTTGTAGAATGCCACCATGGGCTTGAAATTCGAAGTTCGAAGAACGACATGCGCTAAAGCCCTCGGTGAGAGCACTTTGCTGCCCTGCTGACTTTGGTTTGGCATGTTTATACGTGGCGAGATCGACAAGTCGAAGAGAATGCAGTGATTTCCAATGCTGCGATCTTAACTCAAGCGTGATGTCAACCGTAGAAAAGAAAATGGATTGAGAGTAAACTCGGCGGCATTATTTGTGACTTCTCTTCACGAGAAAAAACCGATTAGGCCCAGATTTTGATCAGCCGAAAGTAACCTCCGTCTTCCGGGTCCCGCCCGGAACGAGGGCAAAGACACACGATGCTCTAATTATGCATACGTCATTTTTTTGTAGAGAGCTTAATAGCTCGGAGATTACACTCATCTAGCACACATAGCCTACAGCCCATTCGCCAAATATATGGTTGAGTTCCTGTAGATCTTACTTGATCATAGGCAGAACTTATTTACAGAGCATAAAGCAACTAGCCAACAAAAAAAAAATATTGAGGAGGATTATTTAGATCTCGAGTCCTAATTTTCCTGGAGAGCCGTTCAGAGCGCGGATGTATCCTAGGTCTCATTAGCCTTTCTAATTTAGCTAAAGAGGGTGAAAGGGAAATAGGATGGTAACGTACGCCCCAAACTTGATAAAGTGAAAGCTTCGGATCCTTGGTCTCACTGTTTGAAATGGTAAAGCGTCCAACGAATTCTCCATCAACATTCTTCCCGTTTTTGAGACTCATAGCCACATGTGCAACAAACAAGAGGTCGTTACAATCGGGCGCCCGAGTATACACTCTCAGAATCTTGTGCTTCCGCGTTTCTATCACATCCCATGCATGGATTCGAGACTTTCGAATTTCTACTCCGACGAAGTTAGATGATTATCTAGATGATGCTTTCTAATAATACCGTACCTTCTGGCCCTCGAAAGGGATGGGCGCCAAAGTAAGCCACTCCATCTTCAGCGAATAGTTCATCTGCCAAAATATCGCCAGCATCATCGCGGTTGGTGTCAACCGTCTCGAAAAAGCGTTCAATAAGGCCTTTCACTTCAACGGGGATGTTCACCCCCTCCGGCCACGTCGCAGTATCTATGCTGTAGCCCATGTTATAATTCTTTATGACTCTCAACTGTTCCCATAATTCTCACAGACAAACGTAGATTTATTAGAGGTTTTGTAATATGTATGGGTGGAAGCAACTCCGGGCCCGGGACATGCTCCTCCTGGCTTCCGATGGCAGCCAATCCTCCTAGTGGGGTGTTCAGAGGGAAGATGATGCCTTATTTGAAAGAAAATACTCAAAAGAAAAGGGAAGACCAATACTTCCTAAATTGATATTAAAATTTATTACCTATTATTCTAATCTAAAGACAAACTGTTAACTATTCTAAAACTGTAAAATCACCCTATTAAACCAAACTGATTAGAAGGAAATATTGTATTTAATAGTAAGGCCCCAGTAACCAATCATGCTCCCTTTAGGAGCCAATCCATTATCTCTAAGATCACTCCCTCTTCTTCGCCTTCGGAATGTTCCATTTCTTGACCCGGAAGAGGTAGTAAAGTGCGACCGTAGCAAAGATGTTGAACCCAATATATGCCCACATGATGCCGAAATTACGCCAACGCTCGGACCAGGAGATCCCGACCGAAGCCAAATATTGATCTGCAACAGAGAGACTGCAATACTGACAGTTGGAGCTGTCACCGGGGTTCATGAGCTGCCCGGGTGCTGCTTGTAGAAAGTCTGACAGGTATTCACCACATGTCTGACCTTGCGGCGGGTCAAACACAGCAGTTTCCGAGGCGGAGCAGGTTATCGCTCGGTCGTGGAGCTGAGTGGCCACAATACCACCAATCCAGTATGTAATAGGTGATACCCGATACATGAAAATCCAGAAACGTGGTAGTAAGTCCGGAGCTTGCATGACACCACAGAATGTGAGCGACATCATGAAAAGCAGCGTCACGATGGCACTGGCTGACTGAGTGTTGGGCATGGCGGCTATCGTCATGTGCGCGACTGTGCTGGCATAGAGGAGAAACTGAACAAGGAAGAGCAGTACCAGAACTTGGCGATCGGATGTCTGGATTCCAGCCACGGGATAGTAAACACAGGCAAAAAGAAGAGTTCCGGCGACAATCTGGTAGGGGATTTCAACGACAATGTTGGCAATGATAAAGGCCTTCCAGGAATATGCCTTGCTAGGCCGCTCGCGGACCTCATAGAGGTCACGCTGGGTGACAAACAGGGGTTGTACCTGTCCATTCATGTTAGAGGAGGGAATGAGTTTTGGAGTCGGGGAGCGTTGGTTCTCGACTGACCTGATTCACCAAAGTAGTGAAGATAGTGGAAATCATAAATACACCGAAGAGGACAATGGACATGCCAGCCAGGTCCTGATCGGGACTGTAAAATGAAAACCCAATAAACAGCCCGGAGGCAATTGCAAGAACCCATTTGGCAGCAATATATGACGGCATCCTCCAATACTGCTGGAATATCCTCACGGTGACATGCTGAAGTTGCTGGATGAGTGGCGCTGCGAACTCTGAGGAACCATCTTCGTCATTGTGCTCGGTGGAGGATGAGTTGCCATGAACTGTATTTAGATGGTTGATGTGTTCATCGACGGCTTGACGCTGTGGGCTCGCGTTCCAACATGAATGCCAGTCATTTCCAGTGCCGCTGGTATGATTGTTCACAATATCAAGCATGCTAACAATCAATTAGTATCGTGTGTGGTCCTGCCGCCACGCTGGGAATTTGAACTTACTACTCAGCAGGATTTTCTTCGCTGCCGCACTGACGTGCTCCGTTGGACTCGAAATAATCTAGAAGAATACGTGAATTCTCACCAATGTCTCCGAAGTAGACCGTCTTGCCACCTTTTGCGAGGAACAGGAGCCGATCAAACTCTTGGAATAGGAGGGCGCTCGGTTGATGGATTGTGCAGAGAACAGCCTGGCCCATGTCCGCCAATTTCCGTAGGAAAGCGCAGATGGCCCGAGAACTTTGGGAGTCTAACCCACTGGTTGGTTCGTCAAGAAAGAGCAATAGTTTCGGTCTTGCAGCCAGCTCGACACCAATCGTCAACAGTTTCCGCTGCTCGACATTAAGGCCCTCCCCCGGGACTCCGACAACTGCGTTCGCAAAATCTCGCATATTCAGCATATCGATGACACTTTCAACGAACTTGAACTTCTCTTCCTTGCTGATGGACTTGTGTTGACGCAGAAGGGCGCTGAATTGAAGACTTTCCCGGACGGTGGCAGTGCTGAGATGCAAGTCTGTACGGGGTCAGCAGTATTCCAACGTGGTCATGACTTCTAGGAACTTACCTTGCTGTTGAACATAACCAGTCTTACGCTGAAAGCCAGCATCGAGTGGTCGGCCATTCACGAACATGTCTCCCGTGACAACACCAACTGTAGTTCGCTGTGCAAGTACGTCCAGCAGGGTCGTCTTGCCGGCGCCAGAGACACCCATCAGGGCTGTGAGACTACCGGGTTTCACCCATCCAGCAACGTGATCCAACAACCTGCGAGGCTCACCCTTGATCTCAATGTCGTATACGAGATCTTTCCAAGTGAAGATATCTGTCTGAGGCTTGAGATCATGGACTTGGGGTTCCTCATCACCACGAGACTTCGAAGTGACGTAAGGCGAGTTGGTTTCTGTAGATTGATCCTGGACGGCTGCGTCCATAAAGTGAGCTGGGACATGACCACGGCGAAACACAAGAGATTCCGAAGTGGCCGCAGTAGATGAGTTGATCTCGGATGCCACAAAGTAGACGACCATAAAGGCGATTGTGAAGGCCACGAGGATGCCAAAGTTGCGCCACACATGAGAATAATAGTACCCGTATGTTTCAGCGATGTAGGCATCGCCACTCGTGAATGACTGGCCAGCGACCGACCCCACCGTTGAACAGATCCAGGAGTCTCCCACAGGCGGGTTGTAAGGCGGTACGACACTCCCGACCGCGCAGGGAAACTCTCGGCCATGAAATTCGTTGGCGATCAAGATCTCGAAGGCGTAGAATATCGGGTTAATCCAACGAATCCAGCCGAACCACGGATGCATGTCTGGTACCGAGATAACGTAGCCCGTATATATAACAAGAGCTAAGATCAAGACTCCAGCTAGGGTCATGGCCTGCGAGACTGTCTTGGTAATTGCCCCCATTGTGCGGAACACGGCACTCATGGTGAATGTAGTGATGAAAGTAATCAAGAAGAAGAGGAAGAATGGTCCGGCTTCACGTCTTAGTCCAGCGAAAAAGTAGAGGATCACGTTGAAGCAGATTGCGGTGATGAACTTGATGGGAATATCCGAGACGACCCCTGCGATGGCTTCTGTTGCCGGATGATAGTACGCGTATGATGCATGTTTTTCGACGATCGGTCTTTGCGAGTATAACGTTCCAATTTCCGAAACAGCGCTAAGAGCATTAAGCAGGATGGCCATGAACAGAGTAGCGCCCTTGGAAGTAAGACCAGATGTATCGCTAGGCGTGCCGTAATAGATTGAGCCAACGATGAGTGCGATAACAATGTTCACGATGGGAGGAGAGAGGGATCCAGAGAGGTCGTTCCAAATGCGCTGGTAGGCCCGCTTCGTAGTAAGTCTGATCTGAGACGGGACGGAAATCATGAAAGGTGATTCTGGACGGGTATGCTTTCCCTGAAAGGCAGCTTTGTTCTCTCGTAGCTGAGAGATGCTGTGGCTCTCTGGCTGCGTTGAATGTTTCTGCTCATAAGTTGAGATATCCAGCTGCAGCTTGGCATATTCCGGAGATTCACGCCAATACCGCTCGAACTCGTCCGGCGTACGAGGGACGCGAGCCTCCATGCCTTCGCGGGCTTGACGCTCTAGTGGGTTGGTCACGGCAGTCAAGAAGTCTCCTGTCGTTTGCCGGGGTGGGCAAACCCAGCCTTGTCTTTCAAAGAAGGCCTTGGCAGCATCAGCTGGCCCAAAGTAGATCTGTCGACCTTCATAGAGTACTGTAGCTTTATCGAACAGATCGTAGATGGCCTGACTGCCCTGGTAAATGGCCACGCAGCTCGCCATCTTAGCCGTGTCTGAGCTCAGGCGCAATGTCTGAACAAATCTAAGAGCACTGGCAGAATCAAGACCTCGAGTGCTAGTTTGATCTGTTAGTTACGGAAGACTCGGTCTGGGTATCACCATCGGGAATCATCAGACACCTGGCTGGAACGATTCACTGCTTACCTATTATCCCAGGCACAAAGTGAAGCGCCAGCAATCAACATCTCGGCTATACTGACACGCTTCCTTTCTCCTCCTGACTGCGCTGGAGGTTAGTCTCATGTGAACTTGGTAATAAATGGACAACCAAGAAAAGGGAAACCCACCACTCCTCGGACGAAATCATTCCCGACTTTGGTGTTGTTTGTATGGCTTAAACCACAAACGGCCATGATGACTTGAGCACGATATCGGGCCACCTCCTCACGTGTCATGCCATGAAGTTTGTGAGCGCCGTCTGCCTCACGGCATGCCGCCGCAAACTCTAGGGTCTGGGAGACAGTGAGCTGCGGAAAGTGCTTATCAACCTATTGAAGACGTAAGAAACTTGTAACAGAAACTTGAAAGGCAAGCAGGGGTAGTAAGAAAGGTGAACATACCTCCTGATTATACAGTATCTCTCCTTTGAACTCGCGAAGCATCTCCTTCTGAGATACGCCTCGATAAGTGATGGATGATTCCTCATCGACTTGCAGACCGTGGAGTTCGCCGCAAATTGACTTCAACAGAGTGCTGCATCCCGACCCCGGCCTACCCAGGACGACCAATAGCTCTCCGCCGTTGACCAAACCGTTGAATCGGTTGAGGATGGTCTTGGGCGCCCCCCTCTTGCGATGAAGGAGCTGCGTTGCCCGCATTGGCGCCAGCATCATGTCCCCGACTGTCTGCTGCAGCTGAATAGCTTCGCCCGAACCGTAAACGCTCAGGTCCTTGAAAACAACACCAGTGTGCTGTGATTTGTAGCCTCCAGCCTCCATCTGTCGAATAGCAACTTTGACCCAGCGGGCCACATCAAACTTCTCACTCTGAGGGTCCAAAGTTGGATCGGCTCGAAAAGCAGAAAAGCCTTTCGCATTTGTGCCTGCTTCTGAGCGAGCGTAGCTCATACGCCTGGATAATGTAGTCGCTATACGTTCCAATTCTTGTCGGTCAGACTGAGAAATGATCCCCGAGACTCTCTGCGAGAGTTGAGGCCATGTGGACTCGTCATCAGTAGAATCTTCCTCGTTGGTGCTGGCAGAGTCGCTACTGTCTCTTAAAGACGACATTTCAAGAGCTTCTTGTGACTGAAGGGGGTGCTGGCTGCTGGCGTCCAATCCATGTTCTCCCATGGTGGACGCCGCCCCTTCCTGTTCACGAGGAAGAGACATGTCGTAGCCTTGGAATAATAGGCGTGAAGAATTGTGCTCGATGACGGGGAAAACTGGTAATGTGGCTAGAGAATATAAATAAGAATCCTTAAGTCGATTTCTCTATCACGGAACCGGCAGCTTTAAGTACAGGTGCCAAAGCAAATAAGGCCCCCAATGATCACCATCCAGATTGTCGTCATTTAATACATACAAACCTAAATCAATCTCCTAGCATGAAGCGCTGCGACTATCCCGGGGGCTCCATTGACCGTCATCGGGTCTAAGCCCAGGACTCGTGGCTAGTTGAATCGCCCGAACCTATGAGCGATGTGCAAGCTGCGACATCCTGTCTCCGTTGAATGTCATCCATACACGTAGCGGCATCAGCCCGGCTGGCCGGGGTGTCCGGTTGCTGTCATCCCTTCAACAAGAAGCTCAGCTTTATCGAGAAGTAAGCCGAATCGGGCGCACCGACAAGCCGAAAACGCGACAAACGGGACCCCAAGAGTCTTGCCGGATTCAATGAAAGCCTCCGGTGCGGTGTCTGCTTGGAAGCCGTCCGTCTCCCGCATTCCCAGTCAGCAGTTGGGCTAGCGTAGGAGATGTTGGAGACCCCGAAGTCCCGCCCATCCCCGTTCAAACGCGCCGATATCCGCTTACCTAAGGTATTGAAAGTTATGAACGGTCATAGTTAGCACCAAAATCATAACAAGGGACCAATCAGATATCCCCTTTCGCGACGGGGATTAACAACACCGAGTTTGCAATGGGCGCTTCTAACACTCCCTGTTGGAAGCATAGAAGTATAATAATAGTGACAAATCTGGATACTGCGATCTTACGGGGACTATACACGTTAATAATTTCACGTTTACCTTACAATCAAGCTCATTGAAGCTGAAGCGATGCTTGACCGAGCACTGGAAGCCACGAGAAGGTACTTGGGCGTGACCATATGTCGACTAACGAAATCGTCGACAACCTGGGGAAATAACCTGGGGAAGCTCTACAGAGATCAAGGCAAGCTATTACATCTAGAAACAACAGGCCCAACAAGGCAAGTGACGTATCCGGACCGCGACTCAGCCATTGTATCAGCCTCACGAACTACGGCATTCATTTTAGCCCCAGGATCAGTAACGAGGTAACACCAAACCAGCGACTACACCGATGTTACATGAGGCCAACAATGAGGGCGATGAAATACAGTCCATATTTTACGAATTACTTAAGCCAGAGGCATCTCAATAAATTGTGAATCGATGTGATTCCAGCGTGGAGGTGCACGCCATGTCTCCCCCCAGCGTTCCATTCGAGACACCCACTGACAATTTGACATAGATCATCGACAGTGCAACATGCCATGAAAAAAAACGCCTCGACAGATCGGAATGATCCTAGTTTTTCGTGGGGGCGTTTATTTTAGACGCAGAAGGCAGACGTTTATCAAGGTATGGCAACACATGATATTGGCGGGTACCCTTCTCACTAGATCGTGGAACCTGCCCCTCTGGGACAGAATCTCGTTGAATTTGTGGCTTCTTTCGCGAGAGCAAAGCATTGGATTTCCATCAAGATGCCGCCATTACCGGAATGGAAGGAGCAGTAAGCTTGGCGTTACATGCAACTGGTGAGTCGTAGTGAGTCATCCACGTTAGAGTCATGTAGATCGAAAGATTCCTTCGTCTTTGAACGATTATAAAACGATGCTGCCTTGGATAACAGATTGAGTGAATTATGCCTTGATCTTCGATCACCATTAAAGTTTGGGAAAATTTCAAGATAAGCAACCCTCTTACAATGTCAAATGCAGTAGCAGTTCCGGCCTCAGCGGCATATCGGATCACGTCCTACACCTATAACCCCAAAGACCGTGCCAATCAGCCAGAAAATCCCGATGTCACGCAAGCCGCACATCGCATCAATATGGTCAATGGGTGGGCCGCGATTCCCAAGGGCGGCCGCGTCCTTGAAATCGGCTGCGGCCAAGGACTCTGCACAACTGTTCTGGCTGAAGCCGTTGGCCCGTCCGGGACTGTCGACGCCATCGATCCTGGATCCCTCGACTATGGCGCTCCTGTCACCTTGGGCCAGGCATACGAATGGATCACCGACAGTGAGGTTGGCAGCCGAATCAATTGGCATCAGGCCACACCAGAGCAATACCTCAGCCAGACAGCGGGCGAAGGCCTATCCTGGGACGTAGCAGTATTAGCCCACTGCATCTGGTATTTCAAGTCTCCCGAGGAGCTTGGAAAGATCTTTCGAGGTTTGTCTGGGCGCGTAAAGAAGATCTGCATCGCCGAGTATGCCCTGACAGCTACTGCGCCGGCAGCTGTGCCACATGTTCTTGCGGTCTTGGCTCGAGCTGCACTTGAGAGCCAGAGACCGGAGAGTGACGAGAATGTCCAAAACATTCTCACTCCCGACGCCATCAAGACTGTCGGGGAGGCTTCCGGCTGGAAGCTTGAGCATGAAGGCCTCCTTGTTCCTCAGCCTGGGCTGCAAGACGGGTTCTGGGAAGTGGGCACCGTGCATAGTGCTAGTTTTCTTGAGGACGTCGAAGCTCATGTCCGGGATTCGAGGCTAAATTCCTACCTCAAGTCATCGAGAGATGCTGTCATAGCAGCAACGTCTCTGCATGGAGGGCTGAAAGGAGTCTTGACAATGGATGTTTGGTTAGGGACCTTTTCTAGCTAGATCGCACGCAAAAATTGAAGCTTTGAGAAAGACAATGGCCAATCGTATAGGTCTTATCTACATCATAGAACATGCGCATCACCAGGTTTGAAAAGGATAAGGTATGCAATGCAATCCATTGATTTCTATTACTTGTTCCAGCTTGGTCTTCTTTTCCCTCATTATAACCATTTCATCTCGAACAAACAACACGCTTTGGTATAAAACTAAACTTCTATTCACAGACCTGCAAAAGAATGTTAGATCAATTGAAAAAGCGACCGAAAGAGGCAGAAAATACTCACCGAGAGCCGTAGCAAGAGCCTTGCCAACACCAGCCGCAGAGGCCGGGTTCTGGCCAGTAATGATGAGTCCATCAGTGACAACCTTCTCGCCCCAAGGCTCGTCAGCCTTGACATAATTAGCCCCAGCCTTGATGAGCGCATCCTCAAGCAGGAAGGGCATCGCGCTCGACAGCTGCATGATGTCCTCCTCGGCATTAGTGAAGCCCGTCACGGTCTTGCCCTTGAGCACGTGGTTTCCATCCTTGCCCACGACATTGGCGAAGGCCGCGGGACCGTGGCAGACGGCGGCGACGGGCTTGCCGGCGTCGAGGAACTGGATGATGAGCTGGATGGACTCGATGTCGGTGGCGAGGTCGAACACGGGGCCGTGGCCGCCGGGGTAGAAGAGGGCGTCGTACTCGTCCGCCTTGCCGAGGAACTCCTTGATGGGTCGGGTCTTCTCCCAGACCTCGGACTTGGTCTTGTAGAAGTTCTGGGCGCCGTCGTCGGACTTGGAGAATTCGATTGAGGCGGGGTCGAGAGGGGCAACACCACCCTTGGGCGAGGCGACGACGATCTCGGCCTTGGGAGCAAGAATATCATAGGGGTGGGAGAACTCGGGCTATTCCAGAGTTTGGTCAGTAATTGTACATATTTAGTATCTGGAGCGATTGCGACGAACCAGGAACCAGCCAGTAGGCTTGTTGATCGACTCGATCAGGCTGTGGCTGGTGAGAACAACAAGGATCTTGGGTGCCATTGTGAAAGTTGGAATGTTGTGTTTTGGTAAAAATTGATGTGAGCAGAGAAGAGGCTAGTGGAGAGACAGGCAGTTGATGTTGTTAATTTCGAAGCTTGGTGATTTTCAATGTTCAATGACCGCCCCCTCATTCCATTATATACCCAAGCTATTGAAATTGATGTTTTCCTACGATGACATCCTATGGCGTCACTAGAGCAAGATTCCGGCGGCGATCCTTGTCACTGGCCGGAATCACGGAGTCTCGGAGTTCTGTGGACCTCAAGACTGGCACGAAAAATAACCGAAGCGCGGAGTCACGGAGACGTTCTAGAACATCGGTATGCAAGCTAGCAAGTTGGTGAAATGAAACATGGCACATCGAGATGGTTCAGCGTTGAAAATCTACACAATATTAGGATAATTAACCTAATACTGAATACGATATCAAGCTAAATATCATAGAACTCCTGTTTATTGTTGTCTTATCATTGAGTTAAATAAAGTCCCTGCCTTACGTGAAAAAAGCTGTGGTGTGCCATGTCGCAAATGAATTCGATCAGACTGGAAACAACTGAGAAAAGAATAACAAACACGGAAAGCTCTCAACAGTGTCACGGGATTTTTTTTTCATTACCTAGTCACCCGGTTCAACATCATCTTACACTCTAACATATCGAAACAGACAGATGACCTTAATATCATAGCGAACGCAGCTCAGTAAGTATGGCACTTCAATCGTTGAATTGGTCGATGGCGATGTCCCTCAATTTGCATTTCCATTAAAACTATCATCGCCTCTCGTTGTTCTATACCACCCTTTCATGCTCATTCGATACTCCTTTTGTGCCAGCTTTCCGTACAGCCTACCCTAGACCTTTGCTCAACTCTACCTAGGTAAGGTAGCTTGGGCTAACTCGCCCGTGTTTGCAATCACTGTCAATTTGTTATCTTTATTTTTTAATCTACATACCAAAAAACTAACCTATAACAGCGAGGTTTTGCTTTTTGTGGCTATCACCAACCAATGGTTCCTTACATTTGCATCTTACTGCGTGTCGAACGCGCGAGAATTTTGCTTACTACTCACGTTCGGGGTGATTCAAACCTGCACGTGACCTCGCCGCCAGACGTTTCCCTCAGACCCATTGTCGCTTGCGGCAAGCTTGCATGTCGCCGCCATGAGAAATGACCTCACCCTCGCGCGTCAACTCATACAGCGCGGTGCCCATGCTGCAATCACGGACTTTGAGGGAGCGACGGCTTTGCATTTCGCTGTGCAATCATGTAAGGAAGACCTTGAGCTAGTTCGGACGATTCTGCAACAGCCTCGAGTCAATGCAGGGGCCCGCGATCGTTATCATAGGATCGCTCTTCATCATGCATGCCAAAATGGGAATGTGCGACTTGTTCGATTATTGCTAGCACAACCAGGACTGTCGGTCGCTCAGGCCGATGAGTGGGGAGCTACGGCTCTCCACTATGCTTGCCGTTGCTCACAACAGGAGAGAGCCAAAGAGACCGCAAGGTTTCTGATCACGATGGGAGCTCAAATGGACCCCCCAGACTACCCCGATCGGGGGAATAGTCCTCTAGCCATAGCACTCCAGCACGATAACTTCAGGACCGCCGTGATGCTTGTGAGTTTAGGCTGCGATTCCTCGAGCTGGTGTTCGGCTATCGATGATCTTATATTCAACAAATGGATCTCTCTAAGCTCTGAAGAGCAAATCAAGCTGACTTGTAACCTCGTTGACACTGGCGTTAACCTCGAAGTCTCGTCTGACCCTAGAAGGATGGACTTGAAGGCAACCCTGGTGTACTTTGCTGCATCTTCACTGAATGCCGAATGCGTGAGAATCTTGCTTACCGCTGGAATGCGGGCTGATTCAGTCGTTGTCGATTCAAGAGCCATTGGAGCGACGGGAGAGCTTCGCCCAAGAGATACTGAAATGACCCTTCTTGTGGCCGTATTATATCGGCTATGGGGCAGCCCGAATCGCCCTCACTCACTCAAGAAAACACTGGTGATAGCAAGGGAAGTGGTCATGGTACTTCTGGAACATGGAGCGCCGCTTGGCCAAGCTCCGCGTTCGAATAACCCTACCTACATGTCTGCACTGGATTACGCGCTTTCAATAGCGAGATATGGGGATTCATCACTTTTGCAACTCCCCATGGACTGGTCAACGGCGAGGAATGTCGAGCAAGACTTCCTGCAGCGCTTTATGCGAAGGAGGAGGTTTCCGACAACCAGGCTGCGGGATGAGGTAAAGGGGTTTCATGACCGCATATTCCCCCAGCAGGAAGGGAATAACTGAGGGGGGGAAATAGGGCGTGTAGTCTCGGGTTTTGGACTTGACCTCCAACATATCTAGGCGGATAGATGGCTTCAATAGCATAGCTAACGCAGCACAATGAGTACGGCAGTTTACCAGATGAATCGGTCGATGTTGATGTCCCTCAATCTAAATGAAGTGATAATATTTGCGTATTATCTCTCAAACATATATTGTTGATACTCAACAATTTGACAATACCGGTTGCAGACGCGACAATAAGCAGCTTAAAGTTTGAGCGCCTGAATTTCCAATGTCACCCAGTTGCCAGGTTGCCCAATGCTCTAGAACATCTCCGTGACTCTGCGTTTCGGTTAGATTAATATCACCAGCCCCCACCCAGACTCCCTTCTGCTAATAGACTCCGACTTCTTCTCTCACAATGTCACGAGGGCCGGCATTCCAATGTTCGCAAGGAGAGACGGGTGATTTCCTCCACTTGATGCTGTGAACAAATCAATTAGCATGTTATGAACAGAAGTTGAAGAAACCCCTCAACTCACATAGTCCAGTTCCTCAACGATGTGAAAATCACGATCATCTTCTCGAAACTCATATGGAAGGCCTAGGAGGACTTCCCGACTGCAATACCGGCGGGGAAGACTTGTCCAAGCGGAGCCCCAGAATGTAAGGTCACTCCACGCAGCTTCGCCTTGGCGGTATATGATCGGTCCGAGGTACTGCTTGATGAGTAGTCTATCTTTCCGCTTCTTCCTGGTTTCCCACTGGACGCCGCCATTAGCCTGCAGAACGTTCCAGAACTCGTCCGCCATGGGGTTACGATTGGTATCAACGTTGTCGTCGGGATAAGTTAAAGACAGTCTCGGATGAGGGTACATGTTTGGGGCTGTGGGAGATAGGGCCAGACGGGAGAATCGTGGTGATGAGAGCGGCTCAAGTTGCCTAGTATTTGTTGTCGGGCAGTTTGTTCGGCAATGATGGCTATCACACATCTCGTAGGAAACCGGCATTAGCGCACTACGGTGAGGTGCTGTATGATGATGTCCAGTTTGGTGATAACGTTCCGCGTTTTGGACGCTGTGATCTGGGCTCGGGGTTAAGGTTGAAGAGGACGTCGAATATACTGGGGACAGCGGCTTGTTCTGGTAGTCTGGCGGGTTATTCTGGATTGCATGCGGTTGGGCTGGGGTGGGGAGCGGTCGTAGGGCTCCGTTGATTGTGGAAGAGCATAGAAGACCTTCCTGGGTGCCGTCATAGTAGCCCGCCCCTTGGGGTTCATTGTCTGGGGCAGAGACCGAGAATCGGAATCCACCGCTACCGGAAAGTGGTTGTGAGAGAGCATTATTGGTTCGTGTGCGGGGGACTGATTGTTGAAGTGCCTTGGCATCAATTGAAGAGAACCGATCTGGTGGTGAACCACGAGCTGCCACGTCGCCCAGTCTGTGGTGCATTTCGTGTGTCATGGCAAGGTCTCTGCGGTACAGTTGCGCTATCTCTCTGGAACTGCTCCCCTTCCCACCTTCTCGTAGTGCCCCTTGCTGGGAAGAATCGCACAACTCCTGTAGTGCTGCCCAGTAGGACAGCAAGTTCAGCAGAACTTTGTTCGCCTCGCCCGAGTGAGATGGTGAATATCTCTGGTGATGTTGCTCCATGTGGTAATCAGATCCTTGACTTATCAAGCTGGCCTGACTTGGGGACGGAGACACATAGCGGGTCAGTGAGCGATTCTTGTCCAATGGGGTGAGATTGTTTTGGCTTGGTGCGAGTAGAGACGTGCCGATATCACCAGGGTCCGATGGCTCAGAACTATCGGACGCTGGACTCGCAGTGCCGGACCTGTCCACACGCTCCTCGAAGCTTTCTTGAAGTAATCGCATCTTATCACACCTGAGAGCCTTAGCCAAGGAGGCGCTGACATCGGCTCGCTTCTGCTCGACGCTCTCGTTGTCGCCATTCGGGGGGTCGCTTGTGATACTGCGTGCTCAGATTAGCATCGCCCAACTTCTGCTTGGGTTTGTGGTTCCTACCCAATATCCAGGACCTTCCTCGTTAAGCTAGCCATACTGATTATCGCCAGCAGCGTTGACTTTTGGAGCTCGAGTTGCATTTGAAGATCATTCAGCTTTCTTTTCCGGATGACTTTGGTACTTCTCTTCTTTTCCATTTTTAAAATGAGTCCCTTAAGCTCAGTGCAGGTGTCGTTGCAGTCCTCCGACACCTGTTGTGCACACTGTCGTATTCCCGGTGGATACGCCGCGTCGCCTTTGTCAAGCACCTCCACAAGTTCTTGTAGCAAGACGGAGAGGGACTCGACATTGCGGGCGATGATCTTGATCTCGCGAGAGCCAGATGTAAGTGTTTCGCAAACGTCAATCAAGATAGGGAAGAGTTGCCCTGTCAACAGGGCAACGCTGATGATCTCGGCCATCTTGGGAAAAGGGAATGGGCACCCACGCAACCACACAGAGAAAAAGAAAGTATCGCGAATAAGACAGGTTCAACACAGGCCCTGTCAGGTTTCTTAAAGGTTGAGTGCTTTGGTATGCGTGGGAGTGGCCGTGCTTGGTGCGCGGCCTGCGAAAGGCGACACGCTGACGTGTATGGTTGCAGCTTTTGCTGTCAGTTCAGCATAATTGGCCAATCGTGGAGCCACATGGCTGCTGGCATGAGACAACTGGAAATTATACATTCATTCACGAAAGCTGAAAGCCTATCGTATGATACTCTATGGCTATGACAACATGCCACGAGTTGAGGATCCTGCCTTGTGTCTGCCTGCTTTGATGCCCGATGCAAAGCCCCAAGCACCTCAGTGGCAATTCCTACGCGCAGGGGGCTTGGCAGACTGCCAGAGCCAATCCATTACAACGAGGCGGACTGGTACGCCGCTAACATCCAATCGTTTTGCGATATACGCCGAGCCTGGGAAAGGGCTGTGCAAAGTTTCCTGGTTTCGACACAATTGCCTTGCCAAAGTGGCCGCCCATGGCATCTTAGGGGTTGTTTATGTGACTACTCCATTAACAGTGCCACCGCTCCACAGGGTTAACGTGGTGCGAGACATATGTATCTTCCTGATCTGCATATCTACCCGATGAACGAACTAACAGCCTGCACCTACACCGTCCAGCTGAATAAAACCTGGGACGAAACTTTCATCCAATCAGTAATCCTGATAATGCCTCGCAGAAAACTAGCAGCTAGCACTATGCTTCTGCTACGAAAGGGTCAGAAGAGGCGAGTAATTAGTGTCAAGTGTCGAATTTGCGATCCCTTTGGTGGCTTATTCCCTGTATTTCATATACTAAGTGCAAGGCCTCCTGTTCGATTGTTCCTTTCTAGCCTGTATCCTTCGCCAGACTGCTTTCATAAACCAAATCTTCTATTAGGTGCCTCATTTCTCCTGTCACCTACTTGCTTGGAAGAGGTGGATAGGGATCAAACCCAGAAGCATTATTGTGTACGTGCCCGTAATCGGCTTCGCAAAATTTACCAGCGGCTTTTTCTGCGATCAGATTGGATAATGATATGTTCTATAGCAATTTGTACCTATGCGCTGATGACGGTCTCTTGCTGAGAGAGTTTTGCTTCGGTAATCTCACCCCCAGCAACCTGCACCTTGGCGCTTGTATTGAGCTGGCCCTCCACGATTGAGAGCTTCACGGCGCCGCCTTGAGACGTAATTGAGACCTTGGCCTTGATCTGTCCAAAGTTCTCATGGTCGGGAATCTCCACTACCTCGGCCATACCCTCAACTGGGTTGACAACAATGGTAACATTGTCGGACCAATCGTAGACGACCTTCTCCTTTGCCAGGTCCGGGTTACCCAGAACAACAGCCTTGCCTGGTCGTAGAAGTGCTGGTAGGCTGAAAAAGTCATGTTGCTCTGTGACATATCCCGGCCCTTCCCTGATCTTGCCGTCGAGGAGCCCGTACCACTTGCCCTTGGGTAGATAGTACGTCACGTCATTCTCTTCATTGAAGACGGGTGCTATGAGGAGAGAAGACCCAAGGACGTACTGCGTGTCGAGGTGCCATGAGATAGGGTCCTCTGGGAACTCAACAAGCATGCTGCGGAGCATTGAGATGCCCGACTGGTGGGTCGCAATGGCTTGGGAGTAGAGGTACGGCATCAGCCTGTGCTTCCATGACACGAAATGAGCGAGCACACGCGACGCCTCCTCCGTCGGGTCGACGAGCCAGGGAACTCGGAATGATCCGCTTCCATGCAGGCGGGAGTGGGATGAGAAAAGCCCAAATGCGATCCAGCGCTTGAAAAGTGCCGGGTCTGGATTTCCCTCAAAACCACCGATGTCGTGTGCCCAGTAGCCGAAGCCGCTCAGGGCAAGGGATAGACCTCCGCGTAGCGTCTCGGCCATGGCAGGAAACGTGGAGTATGGGTCGCCTCCCCAGTGAACTGGGAATTTCTGTTCGAGGGAAAATGGTTAGTTCATCGGTCATTAATAAAGGCCAGGAAGAGGGAAAGTACCTGGCATCCAGCAGTTGCTGAGCGGGCAAATAGCGCTGCGTTATTCTTGCCCAACGACTTCTCAAGAACCTCAAAGGTAACCTTGTTGTAAAGATAGGCGTAGTAATTGTGCATCTTCTTTGGATCGGATCCGTCAAAATAGACGGTATCACCTGTAGGAATGCGCTCGCCGAAATCCGTCTTGAAAGACTCGACTCCCATATCGACAAGAGCCTGGAGCTTGTCCTGGTACCACTTGCAGGCATCGGGGTTGGTGAAATCTACGAATGCCATGCCGGCTTGCTGTAAATGCATCAAGTCAGCCTCCAGAACAGTGGACGAAACCCAGGGGTTAAAGTCAGATGGGATCATCATACCCAGAAATCATATTGCCAAACGCTACCGTCTCCTCGCTTGACAAAGTATCCCTTCTCAGCACCTTCATCGAAAAGTTTGCTCTCTTGAGCAATGTATGGGTTAATCCAGACGCAAATCTTGTCACCAAGGGTCAGCAGCTGGTCTATAGTGAATTTCTTCAAGATTTTGGAGCTTCTGCTTACATGTTGACCGCGGTCCTTCATCCGCTTTAGCTGTCCGGCAGCATCGGGGAAAAAGTCTTGATCGAACTCGAAATCACACCACTGGAAACCCTTCATCCAGAAACAGTCGTAGTGGAACACGGTGACGGGGATATCTCTCTCCTTCATACCATCTAAGAAAGTATTGACCGTGTTCTCATCATAGTTAGTCGTGAAACTGGTTGTGAGCCAGAGACCAAAGGTCCACGCCGGCGGAAGGGCGGGACGGCCAGTAAGAATGCCGTATTTGCTGATAATGTCTTTAGGACTAGGTCCGTAAATCAGGTAGATGGAAAGAGATTCGCCCGGGACAGCAATGTTGACGCGAGTCGTGCGCTCGGACTGAACTTCCAGCGAAACAAGGCTGGATGTGGGGATAAACACTCCATATCCGGCAGAGCTGAGGAAGAATGGAATGTTCTTGTAGGTGAGCTCAGAGCCAGTGCCGCCGTCATCATTCCAAAGGTCGACAGTTTGGCCATTCTTGATGAACGGGCCGAATCGTTCCCCAAGCCCGTAAATCTTTTCTCCGACACCCAGGGAAAGCTGGTAGGTTGTCCATCTCTCTCCCTTGTTGGGGTTGGTGTAGTTTGCCTTTGGGTGCAGAGCAGTGGTGTTTTGCTTGACATAGCCGATTGAGCGCCATCCAAGAGATGTCAACTTTCTCGAGCCATTCGTGAAGTCTAGGTTGAAGCTCTTTGAGGTCGTGTTAACGGAAGCCGAGAGATCTCCGACAGAGAACTTCAGCTGTTCATCGGATTTCGATGTCTTGATAGCCTGGGTGTGGCCGGGCTGTCCTTCTGGGTAAAGCTCAAAGCGAGGGCCCGCGGTAACGCTCTTTTGACCCTTCCAGTGGGTTGAAGAGAGGTACAGAACGTCATCAATGGGGGAGCTGACATGGTGTGTCAACGTGGGGTTGTTCAGGGTATCGCCCCGATGGTTGATTGGTTTGGAGCACTGCATAGATTGTTAGCCATCCGAACACATCATCTATACATCGCTATTTGAAGTCCGATGTTTTCAAATATGTAGAGAGAATACTCACTGTAACGAAATGTAAATTATCCTCATTTGCAACACCTTTGACTACCTCGACAGCCCAGTCGATAATGGTGTCTGGAGCTGGGTGCCAGCAGCCGTGAGAGAACTTGACCATGTTGGCTGTGAAACTGTCTGCCTGTCTTGATGTGATCACTGCCCCTGACGCTCCCAGAGACAAGAGATATCAGCAACGTTTTGAGGCCGTAGATAATATATCGCAAGGACTCAGGTCCACAGATATTGAACCCCCACCGAATGCTTCGAGTTGAGGCTGTCTGACAGACTTGTGGACACTGCAGTGGAGAAGAACTTCAGCCAGACTAAACTTCCGTTATATCCGAGGGTAAAGTCGGAAGTCGCGCGCGCGAGACACGAATCGAATGACCAACTGACTAGTGGCAATTACTTATCCTTGACAGACAGGATGAGAACCCCGCTTGTGGACACTTGCTCAGGGATGATGTTTGGGGTTCGTCGGGGGCAAGTTGCTCCCACGTGGATGCTGAACGAGCTCTTCCCCCAGACCTTTGAAGTGAAAGCAAACGCGAGCGAACGGAAACTTGAAGCGATGATTCAGTGGTAAGTTGGGGGTTTTTGGAGGAGAGTTGAAAGGGACTAGCAACAGGAGTTTCACTCCGCCAGCTCCACCTTCAGCCTCTTTTTATATACGGTATTCCCGATACGACTCTTGGCAGTCAACGGTGAGAACTCGCCTACCTCCCATGTTTCCTAACTGCCGACCCAGTAGACAAGCAGACTGACCAGTAGGGAATATGAAAATCGCCTGGGGCATTTAGGCTAAATAACGAACCTCTCCTGATCCCCAAATATTGCCCAGAATCCCCACCTCGGAAAAGCGTCTTGTGGGAAGGCCCTGTCACGACAGCCGGGGCAGAGATCTCACTCGATGCTGGATCCCAACGACCGTTCTGCTGGGACCAGGTAAAAAGCTTTAAGTTATCCGTATCCATGAGCTGGGAATTTAGCCTGAGTGTTAGCGTTCGATTTGTCACAAGATTAGAGGTCAGATGGCAGTCAGAGCCTTGCCGGGTATTCCTCCCAGGGAGTAAGCATGGCCTTGCCTACGGTTACCTCCGGGGGATATCCGAGAATGCCAGCAAAGTCATCGGGGGTTTCAACCACGGGGTAAAGTTTCCCCCAATAGCTTAGTATCGACATTCATACAATAAAAAGGAGACGACCTCGACACCTGGTGACCTTCGTTTCTCCAAGTCACGGATTCTACAGTCGATAGACTAATTCAGCCATTTATCTAGAATCTGGTTTGGAATCGGAGACATCGTTCGCAATGGCGGCGAAACAATCAGTGAATTGGTACACTTGGGGATGCGCCCTTTTTGCGGCGGTAAGTAACACCAACTCCATGATTGTGCCGCCCTCGAACATGGGCTTATCTGGAAACGTCTTATAGGTCGGATCATTGTTGTACGTGAAACCTTGCATCCGAGGCTCTAAACCTCCGCTTCGTTCTTGGAACTCACCTAGACTCTCCATATAGATACGGTATCGACTCTGGCGTCATCACCACTGTGATTGCACAGGAGCACTTTAGCGAGTATTTCCATCCCTTCACGGCCGATATCAAGGGTGCTGTGGTTAGCACGTTCAATGGCGGCGCAGTCTTTGGTGTCTTCTTTGCAGGATGGAGCGCAGACTACCTTGGCCGTAAGAAGACCATCGCCATCGCATCTGTCATTGCCCTGATTGCCGGTATCATCCAGGCCGCCTCCGTTCACATTGGCATGCTCATTGCGGGGCGTATCGTGGGAGGTTTCGCCGTTGGCATGATGAACATGACGATCCCGATTTACAATTCTGAGATTTCGCCCCCCGAGAAGCGTGGTATGATTGCAGGTCTACATGCTCAGTTTGTTGGGTTTGGCTTTGCTGCCGCAAATGTGAGTCAGATGACAACTGTCTTTCTATCTCCCTGGGTACGAGGTTTTAAGCTGACAGGGTGTTTGTAGTGGGTTGGGTTCGGATGCTCGTATGCCTCTGGTCAGTTCCAATGGCGCTTCCCGTTGGCTTTCCAGTGTCTCCCGGCCCTTGTTGTCATGTTCGGCATCTATTTCCTCCCCTACTCCCCACGATGGCTGCTCGAGCATGACCGCGACGATGAGGCCCTGGTTGTCATCCGACGCCTGCACGGCAACATCGGCCATGACGACAGCTTTTTCCTCGCCGAATACAACCAGATGCGGGAGCAAATTCGCTACGAAAAGACGGTTACCAAGGCCGGTTGGCGCGAGGTTTTCAGCACCGCTGGAAACAGGAAGAGAGTCATGCTTGCCGTGCTTGTGCAAGTTTTCACGCAGATGAGTGGTATCAATGTCGTCAACTACTTCCAGACCGATCTTTACAAGGGCTTGGGAATGACGGGTCACATGCCCACACTTCTGGCAGGGTAAGTCGGTTTATTTTTAGATTATCTGTGGTATCTGTTGAGCTAACTGGTATTCTTTTTCCAGAATCTACGGTTTGGTTGGCCCCATTGCCAATGTGATTTGTCTTTACTATGTCGATACCTGGGGACGCCGTAAGACGCTTTGGATCACCGGTCTTATCATGGCTCTTGACATGGGTCTCGTCATGGGCCTATCCGGTGGCTATGGAGCCTCTCAAAACATGGTCGCGAAAGGCTTTACGATCGCTTTCATCTTCTGTTTCACTGCAATGTAAGATCCTGTCTCCACGTATAGTTTGTCCCCATCCACTAATTACGAACTTTCAGCTACTCTCTGGGTTACAACTCGATCCATTACATTTATGTTCCTGAGATTATGACCATGGCAGTTCGTGCCAAGGTAAGTACCCGACTGAAAGCTTTAATAGTGAGCATCAACTGATAACTGTGATTCTTGAAGGGCTCTGCTATTTCCGTCGTATCCAACGTCCTCATTAATATCGTGTTCAACCAAGTCTCCCCGATTGCCTTCAAGCAGGTTGGCTACAAGTATTATTCGCTCTTCATCTGCACCAACCTTGTGGGCGCCATCGTTGTCTACCTGCTTTTCCCTGAGACAAAGGGCAAGTCGCTGGAAGAGATTGCCGAGATTTTTGGAGACGAGGTTGTTGTCGCGGATCTTGACAAAACCCAAGCGAAGATGGCGGATACCTTGGAAGAAGCAGAACAGGTGGAGCATCGCAATGCACAGAAGTAAGCTATTTCGAAGATGGTCTCACCCATTTAGTTTTTTCCCGACGGGAAGAAACTCTTCGGATATGGGTCTCTGTTTCATGATTGGGAAAAGGCCATAGGATGTATATGGAGTTCTTAGGTTGTTCAACAATCTTTTACTACCTGGTAGTGATCGACTATACTCAGCATCAATAGTAGAGGCTAGTACGATCACACTTACTCCTTTTGCTAGAAGTCGCTGGTATTATCTTCCCACTAATCCATAAACCCCTAATGCAATAGCAGTTCTATCGCTATGCAGATCGGATCCAAGCTCGATCGCGTTGGTCACTAACACTACTAAATAATGGCCTTTAAGGTGTGTATGATAAGTCAGATATATTTCCGTTATCACCCAATCTTATAGTTTGCCTTCCCGATGTCATGCATGCTTGTTGCTGCCAACCTCGGCCGGAAACCTTACAGTCGACGAACCATATATACGCTGATAGACTGAAAGTATGCTACTAGTATTGAGGTCTTGCGAAACACAAACACATTACCCTCTTCTTGTATATATATGCCACGTAGACTTGAAGCAAGATTTGGATGTCAGTGCTGCATCAGTATTTGAGACATCGGCAAAGTGTGACGCAGTCATCATGCAGGAGGCCAACCAACACAAACAACAGATTCATCGAATCAAACGCAGCCACGTGCAGTGAGGAGATGGAACGTTAGGGAAATAGCCCGACGACTCGCTCCTACTCTGCTAATGCTAGAGGCCTACTTAATTGTTGTGATTACCACGGTCTTAATTACATACCTTCGTTCTCCGCGCATCCTTAACTTAACTTATTTACATTCAACCTCCGCCAAAGAAAGCCTTGGCCACTGACGAGACCCCTGGCGAAGCGACCAAAGCTTCTGTGTCGACCGATTTTTGTGGTCGATTTGCAAACACCCGGTAGCATGGACTCTGATACTGCCTCGAAGACCCAGAACAGCATCCTTGAACAGGTCTGCCGCTTGTAGCCTCAAGTGTTTCTTGCATTGTTGCTAAGAAGATATAGCAGCCCAATGAGCCACTTATGTTCGAAGCCAAGACTATTCCACTAAAAGGGATAGGCCTGGTAGCCCTCCAAGACATACCTCAGGGGACTCTGATTATCCGAGAGAGGCCGCTATTAGTAGCTCGGCCTGGAGCACCTGGCGCACTCGAGGACTTCTTATCGTCGGAGCTCAAAAAGCTGGACAAAGCGAGCCAGCGCCAGTTTTTGTCTCTTCACAATAACTTTCCCGGAAAGCATCCTTTTGCTGGTATTATGAAAACGAATGCTCTGCCGTGCGGTTCTGGGTCTGAGATCGGGGCTGTCTATCCAACAATATGTCGCATCAATCACAGCTGCCTCCCAAACAGCCAAAATACATGGAATAGTGACACCAAAATCGAGACTATCTTCGCCATCAGGCCAATTAAGTGCGGAGAAGAGATTACAATCATGTATGACCAGGGCGGCCCATCTACGGTCCGGCAAGCTTCCTTGAAGCAGTCATTTGGCTTCAAGTGTAGCTGTGTCGTCTGTTCGCAGCCACCGGCCCTGCTTCGAGAAAGTGACGCTCGTCGATCACGAATCCAACAACTCGATGGTCAGATTGGGGACCCTTTTCAGATGTTGAAGAGTCCAGAGAAAAGCCTCAAGGATTGTCATTCGCTGCTACAGGTCCTCAAGGCTGAATATGGGGCTTATCCCGGAGCTCTCGCTGCCCGGCTTTATTACGATGCTTTTCAAATCAGCATCGCGCACGGTGACAAGACGAGGGCAAGTATTTTTGCGGAGAAATCGTATCAAGCGAGGCTCATGTGCGAGGGCAACGAAACGCCTGAGGTGAAGAGGGTCAAGATGCTTGCGACGAACCCCTCAAACCATAGCACCTTCATGGCATACTCTTCGAAGTGGAAAAATACTAAGAAGGAGAAATTTGGAGAAGATGATAATGAGGCTTTTGAGCGCTGGCTTTTTCGCATTTCGAACTAAGAACCTGGAAATAGCGAACAGTTTCCAGGCGAGCTATTAAAGACAACGGCCAAGATGCACCATAACGAGAGGCCTCTATCTTGAGCCTTGCTTGCTAGTGTCTGCGAAGCCTGATAGGCGAGAGCGGGTCTATGTAGGATGCAACTGAGAAGATTGAGCTGGTGTCTCACCCTAGCGGTACTGAGACTAGGTTGGAAGATGATTTTCGTAGTACAAGCCATAGGGAATATAATGTTTTGGTACGTGGCATATGGTTCTGCAATATTCTATCGGCGATGCTTAGAAATGGTGGCCGAGTTTCCAGCCTGTGTGATATCCGTTGGAACTTAGCTATAGCCGGTAATCGGTGTGAGAAACATGGATGGAGCAATAAGTGGACTGTAGGTAGGTGATCATCTATGAGAAGAGCAAAGGTAATGTATACAATTCGGCAACGCCAATCACATTCCTGTAAACTTCTTGGAATATTCTAGCCAGTCCCGCTATGCCACTCATTCTTTTTTTCCGAGTAGCGTGACGGATACGCCAAGCTTATAATGGCATGCATGACAAGTCATCAATGCATCGTCATGGGGGTTGCCAAAGGTAAACCGTGAACATAGGCGGGGCCGAGCGGCATCCAGGATTTTCTTCTGCGTCTCGATGCAACGGTATAAACGGATGTCTTGATCGAGGTGGAATCCCGCATATGATTCTTGTGGTATGAGGTGGCAGTGCCCGACTGATCCGGCAATCAGTGACAAGAGTCAGCCTCCATCTCCTTGCATAGCGCTACGTTTCACCATTCCTCGGGTCGTCTTACGAGCAACCTGTTTTTATCCTATTGTCGATGCTGGCTGTGGAATGAGATTGCAACCCCACAAATGCGGCACGACGGGCGCAGCCGGTTTTAGCTGAGAGTGCCACCAGCTCGCGCTCGATGGCTTTGTGATCACAGATCGTCATCGCAAGATCTACCCGATCCATGGGAATTTTTTGTAGTCACAGACTCCAGAGGCAAATATTACGCATCTCGTTGTACTCCCGTATTTACATTCTATGGGGCTGGGCACAGGAGCTGTACAAGGCTATAATTTATGTCTCATATAAGTGCGACATGTCTAATTACAGGCAGACCTCGTGGCTTATAGAACAGCTGACAACCTTAACTCGTGGTGATCGCAAAGGAATGTAATTTAGATCACGCCAGGAGGGACGGAAAGTAGGCCGCCCGTCCAGGATGAACGTTCCGCGTTTCAAGTTGGCCCCATCTCAGCGCAGGATTGAGCATCATGCACGGCTTTTGACGTATTTCCAGAACGAGCATATGTGGAACCGTTCGACGCATCTAGTCATGATGAGCACTACGTCAACATGGATCTTTTGTTGCGAGCCAGAGTTCCTCAGCTGTTGCCAATTCTTTATATATTGCCTTGCCAATCGTTCATCTTGCGGCTTTAGATTCTTCAACGGACCCAACCGACTTTGTTCTACCATAGGCCTGTTTCCGTCATCATGATTCTGACCAAAGTCGCTTTGTCCATGCTTGTGGCTATGGCCCAAGCCTGGACCTTGGATAGCAGAGGTATGTGCTAGTCATTCCCTCATCCTACCCAACTATCTACTGCGGGGATGCTGATAATAGGATTCAGAGCTTATCCCCGAGGATGGAAGCTCCCTGACAAAGCGCTGGCTGCCTAAGGTGAGCAAGGTTCGTGGCGTAAACCTCGGCTCCCAGTTCATCATCGAGGAGTGGTTTGCGAAGGATAGCTGGAAGAACATGGGCTGCTACGGCTGGTACGACGAGTGGAACTGCGTCAAGGCCCTTGGTCAAGCCAAGGCCGACGAGGTCTGGAAAAATCACTGGAACACGTGGATTACCGAGGCAGATATCAAACAGATCAAGGAGATTGGCCTTAATACTGTGCGCATTCCCGTCGGCTTCTGGATGCGAGAGAGCCTTGTTTATGCAAACGAGTATTACCCTCGTGGCGGGCTCCCCTATCTTGACCGCATTGTAGGGTGGTGCAAGAAGTATGGTGTCTATGCCATCATTGATCTCCACGGTGCCCCTGGATCGCAGTCTCCGAATGAAGAGTTCACTGGCCATGTAAGAAACCCTTATCTTGTTTGCCCAATGTACAGTTCTCGCTAATAGATTTATTACCAGGGCGTTAATCCGCCACAGTTCTACACTTCTGCCAACTATGAGCGAGCGCTCAAATTCCTCGAGTGGATGACCAACCGTATCCATACAAACGGCAACTATACAACGGTCGGTATGCTGCAGGTTTTGAACGAACCTGTTCGAGGCGGAGTTAATGCCACTGATATGCGCAAGAACTTCTATCCAAAGGCGTATGAACGCATTCAAGCCGCCGAGGCTAAGCTCAACATTGCAAAGGCGGACCGCCTCCACATTCAATTCATGGTGCGTTTCTCAATCTTAATTATACTGCGTGTTGGTCCATTTCAACTAACAGAAACCTCAGGGCACAAGTTGGGGATCTGGTGATCCAAGAGAGTTCCTGCCCAGCACGGAAATGGCTTTCTTCGACGCCCACCGCTACCTAAGCTTTGATAACCGCATCGAGGGTACAAAGAAAGCCTACATCACGCAGGCCTGCAAGGATAACATGGGCACCAACGTGACGGTGGGCGAGTGGTCGCTTTCGGTGAATAGCACACTGAAGAACACACCTGAATTCAAATACCAGGGCCAAGAGACGTGGTATCGCGCTTACTGGGCGGCGCAGGCCGAGTCCTTTGAACGCTCCAACGGCTGGATCTTCTGGACCTGGAAGTGCGATGGTGTTGAGGACTGGCGCTGGTGCTACAAGCAGGCGGTTGAGGCCGGTGTCATCCCCAAGGATGCCGGTACAGCCGCGGCACTTAGCCCGTGCTCTAGATATACCTAGATGGTGTTTTTTTAAGCTTCACCAGCTTCCTCTTTCTCCAGACTTGGTCAGAGTTCCTAGGTTATCTATGCTGGAATTAGTCAAGTTTATTAGAAAGATGAAATCGTTGATGGGGGTGGCTCGCTAAACTATAAAGAGCTTTCTATTCAATTCTCAATAGAAGTAATGCACATGAGTGAACTGGTCATGTCAATCTTTCAGCAGTCACGATATACAAATTTGACGGCATCAAGTCCTCAAGAACACATCGATACCTTAATTGAATTGCTTACAGCATCCCGCTACCAGTCGCTTGACTGAAACCGTGTAAAAAGGAGACAATGTTGTGATTCCAACTTTTTCTGACTACCCTACTCAATTCGACTGCTCATAGGTTTGACATGATTCTAGATCCAGAGGGTACTTCAATAGTTATTCCCGCTAGAAGAAGCTGCCCATATGTCTTGGCTTGTCTGCGAAATGTTAGAATTGTAATACGTTTATCTTCTCTTAGGGATGATATGGAAAACATACCTATCTAGTCGGAGGCTTGAAAGACCGCCGCCACCCAGAGATCGGGTGAGCACAAAGTTGAGCGCTGAAACTCCAGGCACCTCGAACCGTGTCACTTGTCCCCCAACAGCAATAAAGTGACTAAACTGAGCAAAGACCAATTCAGGGCTCAATTTCTGCACTAAATGCTCGTAGTGATTTGGATCTCGGGCAATGACGGCTATGTTTGCAGTATCACCTTTATCACCGGATCTTGCAATCGCAAGTTGGTGCAGCTGCACTAGTTTGCGGTTGTTCTGTGGAAGGGTCTTGGGCTGAGAACTGGCGTGTACGCGGGTTTTTGCAGCCTCAATGGGCCGGCAGCCTTCAGTTCTGAACGAGACCGAGACAGGGTTTGGAGTATCAACTCGAACTTGAGGAATGACTTTGCATCGGTTGATGAGTATACTGCTGGCGACGAAGTTGGGACTGCTTCTCGCTCGGCCAGACGTGAGAAGACAGACACCTGAGCAGCTGTTTGTAAGGAACGAAGCCGCCTCTTTGCTTAAGATATCCAAAACCTTCCGGTTGGAGTGTCTGGCTGATACCCGCAGCACAACTTCCTTTCGTTTCTCCTGTGTTGCCGCAGGACCCAAGCTCGACTCGTTTCCAATAATTGCAATAGCTGAATCTGAAGAATTGATTGTATTTTCTGTGCCGGGTAATTGTTGGGATGCGATCGTGTTGGTTCTATCAATGAGGGCTGCTCCTAGGTATCTAGCTTTGTCTTCGGCTTCCTCACCGCACACCAAAAAGTCGACGGCGATGCGGTGCCCTCTCTGTCGTACTGCCGTACACTTCAACCAGGGGCTTGGTGGCTTTCCTTTGGCTCCACGCACCAAAACATGGCCTGGCTCAATCAAGTCAACCTGGACGTGGCTCATATCCACAACGACATCAGGGAGAGCGTAGTTCTCTGGGTCAAGAACTTCATACAGCATTTGTTCGATGACGCTCGCACGGGAGACAATCCCTCCAGTCTTCTCCGGTTTTGTGATGGAAAACGTGTTATCCTCATTGAAAGTGAGAATTGGATAACCCATGTTGGACCACCCGCCATTGGGACTGAATGCTGAAAGTCTCCAGTCTGTAAAATTCCCGCCAGTGGCTTGAGCTCCGCATTCAATCACATGTCCTGCGAGTGATGCACTCGCTAAATGATCCAGGTTGGTTTGAGTCATCTCGTACTGCCATCCGTACTCGAATGCCAGGGGTCCGAGAACAAGTGCGCTATCAACACATCGACCCGTCACAACGATGGTTGCTCCTTGCTTCAGTGCTTCGGTGATTGGCTCAGCCCCAATGTAAGCATTCAAACTCAACAGATTATCAGCCCTATCAAGTCCAGCTTCAGGTGAGCTCGCTCCACTGAGAGGGTCGAACTGTGTGAAGGCATCTTGTTCTGCCAACTTTCCGAATTCAGAGAGGATATTGTCACCATATACAGCTGCGACTTTGACTCGTGAGTCAAGTCCTCTCGATTTGATGTGCTTATCAATCGCCTGTTTTAGACCAATGGGGTCTAATCCCCCCGCGTTGGTGACAATCTTAACACCTTTCTTCAGGATGAAGTCAAGGTATGGTGCCAGAACCAAATCCAGGAATTCACCTATGTAGCCCTTCTTTGATGCAGCAACTGAACGAGCCAGAAGACCCATCGTCAACTCTATGACGCGAGTTGTCATTAACATTAATTCCACGAACATGTCTCCGAGTACTCACCCGCTAGGTAGTCGGCAACGAGGTAGTCAAGTTTCGGTTGTTCATTTTCAAGGAACTGCTTTACGGCTGAGGCTGAATCGCCCCAAAAAGCACTATTCTTGAGTCAGCTTCGCCTACATGACCGTGTTGATCTGATGTCGTACCTATAGCACCCAATCTTAACTTGTTTCATTTCAGCAAGCTTCAAAAAGATAATATATGCTGAATTCCAGGATAATCGCCTCAAGGATACGGTAAAACTGGCATAGCCAAATTGCTTTTACCAAATACGTGCGTAAGACCACAAGCGGTATTCATTGTTCCGCTCAGCCTGTGGTGGGTGGGGACGGCAATACAGTACCGTTCTCGCCTTGGCCGTGACAAGCCGCCTTCAATAAGCCTTGGCAAGTTTTTGTTCACATCAGAGGTACTGCGCATCTTCTTAATCCAGTTTTACTTGGTATAGTAACATACATTGTGTTGAAGTTTTGAGGACGCTCAGAAGAGATGCTATTGCCGGATTCATAGCTCGTGACTAACCTTACTACTAGGTACATTCTATTGGGATTAACATTGGAATATCGCAAATAATTGCTTTCAATCTTTAGTTTAAGTCATGGTAGGAAACAAGATCAAGCGAAGTGGTAGATACAAGGATTCAACATTTTCCTAGTATGCAGATATATATAATTATTCTAAATTGCAAAGAAGAGACCCTTCATCAACTGAATCTCCCTCCTTCAGAGTTGTTTGGAAGATACCATCCCTACCCGCAGTTATCGTGATTTCCATCTTCATGCTCTCCACGACCATGACTACTTCGCCCATCTTAACTTCATCGCCGTTCTTCTTTTCCACACGCAACACCTTGCAAGGCATCGGAGCAAGAATGGTCTTGGAGCTTGCCTCTCGTTCTCCACCAGCAGAAGCTCTGAGGCTTTCAAAATACGATAAGGGAGAATAACAATGAAATTCGAATGGCGCACCCAGAGCAGGAACGTGCGCGAGAACTTTGCTAGGGGTACCCATGTCAGATTCGAGATGAAGCACTCGATCATCTACCGATACGAGGGTGACGGTATATTTCTGTCCCGAGACTGATAGCCCCAGCCGACCAACCTTCCAACTGTTCGGCGTATTCAGCACAGCTGAGAAAAGGCGTAGCTCGTGAGGCTGTAGATCAAGCTGTTTCGAGTCAGGTAATGGTCCTCTTCGAAGTGCGGTACTCAACGTATTATACGTAATAGTAGCTTCCTCCGGTCCATTGGCCTCAGCGGCCTCAGCTCTAGTCTTTGGGCGCGGCATGGGGGCCACTTGAACACGGAACCCATCAGAGGGGGGACTCTGTGACTCTTGAAGCCAACGGCATACAATAGGGTCAACGGTAGATCCAGCCTTTGCATCATGACGTGTGACGATGTCCCATGGTACATTGACCCTATCCATGGTCTGGTTGCGAAAGCCGCTTCGAATACTCCCAAAGACTTTTCTGGATTGTTTCAGTCCACTCTGAGATCTTAGTTCACGAATAAACATGCTCGGAATAGCAGAGAGCTCTTGCAGTGACAGGCCGAAATTTTTCAGGTGCGGGTTTTCAAGAAGCCGCTCAAGGTTCGAAGGGATAAACGCCGTTGTGTAATCAACGCTGTGAAACTTTTCATGCATGAGACAAGCCTGCAAAAAGCACTGGTTTGTAGAAGGCCCGATGCAAGCGGTTTCTGAGAGTGTTCGGACTATCTTATTGATCGCCAAATCCCTCGTGGGGGCCCAGACAACAATTTTGGCAATCATTGAGTCAAAGAATATTGAGACCCTGGTTCCAGTTTCGATGGCGGTCTCGAATCGAACATCTCTTGGAATGTCTGGGTTGGCCGGTTCCCAGAATCGTACAAGGCCATGTTGGGGTGCGAAATCGCGAATAGGATCTTCCGCACACAATCGACACTCGATGGCATGACCAGTCTGAGGAATAGTCTTTAGCTGTGGTAAATTGCCCAACACACCTCCAGATGCCACGTAAATCTGAAGGGAAACTAGATCAAGACCGGTGCACTCCTCCGTGATCGGGTGTTCGACCTGAAGCCGGGCGTTGACTTCCAGGAAGTAGAAATTGCCCGTAGCAATATCCAAGATAAATTCAACTGTTCCTGCGCCCTCATACTTGATGAGTTGGCCGATTTTCACTGCTGTGTTGCACATTTTCTCACGAAGTTCGGGACTCAGCCATGCACAGGGGCTCTCTTCGATAACTTTCTGATGTCGACGTTGGATAGAACAGTCGCGTTCCCAGAGCGAGAGAACCTTTCCTGTCTTGTCGCCCATTATCTGTACTTCGACGTGCTTGCCAGCCTCAATGTACTTTTCCAAAATGCACTCGCTAGATCCAAAGGAGCGCTTAGCCTCGGACTGGGCGCGTTCCAATTCGCTCTTCAACAAAGAACTGCTGCGAACGATCCGCATGCCCTTTCCGCCTCCTCCGGCTGATGCCTTGATCATAATCGGGTAGCCAATAGCCTCAGCTTCCCTTTCTAATTGTTTGAGGTCCATTTCCTCGCCTGAGCCATTCCAGCCGGGGATCAGAGGGATGATGGGTTCATTCTTGCTTAGATATTCCTTAGCTTGTCTCTTATCCCCGAGGGTTGACATTGCAGTCGAACTCGGGCCAATGAAGACCATTCCTGATTCACGAACAGCATCTGCAAATTGCGAGTTCTCGCTGAGATAGCCATATCCTGGATGAATGGCGTCCGCTCGAGCTTGTTTGGCGGTTTGAATCAGGTAGGGAATGTCAAGAAAAGGATTGACCTGAGCATGTTCGACAGAGCCAAGATTCATAGCTTCATCAGCATCGGACACGTGCCTCGATGTTGCATCTCTGGACTTATGGTCAGCCTGTGTCAAAGATTGTGACTTGGGTCTGAGCAGCTCTTCGAATATGTGTATTTACTCTTTGGTGTAGATGGCGATACTGGTGATCCCCATCAACCGACACGTTTTGATGATGCGGCAAGCAATTTCTCCACGATTAGCGATCAGAACCCGGGAGATTCTATGGTTGCCCTCATTTGAGACTGGCAACTGCGCCGTCCAAAGAGGCCGCCTTGGGGAGCTTCTATCCATCGCCATTGTCCGATTCTCAGTTTCCGGTGCTTTTCACACACTAAACAAAGACGAGGGTGAAGAGGTGTGCAAAAAAAATATAGAACCTTCGTTGAAGTAAAAGCAACTAGAATCAACCAGATCCCAATCTTATCGCCAAGGCTTCCGAAAGATTGTATATAACCAATCTCATTAAATGCAATAGGTCACAGCACATGCCAGGTAAATGCTAGAAGCAGCCGAGTTTCTCAATTACCGTCTCATCCGTCCCCACAACTAATCATCTCGGCCGGGTACTACCACAGACTCTCACCTCGCTCATCTGGCCAGCGACGGAAAGCCAAGGCAATTCCTGAAAAACCTACATTTTATTTTATTCCAGCATCTAGTGCACACGTACGATCACGGGCTATTTAAACTCTCCCTTTACGGCACTGTTTCAACCAAATATACAGCTTATAGTGTGATCTAAACTAAATCAAATTCTAAAACATGCCTCAAACATCCCCTCGGCTCGTTTGGACACCGGTGCAAATAGAAGGCGAAATTGGGACTTACAAGTCGGGCAAGAATCTTAAGATTGTCCTAAGGCGACCCAAGAACGGGAATGCTCTGAACGCATCCATGCTCGCTCGAATCAAGGAATCTTACCAGAAAGCAGCCAACGATGACAGTATCTCTCGAATTGTTCTGACCGCCGAGGGGAAATTCTTCTGTACAGGAATGGATCTGGGGAAATCGACTACGGCAGTTGGCCAGGGCGAAGATGCTGCCTCCCGAGCATTTGAACAGTTCACTACACTCTTTGAGACCATCCAAGATTCACCCAAAGTCACGATTGCAGCCATCAACGGGATGTGCTACGCCGGAGGAATTGGGCTGGCATTTTCTAGCGACATTCGTCTGGCAACTGTCAATGCCACGATGGCGCTGAGTGAGGTCAGGCTTGGCCTGTGCCCAGCAATCATCTCCAAGTACCTTGTGCGAGAATGGGGTCTTGCATTCACACGAGAGGCCATGCTGTCAGGCAGGACAATCTCCATGGCCGAGTTGAAGCAAATCGGTGCCGTGCACGGTCTTGCAGACGATGAAGTTGCACTCAGTGCGCTCTTAGACGAGTATCTGACCAATTTGAGCACCTGCGCCCCTAGTGCCTCCAAGATGTGCAAAGATCTGGCGCAAGAAGCCTGGCTACGAGGCGGCACGGCTGAGCAGGATGCTGCAATCTACAAGATGTTCAAAAACATGATGGGCCCAGATTCGGAGTCTGCCATTGGGCTCCGCAACTTCCAGTCGGGGAAGCGATCCACAGATTGGGACAGTTTGAATCATCGGGCAATAGGATCCAAGCTATAGAAGGGTTTAGTCATGTCATTGATCGCCAATAAGGGAGTGCCGGATATGCGAGTGCTCTGGGGACAACGAAGACAGCACGGCAAACCCGGTTTCATTAGCCGGGTTACATACAACCACCCAAAGAAACTAGTCATAGCACACCATCATGTAGCCTCTTTACCTCGGTCTCAAATAAAGCCTTGGATATTACCCAATAAGACTTCGGATAGACTGTGGCATGGTTTAGACTCGGTGATCTTCCTCTTGCAATATTTCTTTTGAGCTAACCGCCTGTCTTCCACGACTAAACAACCAAGAGGGGTGTCAAATTCCACTTTCACTTCACTATAATGGCGTCTACAACCCCCCTACCAGTTGTTACGGCCAAACTTGACCTGAAGCAGCCTCTTTTCAACGAAAATAGGAAGTCCTGGGAGCCTGTACTTGAGAGGTTCGAAAAAGCTCTGCAAGATGTTACCTCAGAGGGTGATGAACGGTCGCAGCGGATCCACCATGAGCGCGGACAGCTTCTTGGTCAGTATTGTCCTCCAGCCTTGTAGTGAAAGACAATAATACAATATGCATTCCAATTACTAAACAGTCAATTTCAGCTCGTGATCGTGTTTCCCTACTCCTGGATCATGATTCCCCATTCCTAGAATTAGCCTCGTTTGCAGGCTTCGAACTTGATTCCACCCCTTGTGCCAGTCTGATAGCCGGGATAGGCAAAGTTAGGTAATGTAGTCTCATTTTTTCTCTTCTCGTTTCAAGATATGTATTGCTAATTTAAAACCAGCGGGCAAGTATGCATGATCCTGTCTCATATCCCATCAATCAAGGGAGGGTCTTGGAATGAGTTCACCAGTGAGTTTGCTCTATGGATAGCCTCGTACAGGATGATCAGGAAGATACAGTTTACAATACTGACCCAAGTTCAGTTCTCAAGCATAACCGAGTTACGCAAATTGCAACCGAGAACAAGTTACCGCTCATCGGGTTAGCACAAGCAGTGAGTAGCAGTGCGAACACGTTCTGAGTGCTTCGAGGTATCACCTTCTTACACAAGAACCACAGGCCGGTGCATATCTCCCGCAGCAGTTCCGTGTTTTTCATAGAGCAGGAGAGATGTTCCGAGATCTCTCGAGGAGAAGTCAAAAGGGCATTCCATCTTGCAGCGTTGTCTTTGGTTCCTCTACGGCTGGCGGCGCCTACCTTCCTGGTCTCTCCGACTACACAATATTTGTCAAAAACCAGGCTCAAGTATTTCTTGGTGGGCCGCCTTTAGTCAAAATGGCTACCGGAGAGGTCATTGATGCGGAGACACTCGGCGGAGCTGATATGCATGCCACTGTCACTGGTCTGGCAGATCAAATAGCCTTTGACGAGTAAGTCCATTCCAAGAAGTCGAAGGAAGAAATTAATCCTTGAGATACTAACTAACTTGCTAGATTTGACGCTATCCGCAAGGCTCGACTATGGGTTCAGTCTCTGAAGCCACAGAATCTGTATTCTTCTTTGTTTGTGCAGCCTCTCGAGCCGAGGTATCCAACCGAAGACCTTCTTGCTCTTGTCAACACCGACATACGCAAGCCATTCGATATGGCAGAGGTTGTCCTTCGCATAGTTGACGATTCGCGGGTGTCAGTATTTAAACCATCCCACGGGAAAAACCTTCTCACCTGCTGGGCCGAAATTCATGGTGAGCCAGGGCGCCTCAAATATCTGAGGTACTATTTATTAATTGATTATAGGATTTCGAGTAGGTATAATTGGGAATCAAACCCCTGTGATACAACCAGATGAAGCTTCAAAAGGCGCTCAGTTCATCCGGCTTTGTAATCAAGGGTACGCAAACATGTTCTCGTATCATAACTTTTCTTCGACTGATTTCTAATCCAGGAATATTCCAATCATTTATCTACACAATGTAACCGGATTCATGGTAGGCTCCAAGGCGGAAAGAGAAGCTATCATCAAGAAAGGCGCCCAGTTCGTGGGGGCTGTGAGTTGCTCCCAAGTACCCCAGATCTCCGTCATTCTGGGATCTTCATATGGTGCCGGGAACTATGCTATGTGTGGCAGGGCCTATCAGCCTCGATTTATGTTTACCTGGCCATCTGGAAGGTGCAGTGTGATGGGACCGGACCAGCTCGCAGGGGTTATGGATATTGTGCAGTCCGGAAGCGCAGCGAAGAAGAATCTAGGGAAGACGGCCAAGGCCCCTTCATCATCATACAAGGCTGGCATCGAAAAGTTTCGGCAGAAGGTGGAGAAGGAGAGCCAGGCATACTACACCAGTGCTAACCTTCTGGATGATGGGATAATTGATCCAAGAGACACAAGAGAGGTGTTGGGTATCTGCTTGAATGTTGTTAATTTGGATCCTGTTCAGGGGGCTCAGACACAGAAGGGCCTGGCCAGACTATAAATCAGAAACCATGTTCACTTTATCAATAGGGAAGTTAGTAATCATACATACTTGAAGGAACTTTGGTCTTGTCTCTAATTATTATCAATCTTAATAGATTTACAGAGTATCTGAGGTTTTTAAAAATCACCTGCTGAACACCTGGTACTCTTCACATGATGGACACTTACGTGCATGCTGGCAGCTTGGGAAAGAATTTCACTGAAGATACTGAACCGAGAGTAATTCCACTCTCCTGAATATAGAGCAATACTCTCAGATATCTCAATATTTATTCTTTTATATGATTTTAGACTTTTATTCGCCGCTAGGCGCTCATTCATGACTTGATACTAGCATTAACCAAACCATCAATCACAGCTTGCTGCCCAAAGCTTTCATCTCCTGATTGAGAGAAAGCTCTGTCAAAATCTCTTCGCTTCCACCGCCAACTACCATGCAACGAACATCGCGGCTGATCTGCTCAACCCGCCCGCCCCTACCCCCCTTAGAGTAACCGACACCTCCCATTATCTGCTGGGCTTCGCGAACAGCGTGCTCTAGCACCCTGCACGAAAGCACTTTTGAGCTTGCCAGGAGACCGCTAATGCCTGGAGGTTCTACTCCAGTTGTTCTCAGTGATTGAGCCAACATATAGACCAACTGCTCAAGATAGGTTTGACCCGCCTCCAGCTCACGCCCTACAGTTGCCAATTTGGCCCTAATAATCTGGTTCGAAACGAGCTTCTTGCCAAATGTCTCGCGCCTTGACGCGTAAATAAATGAGTCCTCAAGACACACTCTTGCAAGACGCAAAGCCATGCAAGATAGCCAGGTTCGTTCGTGGTTGAAATCTAGAGAAGACAAGTATTAGCTCACGTCCATATAGGATAATAGTGTGCGAAGTCATACTTGACATGATGATTCGGAAGCCTTGGTTTTCTTCTCCAATAAGGTTCTCGATTGGGACTTCAACATTGTCAAATTCAATGTAAGTAGATCCTAAGATAGCTTTAGTATCCTATGTATCGACGTCAGAGAGTAAGACGTGTTTTCTTACCACTAGCAGAGACTCCCGAGTTGAACAGCCTCTTCCGGGTTATCCCAGCGGAGGTCAGCGGAATAACAATTGCAGAGATTCCCTTTTGTCCTGGGCCTCCGGTCCTCACAGCCGCGGTGCAGTAGTCCGCCCAGATGGCATTTGTAATCCATTTCTTAGCACCATTGATCACATACTTGTTTCCTTGCCGCGTAGCTGTGGTGGTGATGCCGGCGACATCGGAACCAGCGTCCGGCTCAGTCACTCCGAGACAGAACCTAGTTTTTCCCTTCAAGACATCAGGAATAAACTTTCGCTTCTGTTCTGGCGTTCCGAACCGAATCACGGGAGGCAGGCCGATGATGTTTCCGCATGCGAGCCCCCAAATAACTCCAAGATAACCGCATCGTGCAATTTCATCCATGACAATTAGATCGCAAAACTCATCCCACTCTGAGGGGCTGATTCCACCGGGGAGCTTGATTTCATCCAAATACTCAGTGGCCAGAGGGAATACCGACGCGGCCATGAGTCCGTTCTCTGCAAATTTCGTGATGACCTGACCAGGTGAGAATCGATTCATATCAGGGGGTCATAAGGTAGTTCAATAACCTACCTCTTGAGGAATTGAGCCGCTCGCCTCCCATTCCTCGCAGTACGGGATGATGTGCTCATCAACAAAAGACCTGACTTTTTTCCTCAAAGCAACATGCTTGTCTTGGTAATAGGGACTCTGGCCCCTTGATACCCAGAGAGGATCAGCGTACGGGACACTCATCTTGGAAATATTTGCTGACGACACAGATGATTGAGCAGCTATTGACGAGAGTCTTGATGTTTGAGATATTGGCTATTGTAGTGAGAAAGAGCTTGAAAATTACAATAAATATATAGAATCTAGGCTTTATACCTCGGCTTTCCGAGTTATGGCCGTAGTGTGGGGACGGGTCATAGCCACTCTTGATACCCGTGCCTGTCTAGTCTCCCCGTGTAAAAGCACAGAGATAGCGCAAATTGGTTCCTCAAAAATAATAAAATGGATTTTTCAACTAATGGCTAATCTAAAATATATTCAATTCACAAGAGGATTTGCAAAGTCGAGATACAATAGCTAAATGTAGAGCTCAACAACATGTAGCTACTAGGCAAGTATTCCAAAAGCTAGGTACACACGTACGTATATATAAAACCAAAAGTTATTTTCAACTTACTTCTGTCATGGTGAGTAACTCTTATCTGGGACGTTTTTTATTAGCAGCGTTAAATTCTTTCGAATTCTCCAAGATATGGTGTGTGGTTAGTTGGAAATTTGGAGCAGTTTAAGTAGATTCATTTGTAACTGGGTTAAACTTCACTGTCCAAAACCAATGGGTTTACGGAATTATACAACATATCATCAAAGATTATCAGCTAACCAATCTAGTTGAATCCTTCACAAGCCTCAAAGTCACATCGGAACTCGTAACTAGGAAACGTTCCGCCCGTACCCTAATTACTTAACGTATCTGAACAATGGAGAGCTGTCTCCCATCTCATGCAGTTCCTCTGTTGAAAACGGCTATTAGCAACTCGGAAAACTCTGGGCTCGCAGTGAAGTCAACAACATACCCTCTGTGTACTTGGCCCTAATTTCAGACTCAGGAATCGCATCTCTCTTCGCATTGGTCCAGTCGACAGCGAAGCGTAACGCCATTGCTGCACACATACCAGCAACTACCACGCCAAGTGACATACCGTAGGCAAGCGGGTAGCGGGGTGCCTGCTCGTCCAGGAATATGTTTGCTCCAACCGCTCCGCCGAAGCTGCCCAATGTCATCAAAACAGCCATTCCAATGGCCCGCTTCCAGGAAGGCGCAAGATTGTTGCTAACCCATGATATGCAACCAATGACAGCTGGATAGAGACCAGCGGGGATACAGAATAAGAAGGCATAGGTCAACCCTGGCAAGCGAGGGTGTTGAATAGACAGCAGAGCGATAAGCCCTACGCCAGAGATGCAGAATGGTATGATGACGAAGGGCCAACGAGCCTTGCGTCGGTCTGAGATCTTAGCAAGACCATAAGTCGCGATCGCCCCCACCAGATAAATGGGAATCGTGAGAAGTTGAGCATTAGCTGCAGAGTATCCCAGCTGCCGAATGATATTTGGGGCTGCGAAACTGAATGCATAGATACAGATACTAATCGAGCCGTCAGTCTCAATCCATCTTCTTGTGCCAACGCGTGTCTAGACCCACCTGTTTCCCCAGTACATGATAACACCAAGATAAATTCGATAATCCACGAAAGCAGCACGAAAGTGCTTCCATTGGAATTTTTCTGATGAGTCTCCCCGTGCTTGGGTCCCGGCGTCTTGCCGCAGCCGATGGATGAGGATCGTTTTCTCCTCTTGTGTAAGAAAGGAAGCTGTCTCAGGAGAATCGGGGAGTGCCCAGGGAATTATAACACCAATAAGTACTGTCAAGATGCCCTCGAGAATAAAGATCCAACGCCATCCTCCAAGGCCAGCTACGCCTTCCATATGTTGGATTCCAAAGGCAAGAAGACCCGAGAAGCTTCCCGCCAGGGAGGCCGCTGAGAAAAAGATAGCAACACGGGTTTGGTATTCCCATCGGCAGTACCAAGTCGTGAGTATGTATGTAGCAGCTGGGAAAAAGCCAGCTTCAGCAACCCCAAGCAATATTCTAGTAACCAATAGTTGTTCATAGGTCTTGACGATCCCTTGAAGAGTGAGGACCTGTGATAGTCACTAGTCAGTTCATACTGGCCTATCGATCGAGTTCATTGATGGCTTACAGTGCCCCAGGTAATGACGAGAACACACATCCATCGCGAAGGCCTCATCATCTTGAGGATCACATTACTCGGTACTTCAAAAAGGGCATAGGGAAAGAAGAAAACTGTGAGGGCCATATTGTACTGAGGCCCAGTAAGAGCGAGGTCTACATTCATGCCTGCCACCCGAGCGTTCCCAATATTGGAGCGATCTACTCGAATTAGTCACAAACTCGCAAAGAGCTACAAACAACTATGGGTTTAAACAACATACCCATGAATGATAGAACATAGAGAACAGTTAAGAGTGGCAGCAGTCGGAGATCGATCTTTCGAAGCAGCCTTTTGATTTCTACAGAATCGATCTGAAGAGTCTCTGTTTGTGTGATTTCAACATCACCGGACAATTTCTCTCCATGATCCAAAGCTGGGTGATCGATAGCACTAGGCTTCCCTGCCATTTTGGAAGATTGATCGGTTGTCGAATGATTAATAATGACTTGAGGGTTGATATTGCAATGTGCAAGTGTTTATAGAGGGGCAGCATATACATACAGCAGGACTGAGTTCCATCCACCTTATATACCCCGTCCGAATGCTCGCGCATTCTACTGAACAACGACAACGCAAATTCGAATTGAGGAACCAGTGCCTGAAAAGAGCCTGGTTTCCCAGTCCGGGGCCCCACGAACACTATTTCCCCGCGCCAAGCCTCTGGTGCTGAACTATCACAACCTGGACCGCACTACTCGGATCCTAGCACGGCTATATCATACCCGCGCGGACGGTTAAGTGGCTTAGGAATAGGAAGTACTAGACTAAGGAGCATGAAAGGGGCCTTTGTAGCCTCTAGGGCCTCATGAAATAGTAGCAAAACATAATATTTGCTTTCTATCAACGGTGAAACGCATCCATACGGTTTGCTATTTCTGCTCTGTCCAAGTGAGTAGTGAGTTGGGTTCAAGAGATCGAGATTAGATTGAGGCGAGCACAAAGTTCCAATGTAAACATGAAGTTAATTATATGAATTTCACATCTTGCTCAAAGTCTGCGGGGGCTTGATCACAGCTGCACCGTCGCATAAACATTCTCGTCCACTTCCGATGACCTGTGCAGACCATTGGACTTCTTCCAATCCATCCGCTACTGAACCCTGCTTCCACAAGTGTACGAGCAGTGTGTCTCCAGGCCTCACAGGGCCAGCAAACCTGGCTGAGATTCTAAGCATACTGGAAGGATCGCCATGCCCTAGTCGCCGAACTATTTCATGCGCAATCTTATTGTACCCGAATACTCCGTGGTTTATGATGCCACCGTAGCCCAGCTCCTCTCCCACATCAGAAGCTGCATGAAGTGGATTGTAGTCCCCATTCAGCCTACTCAAGTCAGTACCGACGACAGGCGATGTTTATGGGCCATGCTTTTACCCTTACCTATACAAGTGAGCGCTTTCTTGTCCAATTTCGACTTCGAAAATCAGATCAGCATCTCGATCAGGCACGGCCTTTTTGTTAGACCTTGGCCCTCTCGGTCCACCCCAATTTCCTTGTCCAACATAAAACAAACTGCCGATAATCTTTGCATACTGCTCTCCAGACTTGACGTCTATCAAACAATCTTCGGACCGGACTACAGTCCCTGAATTTCCTTTGTCATAAACCCCGATGACCTTGGAGCGAAACTCAAATACATGGCCAAGTGATGTTGTTGGTAAGGGCTTGTAGATCTCGACCGCTCTATCTCCATCTACCAACCGTCTTGGGTCAAGCTTGGGTACACCTGGAATATGCGTTGATCCCAAGTTTCCGTAGAAGTCAATCACTTCGCTCTGATCTAATTTGAAAACTATTCAGTCGGTCAGCGCATGGCTCTGGGCTACACCATCGACAGTAGCACCTAGTCCTAATGGGTATGTCGGAAAGGTTGAGAACCTCGGGTCACCCTCCTGTCCAAAAATTAGCGCTCACATCATCTTGGATACATGTCATTGGTGTTGGTGACTCACATAAACAAATTGCGGTTCGTCAGCTCGGCATCCGATACTGAGATTGAACAACAGTGTGTCTCGCTGCAGCCACGTCACATTTCTCGCGGGAAACTCGAAATTTTTCCATGGTTCATTCATATTAACTCGCATGTAATCAGGAATTATTCTATTTCTTTTCTTACTATACGGCCTCTACTTGAAGACGATGGGTAGATGGCCTTTTGGGGCTGGTCGGTTCCTGAACAAGGCAGATGGATGGCCGGCTATATACTACCGTGCCCACCGGCCTACCTGCATTCCGACTTCGATAGGCCGACACTACTGTAGATCGAAACTGCTCGAGTCTAGACTCAGGAGGAGCGGCACTAGACTTAACTCAGTGCCTGTCTTATCCTCAAAATTGCTCTCATTGAATCATGTATTCATTCTACAGAAAAGAGAGATGCCTGAGATGACGAAAATGAAGCTTCCCCTTTTTTCGGACAGTGTAAGAACGGAACTAGCATCTTACAACATGGAATATTGTAAAGGTTCACCAGGCCATCTTCTTGAATGTACTATCGTTGCAATTGATGTTTCTATCCAGCTAGCATACTCAGTATTGGCTTTCCTACAATTTACTGTCCTCCCATCGTGGGGTTCGCTTTTCTGTAAATGCATTTAATCCCTCCTGCATGTTCTCGGTATCATAGATCTTTCTAGACCACCCATCAAGGAATAATCTACTTGCGTCAGCGACACTGAGTGACTCCCATCCCATCTTGAGCCCTTCTCTTGTGACAATAACAGCATCCGGACTATTCTCGACAATCATCTTAGCCAGTTCAAGAGCCTCTACTATTACATCAGCCCCTTTCTCGCAGACCCGATTGCAGACTCCCCACTCCTTAAATTCTTGCGCTGTTACAGCACGCCCCGTCAAGGCAAGTTCTGTGGCTCTTTGGCGGCCAGCGGTTCTCATGATTCGTGGAAGCGCGCCTCCAAAGGGTGTGACACCACGCTTGACCTCGGGCAGGCCAAAGGTGGCATGAGCTGATGCGACCACCAAGTCGCAGTTGACGGCCATCTCACAGCCACCTCCAAGTGCAGGGCCATTGACTGCTGCAACGATTGGCTTTTTACCATGGCGAAAGGAAACACCACCAAATCCAGTCTCCGGCAGGTTCATCGGCACCCCTTTCTTGTTGTTTTCCATCCATTCTTCAACTATTGTCAGCTAGGTACCGTGAAATCGACGCTCCTGCAAGCAAGAAGATATTCTTACCTTTCAGATCAGCGCCGACACAAAACGCTTTGCCCACTCCAGATAGGATTGCGACTCTCAGACTACTCTCTTTGTCGAACCACTTAAATACAGAGTCAAGCTCGTATCCGGCTTCAACACTTAGGCTATTAAGCTGTCTAGGTCGATTTATCAGGACCAGAAGGATACCCGGCTCTGGAATTGATATCTTGACGCTATTCAAGCCAGTGGGTGCACTTTCCAGAGCAGAGGGAGACATGAGATAGGCGCAACAGCTTTTCGTCTTTGATAAAGAATTTTCGATAGTGCGGGTTGGATCATCACAGTCAAATCAGGCGTAAAATTAGGCTGGGGATATTTCTTCCTCATTTGTGAAATTATTACATCCGTGAAAAGCCCAGTCCAGTGGGTGACACCGGAGTCATAGCCGGGCCACACGGCATATCGTTGCCGTGCGAAGAGTCGGATGCGACCCCGTGGGTAGAAGCTCATCAGCTTACATTCGAGTTATGGCTTTAATAATTAAGCGAACCTAATAGTGCGGTCGTCCAAATCATTGCTCCTTCAGTAAAAGCAATCATTTTGTCTCTTTGTGAACATACACTCCAGCTGCAACAAGATGTCCAACCCGGCCTTATCTCTTGTCCATGGACCGAATGAGCCAGCCCTGTTTGATCTGACGATTGGCCAGCTAGCAGACCAACAAGCAGTCAGATATGGAGACAAAGATTGTATTATCATCGGGTGGAACAACACACGTCTTAGCTACCGGGAGCTGAGCGAGAGCAGCAAGGTCATTGCTCGTGGATTGCTATCTCTTGGAGTGCAAAGCGGTGACCGTATAGCTATCTTGTCCGGTGACGATGAACGCTTCATACAACTATTCTTCGCTGCTGCACGTATTGGTGCTTGCCTGGTTATTATCAATAAGACATACACAGTCCCGGAGTGCCTGCGAGCTCTAAATCACACGGGTGAGGACGAACATATATTCCATTCCAACTCACCCGGCTAATTCCGCGACCCAGAGCCTACGATACTATTCATATCTAATGTCGTGGATCGCCGTCCGACTGCTCCTATCCTCGAAAAGCTCAGAGAAGGTCAGAATAGCCTCAAACACATTGTGATGACCCGATGGGATACCCTCCCCACCAACCACCCGCCATCTACGTGGGACAGTATCCTGAGCGCCGCACATTCCATCAGCGATTCGGAACTCAACAGGCGTCAAGCTCTAGTCAACAAACACTCTACCGTCAACATCCAGTTCACCAGTGGCACAACGGGCTCCCCAAAAGCGTCGATGCTTACTCATTTGTAAGTGGGAGCTCATGTGGTTTTTTTTCAAACTGAAGGCAAATCTCACAATTGATATTTCTAGTAACATCGGTAACAATGGCTTCTACATGGGACACTACCTCCAGCTAGTCCCAGAAGACGTTGTATGCTGTGGTCCACCCCTGTTCCACTGTTTCGGTCTGGTCGCAGGTCTCCTTGCCGCTTTCACCCACGGCTCATCGATCATTTACTCTGCACCGGATTTCGACGCCGCAGCAGTGGTTGGAATGGTTCTTGAAGAGCGCTGTACCGTTCTGCACGGTGTCCCCACCATGTTCACTGCAGTCATCAAGGAGCTAGAGAAGACTGGACGGTCGGTCAATACTATACGGAAAGGTTTCGCCGCTGGAACAAAAGTTCCACGCGCAATGTTGCTGGAGATGAGTGAAAAGCTAGGTTTCCGTCATATCGCTAGCCCTTACGGTGAGTCTATGAAACCACTAATTTTCTTTCCACGTATCAGAACTTGCAGTGTTGACAGCCGAGTAGGAATGACCGAGACTGCGCCAACGAGTTTTATTGTCAGGGTTGAAGATAGCCTCGAAAGGAAATTAGAGACTGTGGGCACGGCTCTGCCTCATGTTTCAGCAAAGATTGTTGATTCTCAGACTAAGATAGTCCCACGGGGAACAAGGGGCGAAATTTGCGTTTCTGGTTGGCACTTGCAGCAGGGCTACTTCAAGAACCCTGAGAAGACCGCCGAAGTCATGATAAAGGACGAAGACGGCACTGTATGGATGCACACTGGAGATGAGGGAGTCATCGATGAACACGGCTACCTGACCATCACAGGGCGTATCAAAGATATCATTATTAGAGGTCAGTCCCCCTCTCATACCCGGCCAACATTTCTGCTCTAAAAACGTGATCGATTACTGACCATGCTGATAGGCGGTGAGAACATTTATCCTGTCGAAATCGAGGAGAGGCTCCTGCATCATCCAGCTATTGGTCAGGCCAGCGTTGTCGGGCTACAAGACCCTCGCTACGGCGAGTCCGTCAATGCATTTCTCGAACTGCGTCCGAACCAAACAAAACCTACACTTGAAGAACTCAAATCCTGGGTCCGCGAGACACTGGGTCGTCACAAAGCCCCCGTTAGAGTCTTCTGGGTCGGCAATGGTGAGAGCATAACACAGTATCCGGTCACGGGAAGTGGAAAGATTCGAAAGGAGGTCCTGAGGGAGTTTGGAAATAAGATGATTTCTCTAAGCACAGCGCCAGCATCCAAGCTATAGAAGCTATAGAAGAGGCATCAATCAAATCACGCAACCATATCTCCTTCGTCCAGACTTATCAATCCCTCAAAGTCGCCCATGTCCACATTTTGCATACCTCCAAAATCTGGTACCGGAAAGTCGAAGAGCAGACTGGGGGAGAAATCGAATTCGGAAGTCTGAACCGCTTCCGCTTGGAGACTCGGGCTCCCTGGGCGTGTAGGGGTGGAAAGGAGCGCATAATCCACGCTTTGCCACAAGGTCTTTGCATCTACTGGGAGCAACCCACTATGTTCCTTTCGTGTGTAACTCAGGAGTGGCTTTCCTTCAACGGACTTGCGGAATCGCTCAAGCCGGGTAGCCTATCATTTGTTAGTTTGAAACAATATAACGCGAGAGGAAATCAAGAGTACCATCAGACCCGCATGAGCCCAGTAGCGAGCAAGGTCATGAAGAAAGTCGACGGCATATTTGAAGTGGATATTCGCTTCACCGCTGATTGCCGGGTCATGGTCACTCAGACACAACGCGTGGATAGTGCCCGCAATCATGGTGCAATACGCGTATAGCGATGGAAGGATAAGAACATTTTGGTTCCTCAGGTCCTTGAGCCCTGTGATACTCTTGGCGTGCATTCTGCATGTATCCCACGCTGTCTTTGCAAAACTTGCAGGGGCTCTTTGCTGCAAGCGCTGCAGTCGCTGATGTAAGAGAAAGGGGTGATGGAGGAGGCAGTGGGAGAGGTGGAAAATAGCCTTGGCATAGATAAAAGAGCCCTTCACTTGTTGGTCCGCAGTCCCATTTACCAACCTTCCCAGTGCCTCTTCTGTGGGATCATTCAATCCAAAGTTGACTTCCAGCTGCAGAAGAGAAGCCGAGATTGAAGTATAAGGCGAAGAGGGAGACCAGGGAAGTCCAAGCTCAGAGAATCGATTTTCGTGCAGGGCATAATTCGACACGCGATTCAGAGCAGATCCAATGACGACTATCAGAGCGAGAGGGCAGCATTTCTCCGCCGCCTTTTCGTCTACACGTTCCCCATTGAAACAGTCAAGCGTTGGGCATTCCTCTTTACGGCTGTCTCGAAATGCGACTTCGGAGCAGGGAAGCGAGATGCGGCATACTTCGTCTTGTAAGACTGGGGAACGTTCTCGGGAGAGTGAAATCAATTTATCCTGAAGATAAGCAGACCAGAACACTCTCTTGCGTTCTTCTCGAAACACGGGGGGTAGATCATCTTCTGGCTCCAGGTTCAATCGAGAATGCAAAGCAATCCGGAGAGCAAATCCAAGCTTCATATAGGATCCGGCACAGTTCCCAGCTACAAAGACGTTAGGGTCGATAATTTAAGGGTCAATCGAGGTATGAAAGGGGCATGTTACCTGGATGTTCAATATTAACAAGCAGAATGATAGTTTGTACCACAGCGACTGCCTCTTGATCGTTTTTAGCACCTTCCCATGGTAGATCGAGGGATTCCCATGCCAGCTTGGTAAGGGATAAGGGGTCGTCAGATATGCTTTCGTGTAAATCCGGTAAACTTGAGAACCTTCGTGCAGCGGACAGTATCGCCCATGCAAGGTGGGTAGGAACTTGTCCTGATGCTAGCCGGTGTCTGAGTGTCGCTTCGTGGAATAGGGAATATGGTTGGTTGTGACAGAAGCGGAAGTACACATCAGCTGCAAATAGCAAAGTATGGACGGGAGGGAATATGCTCTGCGGAGTTAGAGTTTGTAGCTGGGGCGAGATGTTCGTCATGATACTACTTGCACATCGGGACTCTGACAGTGGGCTTTGTGGCTGTGGAACCAAGGCAGAGGTTTGCGGTCTCGTTTCGATTATGGATGCCAATGATGCCAACAACGGTTTGATTCTAGACACGATGGATAGACGTATCAGTTTGGGTCATCAGAACCTCCACGTATAAAGAAAAAAAGGGGCGGGGTAAGGTATCAGTACCCTGAAATGGCATTTTCGATATTCCCTAGACGATCGTCGAGGCTTGCGAATTTCAACTGCATTTCGTTCTACTCCTGGTCAGTCAAACCGCAATGAGGGTTAATAGGGGCTTAACCGAATGGAATCTTCTTCACCTTAAGGAACTCGAGCGCCTCCTCGTCCGGGGATAGATGAAACGAAGCTCGCCTGTTACTCCGGCCATCTTCTGTGTATACGCAGGTTTGCGACAGGCGGCTACAGAAAGTACAGACGGGCTTCTCGCCACCACATTTGACCTTCTTCCGCCTACGAAAGTCGCGTTAACAATGTATATGTGATCATGGAATGGGCGAGGCTTGTTCTCCTTTCTCCAGTGGTCGACATTTACCTGCAATTGAGACAAGCCTGCCTGATGCGCTTCCTCCGGTTGTTCTCTCCATCCGAGTCCCCCGCAGACTCAGACATTACATCTGAAGCCTAGCAAGCGCCGACAAGCCTGTCGCGTGCAAAAAAATATATGTTGAGTGATTAAATAAGGTGGGCATGGAGGGATATCGGTGGGATAGAGTCGAATCCGATAGGTCCGTGACTGTGAAGGGATAGACAATGATGAATTGGGGGCTGGGGAAACAGTCGGGGAAGATGAGGGAACAGATTACTGCAACAGAAGTGCTGGCAAGTAGCAAGCCAACGCTGGCTCCCCACCAGAAGAACGGATGCATCACTAACAATAATTAATACCCTAACAGTGGCCCCTATTCAGGCGCAGCGGCCCAGCATTACCCAGTACCCAGGCTGCTAAGCTATACTTATGCAGCCAGTAACCAAGTGGCCATTAGCAGGAGCAAGAAATGGGGAATGCGGGGAAGCGCCACAAGTGGGGCTCTATGCAGACTTCCCCAGATCACGCCTCTAACTACCCTAGACACACAGCACTTCAACATGAACTTCCTGCGTCCAGTTGCTCAGCAAGGCGTAAATAAATGAAGAAGGTCTTGAAAGTTATTTATAGGTGCCTGGTCTCATAGTAATTGGTGTTATGTTGGGGACGCTTAGACATATTTGATATAATGTTCAGGTAAAATACACAATCTTTGGTGAAGGTCGTTTTACACGATAACTTCAGCGAAGAGCTGCTCCATATTTGGTCGCTGTTGCTTACGTACGCGTTGAATTCTCGTGTCTTACGATAAAACCACTTAAGTCACATATTTTCCACACTTTCAAATAGTGAACTGATGCGATACTACAGGTGCTTCTCTTTCTGCTCTCCGGACGTGTTGTCTGTTGACAGAGAATCTTGTTCCGAAATAGCATCAGACATCCTACAAATCCTCCAATGAGAGCAGACACTGTGGGTACGGTTAAATGACCGTCCCCACTAGCCATCAATGACCGACCGATCTTCGGCGGACTCTCGACTTACAAGGTTGTGAGAACCGACGCGCCCGTCATACCCGACGCGTCCAATAATCGCCTTCTGGCGACAACCACTGCCTCGGCCGTGTAGGCCCTTGATAGAACTGCTGGAATTATATAGTACATTGAAAGTACGGAGTACCTAGCATCGAATTGAACATGCATCCCTGAGAGACAATTATGATTATATGCCACTGACTTGCCCTCGGGCCTCGGCAACTAAAGACAGAATTCTTTGAAACACGGCCAACACAAGAACATAATAACCAAAAAATACCATTCTCTAAGGTTAAACGTGTCTATTATAGAGATTGAAAGATCCCTTTTCACTTTGCAGCATCCTTGCAGCAACCGAATTTTGCTTGCTTGGCTCGCGAGGATGTCAACTCCTTTTGCGCTAGGGAGCCCAGGATTGGAAACCGTCGACCAATTGGAGGACGAGACTTGCTGGGCAGTGCAGCATGACAACCTAGGATCTACGTGTGCCAAAATCTACGTTGAAAATGTGTACTTCGAGGTCCCAGTTTTGGATATTGGAGCGCTATGCACATCTTGGCAAAACCACAAGGCGCCATTCTTGCCTGAAAGCCCACTCCACCATGCTTTGATTCTTGCAACTGTGATGTGGCTGGATAAGTCTACTCTGATTCGTCACGGGTTTACGAGTCGCGAGGAAGCTTTTGATGTTCATTTCAATGATTTGAAGGTATGCATGTCTCCTCGGAAACTGAAGTTGAGAGGGATAGCTAAGTTTGACTTTAGAATTGCATAGCACAAGACACTGAGCCCTTAACAGAGGTTCAAGCTCTTCTTCTAGCTATTTATTCCTTATCCTGCTCCGGCATTCGATCTGGGAGAGACCAATCTAGAGGATGGCTACAACGAGTCGCCGACCACCTCAAACAGGATCTCTCAAGAAAGACCAAATCGAAAGTGGCAAAATGTTCTTCCCTGAGACGACGTATATGGTGGTCAGCTTTTATCGCTGAGCGTCTTCACTACTTGCGTTATGCGCTCGAGGAGCAGACAGAAAATTTGAACCCGTCATTTGAACTCAGTCGGCAAACAGCTATGCCGTTGACAATGGAGGATATAGGGTCTCAGTACTATTTCATGGTCGGAGAGACTGCAGACGAGTACTGGTGCAGACTGCAGAAGACATCTTGCTTTCTCCAACGAAAGCTTATCTGCGAGCAACTCGATCAGATAGTCTGCAGCTCGAATCCATTACAACCCCCTGAGGGGATCACACCGGACACAGCGAAAAAGATCTCGGCGGTAGCGTCGTCTGTGGCGTTGTTCAAACATGATGTCTATTTTGCCACATTACAATCGCTAGGCGAATTCTTCCGGCTTTACCAAGAAGGGCAAGGTAGGCCGGATCAGACTGATTTGATGAACGACGGTAACTGGGCGTTGGCAACGTTGCGGCTCAGCATATCCTTGCTCTTCGCTCGGGCCTTGCTGGCAATGGCCCGGGTACCTATGAATACCTCTGGGGTCCCAACTAGACAAGTTCATGTATGGGATATTGTGAGAGACAGCATTGTCAGCGATATGGCCAGGATAATTATTCAAGGGGCAACAGGCGCCTTGCACCAAGTCAATATCAATGAACTCCACAGCACAGCCTCCATTCTGCCTTTGAGAGCCGTTCTATGTGCAACCAGGGCATTCCTCTACCTGTCAAGCTCACGCACTTCCAGGGACTACTCCTCCATGAGATCTCAGCTTGACGTTCTCCTGGGGACGTGTATAGCGGCTAGCGATGAACTCTGGACAGAAGGCGCATTCATCGATGGGGATAGTACACCCTATCTTCTCCCTGAGCTCAGCACCATGGCAACAACTCCAACCTCCAGCTCCGCTCCAACACCAACCGGCGAAGATTTTGAAATGTTAAATGGGGCGATAGAGGAGAAGAGAGAGTTGATGAATAGTTTCGACGAATTATGGAATCCACCGAAGCTTGAAAACGCATCACCGAGTAGTATTATAAATGTAATCTAGATATTTAAAACTAATTGAAAGAGCAATCATACGGATGATCGGACCATTATTTATCATATAACAGCGGTGAAACCTCCCAAAGAGACGCATTGTAGGAATACAGCCTGTTCAGGATTTGATCTCGTGCCAACTGCCCGTCTCTTCAATGCGTTTCACCGACTTCCTCATGTCACTAATGTAGTATCTACTTGGCCCTTGCTTGATCACCTTAGGAAGGAAAGGCCAGACCAGAGCCGTATTCCCAACAACAAAATGATACATGAGTGTGTTGAGAGGCGTGGGCTTCAAGTCGTATGCTGCCTGGAACCTCTCGGGAAGCCAATGAGTTGTAAGTAGACGCGCGACTGGCGCGGCGGGATGAAACCATAGGGGTACATGTCTAGGATACATGAGATCCTTGGCCAGACTCTTCGCCCAATCAGTCACCTCCAGGGTGTCAATGTTATGGTTCCAATATACCCAGAAGTCATCTAAAGTCTCTGGCCACATCTCGGGCGGCATGCGTAGGGATGTTGCATACACCGCTGACTCTTTGTACATGACTTCTTGGCGAGCCTTGGGCAACTTTCCAAAGAAAGCCTCATGAACGATGATGAGAGATACGAAAAGTGTTGCAGCTGTCCACTTATGTAGCTCAGGGTCATCAGCGTAGTAGTTTGGGCCCTTGACATCTGCATGTGCAGCGTGAATGACACTGAATATGGCCTCTTTTTCTTCCTGAGTGCCCATTACGGCTGCGTTCAGGAACCTCGCGGTCGTTTTAAGTCGATTCATTATACGGTACGCAAAGTTGGAGTGTTTGAATGAGCCTTCAGCTAGCCCAGGATGGGCAAACTGGCATAGGATTGCAAAATGCCCACCAAGGAGGAAGATGCAATCTTGGGTTAAGCTCCGGAGCTCTCGTGGCTCTTGGATTGTTTCAAAGATGTGAGGTTTGGTGAAGGCAGCCCCAGGCTTTGTGGGCGTCCCATTTCCAAATCCTGCCGGGCAAGCCATGGCGCGAGCACGCGAGAGATATCAGTATTGCAAAGCAAATGCTGGAGAAAATGATTCTTTGTTAGATGGAAGCTTATTGACAACAGCTAGTGGTATTTTTCGACGAGGAACAACCTCCCGCCTTGCCCTTGGCTACAATTAGACTCTTAGATAACAAATTCATGATGTCTAGGAGCCTCGGCACTTTGACCTTAGCCTTGTAAGTGACAGTGATTTCTGACGTATCTATGCGTGACTGATCAGCGGCGAATTGTAAACCCAATTTGGAATCATTTTTACCCCCGCATGCATGGAAGTATGGAGGCGATCTGCCTCGGGGTAGCGTCGCCCACCCTCGTTCCCATTGCGGGGGAAAAAGCCCCGCGACCTGCATCAGCCTACATGTAGGTTGGCACATGACAGACCTGGGTGACAAATGTGTTGGCGTTATCTGATCGTAGATCATGGCCTTGATGGACTACTGTTGCTGACTCAAGAGCCAGTGGCATGCTATGGCGCAAGTTATACGTTTCAAAACATACGATGTGTAGCTAAAGGAGCTCGATGCTTGATTAACTGTCTAGATGCCTTCACTAACTTGATCCAAACCCAAAGCCAAACCCAAACCTCCGAAGTAAACCTTTCTTATGTTGTGACTGACCCAACTGACCACTCTCATTCACCGTTCCAATCAGAAGGGTCTCCCTTTTCGGGGCAAGAACAGCCCTTCTGTGGTGTTTATTGAACTTCTTGGTGGCGTCCTTTCCTGCAACTGCTCTCATAACTGTATCACTTGTTAGAGTGCCATTTGCTATCAGAAGCGCTGGTATTTACCTTTGTAGCCGCCCGGATGCTTGTGTTGAAACTCGGTCATATCATAAACATCATTATCAATAACAACCCATAAGTCTGCGATCGTGTTGTGCGCTGCAATTTCGTCCATCGTGTACGTGGGAAGATTCATAGGCATGGACATTTCTCCATTTTCTGTAGCTTTTTGAAGTGTCTTGTGAACATCCGCTGCTACATTTTCGCTAGCAGACTCGTTGTTCTCAAGGACTTCATCAACCATTCCCATAGAATCTTTTGAAAGAAGATTGTTATCGACCGTCCCTTCTGTCTCGATGAGTATAAGTCCGTCCTTTTCTGAAAAAGGACTTGCTATTTGGTGCTCGAAATGTTCCACTGCGACTTTCTCTGCAGTCGCCACCCCGGGAAGCTGCGGCTCCGGTGACAGGATCAGTGGCTGTGCCATAGCTACAGATGTAACAAGTTGCGGTAGTCGGAGGGATTTTTTTGGGTTTGTCTGCTGATGACAATGTAAGTTGCTGAGAAATACAGTTGCCTGTTAATAAACGTGAGATAGACGGATTATGCCATGCCGAGGCACATCTTCGTTAGTCATGGGGATGACACGGAAAGGATCAGCCCCTCCCACTGCTGTACCATATGACCGGTAAGATGACAATCCGGATAGAGGATCTCGCTGACCTCAAATCCTCGGACGATGCCTTGTGTCAAAAATTTCGGGGCTAAAGTACAACCAAAAGGAAATCAGGTTTAATTATGTGATTATGAGTCAGGTTATCATTTAGCGTTGTAGCTTTGCTATGACCAATTCCCTCAAATCTCTCTTCGAATTCCCATCCCCAAACCAAGTTTCGTTGAGGCCCTTGAGAATATCTGAGAAGGCTCCTCCGCCACTATCACTGGTGCTGTTTCCACCCCGAAGACCATTCAATAAGGAGTCCAAGCCTTCTCCGATAAGATCCAGTAAGCCGCCTAGGTCGGTGTCTCCTGAGGCCACACTCTGCATCATGTCGGAGAGAAGCTGCAAAAGAGGAACCTTGCTTGTGAACCTCGCAGCATTCAAAACCTTCTCCAGATATCCGATATGATTACCATTGACTACAGTTGAGTTTCCGTTGAGACCAAGCTCGATTGCTCCACTCCCAAGAGAAGCCGCCTGGCTGCCTATGACTGCAGGAAGGTTCTTCAGGAATGTATCAAGAAAGACCTGTCCTCGGAAAGGCAGTGTGGAGTTTCCGGGAGGGAGCAGAACATCGAACGCCGAGACCTGACCGATGAGGAGCTGACCGGCCCAGACATTGAATGTTAGGTTTCCCAGGCCAATGGTGAGGTCGGACCAATTGGGAAGGATCATGTCCCCGAGGAGATTGGAGCCGTCCTCAGCAGGAGGGATTTTTATTCGGGCACTAACAAGACCGAATCCGTCGAGGCGATTCAACGCTTTGACCTTGACCGTCTTTTTGAGATTCACGCCAAAGTGAAGCGCGCCTAGATGGGCGGTGGTGTTCCCCTTAACACTGATCTCGGCCTCCTTATTGTTCAGCATCCCCGTCAACCACTTGTCCAGTTCGTCGCGGTCACCAACGCCGACTGTGTTATCATGTACAGAGATCTCGGTATGTCCTTTGACTTTCTGCTCATCAAGACGGACCATGGTATACGGGTTGAATCCCTCAGAGTCTGCATTGTAGAGCCATAACTCTACAGGATCCAGACCGACAGTCAAGCCGAGCGGGACATCCAAAGCAGTCCTGAGGCCAATCAACACGCTATCATTGGTGAGAGCCTTGAGCGTCGCAGAATAAATTGGTAGATCTGTGTCGTCAATGATGCGTTGTGCTAGAGCCGGGATGATTTTGAGGAATCTGTTAATTGATGAATGGTTAGTGATAAGACTTGCGGTGTAACTTCCTTAGAAGCACCATACTTACAGCACTGGCAATCCAATTGCCAATAGAACAATGATCAAGATGGCATAGCATAGCCAATACTTGACCATGTGCTTGCGGAATCTGATGAAAGCACTTTTCCTGTTCTTCTTCTTCTTCCTCCTTTTGTTCTCTTTCGTCCTTTTCTCATCTGGGTGTTGAATATCTTCTATGTGCACAAGATTGATCTTCCCTGGCTTGATGTTGGAATCTGTCGACTGAACCTCAAGTGCTGTAATCCAAGTTAGTGCACACAACATCCAAAGGTCTGTCGGGATTGATGACTTACCACCCGAAGCTTCCTCATACTCCTTGAGAGCCTTCTCCTTCTCCTTTCCGCCCTTCTTTAAGCCCATAGTATTTGTCTGATGCCGAATAAAAAGACGGCGAGGTTGAAGCAGGACTGCGCCGCGACCAGAATGTTATGTTAGCTGCCAAGGCACAGCAACGGTGTTCACTGCTGCCGCCCTCATATAGTATTCTTTTGCGAAGAGGAGTTATGATGTATCCGATTGTTCAAGGAGGGGTTGGGGCTAGCAACGAGGGTAGTCTCGAAGCGGCCGTGATTTGACTGCCCAAATAGAGTGTGGATGTCCTGTCTCCATGTTTGGCGCTGTGATTAACAGCCGTGTTGCAACTCAGGTGGCCAATGGGCACCCATCTCAGTTCCAGTCGCATCTAGTCGTCTATTCCGAGGATCGATCAAGATGAAGGTGTGCTCAGCTGGCCAACAACCGTGTATCATAGCTCTACAAGGATTCCCCAGATGATAATTCACAACTTCTGAATAGACCGCAAAGCCCTACCACCTCGGGTTAGGATCTGCGCTCGGTATTGAATCGAATGCGGGGAAGGTGGTACTATGCATAATGGCATAGGGGAGTACTGGCTGGGATTGCCTCGACCTCCCACGTGATGGCAGAGCTGAGGTTTAGACAGGGAGATTATACATAATGCGGCAATAAAGGCGGGGAGGGATCTGCGGCGGACAAACCAAATAGAATATCGAGGGACAAGGCTTGGCCTGTAGCCCTGTAACTATTATCTGCCATGGCCCGTTGTCATGCACCTGTGAGAGAAGTCCGCCAATAGCGGCGAATCCCAACCCCCCTGCAACATTACATTGGGAGGCAAGTTGTCTCACGCACCTTTGGGCAGGCGTTGTAATATGTTAGCTAGTGGAGGGAGGTGCTCTCTGTATGCCCAAATCTCATTTCACAGCGTGTAGAGTTACCGGATGCGAGCGGAGCACCATTCTCACAAAGAGGTGGTGTCCCCGCTCGTACGATCAACTTTAACCCCCAAGGCTGCTCGCTGACTGATTGGCTCTGACTGGCCTCGGTTTGGTGATTTAAGTCAATCTCCTCACCAGGCTTGCCGAGGCTCGGAATGCCTATAGTTTCTAATGGATGTGCGAGATGACTCGTCAGTAGTCATCGAAGCGACTCAGCGGGGGCCGACATGTTATAGGGCTGACGAATGTCGAGTCAGTAGCGATGGCTGTTTGCACCCCCGTTAGATTGGTGCCTTGGTAACGGATTAGAGAAGTATTGAAGGCCACTTGGTGATAGAGTATTTAAGTCTTCGTAGTCAGTCCGATGAAAGACAGAGAAAGACCTGGATAGTCCACGTTGCAAAAGACCTCCAATTCGACCGGTGGCAATAACCAACTAGTTTTTCTTACAACAATTCTCAAAATATCCTCAAGATGGGGAGTGACACGTTAATCAATGGCACCGAAACGTCGCCTATGAGTGAAAAGCCCAAGGGGGGTTTCCAGTTCAGCAAGGAAGACTTCCTCTCAGACAACTTCAATCCCCAGCACATCAATCTCATTGTTCAGGAGGGAATCATCCTTGGAGGAGGCGCCGCCGCTATATTGCTGCAGGTAGCTAGCCCCGGCGTTGCTCAGGGTGTTAACCAACACAGCAACTTCTCGTATCGTGTTGCCGACCGACTTCGCACCACGATGACATTCGTCTACGCAATGAGCTACGGCACACCTGAAGAGAAGCGAACGATTGTCGACTTGGTTGGCAGAATCCATGATCAGGTATACGGAAAGCTGGACGAAGGAAAAGACAAAGGAAAACACTATGACGCCAACGATCCAGACCTACAGATGTGGGTTGCCGCCACGTTATATGCGATCGGAATCGATATATACGCACGAATCTATGGGAAGATCGATGACGAGGAACTTAATGAGAAAATATTCCAGGAGTACTCCATACTTGCCTGCTCTCTGCGGGTGCCACCGGAGATGTGGCCAAAGACCAGGGCCGAATTCTGGCAGTACTGGGATGAGAAGATTGCCACTCTGGAAATTACGCAGCACGCGAGGGAAGTGGGAGATGACTTGTTGTACTTACGGAAGGCTCCCTTTTACTTCCGCATGTTCATGCCTACTGTTCGTGTTGTCACGGCAGAACTGCTTCCCGAGAGAATGCGTCAAGAGTTTGGTGTCAATAGGCACCCCAGGACATACAAAATTGTCGAGTTCGGCGTGAAATCTATTTACCGGCCTCTTCCCTTATGGGTCCGAAGTATGCCTGTCAGATATTATATGAAAGATCTCAGGAAAAGACTCAAGAAGCATCAAAAGGTTTTTGAGAAGGCATGAGAAGGACATGTCGTTGGATTTGATTCTACCCTTGTCCTCTGGGATGGAAAACAATTGTTACAGTTAAGTGTGGAAACTATCAATAGTCTCTCATTAGTTGGTAGATTGCCTCATGTGGGAATTCCGGGACATTCTTGTGTTGATAGTGTGAGAATTGCAAACCTAAATTGAATGGCTATGCACGTGGTCACTAACTCGCTCGCAGCATGGAGCTGCTCCTTTCCACAACCCGGTAGCGTCTAGACTTCGAGGGAACTTCTTGGTAGAAGTGAACATGCTACGCTAATGATCTATATCTCAGCGGTTCAGATTTCTATAGAGGCCATCAGTGATTCTATTCAATTTCTCCTTTAATATGTATCCTTATAGATAGAATAACATGAATTAACTTAGTGATGTACAGTTCATTCATAATTGACTCGAGGAAAAGAAACTAAAGGAACAGAACAAGTCTTTAGCTGCGTATTGCGCCTCTTATTTCACTCAACGAATGCGCTTCTAGCATAGGTAACGGGTTAGAATGGAGTGAAAGGACACCTTGACTGAAAATTCGAGTCAACTGGGAAGCTTTCATTTTCCTATCAATGATTTTGATTAAGTTAACTGAGCTGGACTTTTGACGATGTTACAGCTGGAGATAATTTCTGTCCTAGCCTTCCCACATAGTTGATACCACTCGACGCTTTCTTGGCCACATGCCACCACAAAAAATGTAAAACATCCCGCCCTTTAATAAAACGAATCTGAAGAATCCGAAAAATCTGATGAGGAGTCGGAGAAATCGGAAGAGTCAGAGGAATCATCAGAGGACTCTTCCACCCGGATATTAAGCTTAGCATGGCTAATCTTTCTCCATAACTTATCACCTTCGCGTTCCAGCTTGTCGAGCTCTGCTAAAAGCTGGTCTTTGCGCTCCTTGTAGGCATCCATACGCAACTGAGCAAGCTCGTTTGCCGCCTCTGTGCCTATATCTGTTCGCTTTTGCCACCAATTCATGAATTTCATTTCATTATCGCAATACTGCTTCTCCGTTTGGCGAATTTTCTCCTCATTCGATTCAAATTGGCTTTTCAAGTCTTTCTTTTTAGCTCTTAGGGCATCCAATTTCTTTTCTTTCGCAGATTTCTCCTTGGGTGGCGCTGCGGATGGTTCGCCGACCTCCTCCTTTGCTGGCGCCTTTCCTTTCGACTTAGCAGATGGCGAGTCACTTTTTCCGCTATCCGATGCTGGCTTGGATTTCTTGTGAGACTTCTTGCGAGACTTCTTTTGGGGCTTGCCTAAAACTTGGGCAAAGGCCTGGAGCAATCCTGATTTTCTTTTAGCCATGTTGCAGTCAGGGATAACTGAAACATCGGTGTTAATAGGTAGGATTCTTCTTCTCAGGAAGGGGTCAATAGAGTTCGGGATGTTGAAGAGAAGCTACCATCAATGCCTCTCTGGAAGGATTGAGGGAAGATTGAAAGATAAGAAAGAAGAAGCTCCAGTTGCCCAATATATATAATGGTGATGCTACGTGATTGGGTGAGACTGGATTGATGATCGGAATATACCCTCATTTGATTCAAAACCCGTTGAAGGTAACACTGGGCTCTGTTTAGGCTTCTGTGAATGAATTTTGTCGGGAGAACCTTGGTGACTAAATGATGAGACATGAGCTGCATATTCTCAGCAGTAAGTCATCGCTATTTACCACTGCTAATCTCGCCACATTCATCTACAAAGTACTTCCATGAGTAAAGCTATAAAGTGAGCCGTACGTTCTTCCTGCACTAAATGGTCGTTTACATCACGGGAAGAGAGATGTTTCATTGTCATGCCTCGTAAACCACACGACAGATGTTAGCTTGGGATTATGCTTGTTTGGCTGAAAAATGGGTTAGAACTCCCACCTTTGTGTCTGCTCGAGACAGAGGAGAATGAGTGCATCCTGTAAATCCCGCTAGGTATGCGGGTTACGGAGAGCTGAAATCTTCGCCCAATAAACAACCCAGATGCACGCAAGCCACCTTGATCTTATTGGTGAGAAGTGAGATGACCTAGTAGGCTTATCACAAAGGATGACACTATCAAGACATTGTGCAGTAGCGCAACTTCTTCTGGGCGGAGTATTTCAAATCTAACGAGGTCTCGCCCTCAGCTCGTCAGCCCAACCTCTGCACATTTGTGTCGTTCTTTTTTTTTTACCTTGCCACTCGATCTGACGGTCTGACCTAGTAGATAATGGATCACGCAGTCTTTGGGGTTCCATCAGCTTCAACATTTCATTTATGAAATGCGTCATTATGTCCAGACAACACAAGTTTCCTCTTCTTGCTTTGTTGTTGCTGAGCTTTCTACTGAATGACTGTGGAGCGCAGGCCTTGGATAAGGATGAGGTCGTTTGGACGACACAGTCCGGTTGGAAAGACATGAAAACATGTGCCAAGTGCAAATTTGATTATCTCTTTTGCAACTGGCCAGGTAGCCTCCAGGGGGACATTGGCTGCAGCACAAATGCCTGCATGTGCCGGGCCAGCACGTTGGGTCAGACACTCAAGAAGGTATCTGAGTCCGTGCTGTCTGCCTGTTCAAATTATGACGATCAACGGGACGCGACAAGCTTCTTGATCGCGTACTGCTCTGATAAGGGCTACACAAGCATCGGCTCTGCGGTGATAGCCAGCTCGACAGGTGCGTTCACGGTGACTGAGACTGTCACAGTGTCGGTTGTGACACAGACAGTGTTCGTGTCCGCAGTTTCCTCAGGATCATTACCACGGCCCCGAATTTTCAGCTGGGCGATCGTGTGGTTTCAAGCGGTGATTTTTGGTCTGGTTGCGCCAAACCTGCTCTTACGTGCAGCACGTTACTGACGTCGCTCACAAATTGGTGCGCCGCCCTAGGGTTTGCATATGCCATTTTCGACTGGGATGATTGTTTTCATGGGATTGGAAATCATCAACGGAAGATAGAAGCTGACAGAGTAGATAGCTAGGGTTACTTCCGAATCTCGTGTCAGTTCACAAACATCCGAAGCAGTGACGACGACGACGAAAGAATCTCGGACAACTGCACCGACTGTGATAAGCACACAGATCGTCAGCAACGGTGCCACGTCAGTAATCACAATCACAAAAGGACCAGAACAGACGCCCTCATCCACAAGCAGCAATGGGAACAGCGACAATACCAACTCATCAGCCCGCGACGGAGATAAGCTAAGCAAAGCAGAGCTGATTGGGATCATCGTTGCTATCGTTGGAGTGTTTATCGCTGCTTTGACTTTGTGGGTGACTTGGAGAGGGAGGAAACGCCGCCGTGCCAAGAGCAAAGCATCGCCAACTACCTTGCCAGATTCTGGACATCAGCTAAAGAACATTCCTGACCAGAACCAGAACGAGGCTTAACAAAGGAAGAATACGTTTCACTTTTTATGATTTGAAGTTAGCATACACACATATCTCTAAGAGTTTCAATCGTACACATTACAAAGTTGCAATACGAACCAAGCCTCGGTATCAACGATTTTGAGTCTATGCTTGGTATTATGTGATACGATACGACTAGTCGAAAGCGATGTGCTGTACCTAACCTACTCTCCCCATATTTTTGGACACTGGTGAACTAGGTGATGTTAAGAGATACGCAACCGGTCGATAACCGTGAAGGATCTCGAAAGGCCTCGATGCCTGTCGTCCTTCCCCACTGGAGCATGAGGTTTTTCGTATGTAGCGGGACTCTTTCCCACCTGACATTCTTCCAGCCATCTCGTTTAACCTGCTCGAGGTCTGCAATCTCTTCGACCAGCCCCCAAGTATCTGTCTTGCGCATCGACCGGAAGACAACGCGGGTCCCGGCGTCCTCGAAGCGGAATACCCTCCAACAGAGCCTCCGCCATTGCTCATGTTCCGAGCCCTCCTTTGCATTCTCAAGTTCGAGTTTCCGATTCTGCTCTGCTATGGCTAGAAAGGCGTGGTTGTTCCATATCCCGTCCCGGTGAGGATATTTGTCCATGATGCGGATCGCCTCGTTGCGGGTATTTGCGTCTCGACAATTCACTGCGACGAACATCAAACGCCAGAGCACGGTTGACTGCATCGAAAACACGCCTTCATCTGCGTTGAGCTCTCTCCTACAGCCCTTGGCCAAGTGCTCACAGAGCTCATTCACCTGGCGAAATACAGGCGTGAGAGCGCTCACTATATCATAGTTGCCTTGCTTGGGGAACATGGCAAAGAGATAAAGTTCGAGATACTGGAGGTGAAGATAGATAGTCTGATGGAACAGGTCCGGGTTGGACGAGCGATTGCGAGATGCGCTCAAGCGCAGCGGTTTGAATGCCCGGTACCAGCTCTCAAGGTAGTGATGAGCGCTGCGGACGAAGATGTCCATTTCGGCCTGATTCTCGAGCTGATCGAAAAAGTTGTCGACATCCTGAAATGTCTCGGTGAAAATGATTAGGCGTGGCATAGATGCCATAAGTTGAGGGAAGTATTTTTGTATTTTGCGTTCGGTAAGGGCCCAATTCTCGCAAGCTTCTGCAAGTGTGGAAAAGCTATCAGGGGAAGAATCCAGGTCGATTTTCCGCCGAGGGTTCAAATAGTAATCGAAGTTTGCATCGACGTTGCCCGCTTTGTAGCCTTTCGCTTGCAAGTCTTGAGCCAGTGTCCGGATTGCGGACTGGCTACTGTCTAGTCGTCCGCTCATCACGGTCTGGGTCTGGACGCCCAGATACACATATACCCTTGCGATCTCATGCAGAAGTTCCCAAGGGTCGGGGGCTATTTTGCGAATATGAGAACTAGATCTATCGTGGGTGAATAATTGCTGGAGTAAGGGGGTCCCACGGGCGATGTGCTGCAATGCCGCTTTCTGGTTGGAGCGAAGAGCCTCAAAGCAGATGAAGAGAATGGAGCCTAACATGAGACTTTGCATGTCCAAGGATGCGAGATTTTCCTGTGCCTGGAGCCGTAGTGCCTTGCAATAATGGTCGACTGCGTTCGTATGATGGAGGGCCTTCTCGGCATGCCCTCCAGCACAACTGGTAGACATGGCTCTACTCATTGCCCCAATTGCTATCGCTGCGTCGCGTAAGACAGGATCCTGACGCGTGATTTGAGGCATGAACACGGCCCATAGCTTACTCGAGGAGTAGCCGCCGAGGAATGATTGAGAGAGATGGCTCCATTGATCGAAATACTGGGCCTCAAGATCGTTCTTGAAATAGAGGGAGTTTATGTCGGGACCACAAGAAAGGATGAACCCAGAAGAGTGATCGGCTTCAATCCCTGCTGCATATCTTACGGATCGATTCTTCCTGGGTTTGATTTGGTAACCGGTACACGTCCGGCCCGACTTGGTACAGTTTTGGCAGTATGGTTTCGCCTCGTCACACCTAACATGCCGTTCCCTATATTCATTTAGTCCGGTATGGGTACTAAGGTGCCTATGTGCTTATTCTTACTTGCCTTTCGCTTGTCAGTATTAAATAGTAGGGGCTGGTGCACGTGTCTTTGGACTTACAAGTCCCACATCCAGTCCGGGATTTGGGCGCACTACTTCGAACCTGCGTCCGCATCGTGGTACAGTAGGATCAATCGGAGTCTCCGGAAGCTTAATAACTCCGTGTGGGATAAATATGAGCGTTTTCCCTGATGATCCGCAAGCTGGACTGTTTGTGTTTGGTTTTACGAAGAAGGGGGATTCTGGAGTGCGACTAAATATGGAGCATCATCCCAGGTTTTGTAATCAAACCCGGGCTATTCCTTTTTAGTCCGGTTTTACGAAGAAGTGGCCCCGAAATCCGCGGCTTTCTGCGGAGCGGCGTCGTGGAGCTTCATACCAAGTAGTAAGACATGAGTAGCAAGTATAAATGAGGCAAGATACGCCTCCTCGATCAATATGAGACCCTCTTTACAATACGAATACAGTTCAATAGCAGCCTAGGAGGCAAACTCGACAATGGCTATCAATAAAGTCCTCGTGCTTGGTGCCACCGGCCCATCAGGCATCAGTCTTCTCCGAGAGCTGCTTTACCGCAAGTACAATACTGTTGCCTATGTTCGCAGTCCTTCCAAGATACCCGACGACATTTCGTCGAACTCTCTGCTCACCGTAAGCTGCCCCATCCAAATGGTAAATTTCACCAAAGAACAATTTCTCAGAAGAACATCAATAGGTCATTAAGGGAGCCATGGATGACAAAGAGGCTTTCACGAAAGCGCTGTCCGGTGTCGATATCATTCTTTCTTTGCTTGGGCCGACATTTGGGTCTCCCATATCGCCCTTTGAGGATTACTACCGGGATGTGGTATTTCCAGCCATGCGCGATAACAATGTCAAGCGCATCATCGCCTCCTCGACCGTCTCTGCACCAGATCCCAAAGATTCCTTTGTCTTCCGCATAACTTTAATGAAACTTCTTGTGAGAGTGCTCGCCCCTGGTGCGATACCATCTATTCAAGCAACCGCAAAAGTCTTTCAAGAGGTAGCGACGGACCTTGAATGGACTTTGTTCCGCTTTCAGAACATTGTGGGCAAGACGGATGAAGAAAGTTTTCAAAAAGATCGGGATGGCACCATTCACGCTGGATATCTTGGTGACTCCAAAATCGCTGGTTGGAGCAATCGCAATGCGATTGCACGGTGGGTGGTTGATCTTGCTGAGAACGGGCAGAGTGGATGGGTTAAACAGATGCCTGCTGTGGGCCAAATCAGCGGATGAAGAGAGACGTCGGTGGCATAGACATAGATTTTCACGGGTACATATATCCAAGGCAATTCCGTAGCTTTAATTAGAATTTAAATTGATCGTTGCTTTCTTAGTCGGAGTGAGGTGAGCCTCTACGGGCAGCAGATATTAGAAGCGTAAAATCTCAACTAGATTCTACGAGATATCAAAAGACATAGGGAAGACAGAGAAGTGCGATGTAATTGTAAGATCCCGATACTGATGATAAGTCTGCCACAGTCAGTACAAGGAGACTGCCGTGGGCAAAATCAGTCAAGACAGCCATGCCACAAAACGAAGCCTATAGCTAAATACCATCAATTAAAACGACTGCAGTAGGGTGCATTTTAATTCCTAAACGCGTTTACTATCGACATAATCCCAGTTGCGCTGTTAATATAGCTACTGTAATTCTTTCCCTTGCCAAAAATCTGCGTCCATGACTGATTGAACACTTGTTTCGACAGAAAAATCAAATTCACTTTTATCTGATAAGCCTGCCTTTATGCCACTTTCAACCTCGGATCTTGATTTATACACTCGTTAAGATCGCTAACTTATGCCTCTGCGTGTTGGTGTTAGAGCGTTCTGCCTTTACGACATAGGGGATACATACATATGCACAGAGTCCTAGCTGAACAAAACGATTATTCCTTAGTTAGGAACCCTTTTGCATGGGAATGTAGAACCTCAATATGATGTCTCGCGTTCGGTTAGCTATACGGCGATATAATTGATGACCAATGCACGTCATCCCATATGTGCTGGTGTAGGGTTGCATTGGGTAAGCGAGGTGAAATCAGCCTCGCGGTGGTGTGATACCCGACTATGATGGGCAATCGTATCTGCTCAAGGCACACCTAATTATCTGAACCTTTTTTTCATCCTTTCCAAGAACCTGCCACATCATATCGGCCTGTCAGAAATAAAAAATCAAACGTCTTACGTCTAGCAGGATTTCCAATGGACACACATAGCTTCAACACCGATGATAGCAAGAGGGGACATCCTCACTATGATTCGCGTAAAGACGAGCAATCTACAGAGTACACGACCACCTACACCTCTGGGACAACCTCCTCGAGATCCTTCACCATGGGAGTCGGAACAGGCACGTCTCCGCTCAGCTCCCTACAGCAGCGACGCCAGCCTGATCTTGGCTTCCGCAATCAACTGGGAACTGATTTGGGGGACACTACACGTACATCATGGCGTACACAGTCAACATCCACAAGATATAACGAGTCGCCTTCCGACTTTAGAGAAAGGCATCTTATGGCCCACGCCGAGGATGAGAAGAGATTCAAGAAGCATATAGATCGGGATTTTGCTATTTTCTTCTGTTTCTTCGCCTTTGTCCTCGTTATTGTTCTTGGTAGCTATGTCTGGGGTCATTTTGGTGGAGGCGAGGCAAGCAGTAAGCAGGGAAGCCCGGCTGTTACCCATCACAGCAGCTGGGCCGTCTGGATTCCTCTGGGCCCTCTATGGGTTGGATACGGCTCGGAAGGTTTCTTGTGGAGTTTTTCTTTGTCATTCTCGTTTTGATTCTATGTATCTATGCGTCGACGGCATAATATCACCATGGCTTTTTGTGGGATGGGTTTCGCTCGCAGCAGTGACTCCATAGCAATGCCTTGTCAGCAATGCCTCATTAACAATGCCTCGTCAGCAACGCGTCGCGTCTCTGATGCACACTCGAGCAGCACTCCTATACAATGTGGTAACGAAGAGAGTAGCAATCACCGCCCTATATCTACCGCTGTTGGTTGGCTCATTCGTTTTTCCATTCCACTTCCTGCATAGTTTTCTCCAGCTTAGTATCTGCCTGCCCCAGACGATCATTGACATCAACGGACACCAAAGAATTAACTTCGGCTTCTAGGCTAACTAGCCGAAGCGTGAACTGTGAACAACTATCAAGCGACATTTAGTCTCGGCAGCAGCATGAAACCTGCATCCATCTACGATCAGGTCCCTCTCAAAAGAGGCCGACCTTCCCAGTTGCAACTGCGCCTTTTATCTCTCGCAGGAGGAGCAGATGACGAGCCGCTTGCTGCACATATCTACGCCACCAGCTTGGATGAGAGTGATCTCCCGATATTCGAGGCTCTGTCCTATGTCTGGGGACCAACTAATGCGCCGGGCAAAATAACCCTGGTTCCGGGCGACGATGCCGGTAACGCCATTGAGGCTGCAAGACACGCGTCGACCTTGGAGGTGACGGCCAACTTGGCCAGCGCCTTGAAGCACCTTCGATATCCTGACCGCGCCCGTGTGCTCTGGGTCGACGCTATTTGTATTGACCAATCCAACTTGGTAGAGCGCAACACGCACGTACAGAAGATGGGCGAGGTATACGAGGCGGCGTCCCGGGTACTAATATGGCTGGGGCCTGAGGCTGATGACAGTACCTTGGTGATCAAAGCACTATCTAGTTTGAGTTCCAAGGTAATGTGCAATCACGCATTAAATTCGATGCAAATGATCGACCAAAACATGGATAGAAGCCTCGCACATCCTCTCGTACCGGTCCCTTTTTCAGAGAATGAATCACGCGGACTGAACAAGCTTCTTCGGAGACCGTGGTTCGGGAGACTCTGGGTCATTCAGGAAGCAATAAAAGGCTCCTCGCGCGCTGTGCTAGTTTGTGGGCATAGCAGTATGCTCTGGAGCAGCTTCACCAACGCCCTATTCTGCATTTTAAAAAAGGATCTCGAAGATGAGATCGAAGAATGTGACTGGATAGGTGATTTCCTGGAACCATTCCTTGATATACACAACACTGGTGCCTGGCCGTCAATGGACAACTTTATGCGGAATACACGCATGATGAGTTGCACGGATCATAGAGACCGCATATATGCTGTGGCACCCCTTGCGGGAGTGCCCCTCAATAAGTTGAAGATCACGCCAGATTACTCCTTACCAGTATCGGAGGTCTATAAGAATTTCATGCTCAAGTGGATAGATTTCAGTCAAACGTTGGGTCTGATGGGCGTATTTGAGATTAACGCCGCTGGGCCGAGCTGGATCCCGGGATACAATTCATCCCCCCAGTGTGACTTTTGGACACACTCGGAGGCATGCTGTGGTATTGCTGCCGACGTGAAGTACCTAGGGTCAAACAAGCTTCGTGTTGCCGGAGTGCAGTTTGCTACAGTTGAAGGGGTGAAGCCCCTACTTATGGCAGAATGCGAGGCCGATTGCATCCTTTCGTGTGTCCGAAATATCACCCCTCGTGGGATCCAAAGCAAAACTTATCCCACTGGATGTCGAGCATCGCTAGCCCTAGCCGCCACCCTTGTTTGTGCTCTGGATCCCATGGACGAACCAGACGAGGACACTGATGTCAGTGGCGACAGTGCCGAGCAATCTTTGCTAAAAATACTTGAAAGTGATAGTGATCAGCCCGACGATAGATATGACATCGAGGATGATGATTTTATGAAGCTATTCTACGTTTCTGGACAGGGACGGAGCCTGGCCACAACCAAGGAGGGATACTATGTGCTTGCTCCCAAGGACACCCAGCCGGGGGATGCAGTCTGCACTCTTCTCGGCCTAGAGAACCATATTGTCCTTCGGCCAGTAGGGAGGAGAGAATACCGAGTCATCGGGCAATGTTTTGTTCATGGCCTTAATTTTGGGGAAAGTCTTCTTGGGGACTTTCCAACAGACTGGTCAAGGGGTAAGGTTCACATTGAGGAAGGTGGAGAGAGTTATTGGACCGTCGACTTCGTAAATCGAAAAACCGGTAAGGCACGGGGCAAGGATCCCCGATTTGATGGTATAAGGCACAGCGAAATATTCTGCGGCAACGAGGTACGTCCAAGAAGCATTTACATCCAGCGAGACGAGTTTCTTTTGAGAGGGGTCCATATCCGAGATTTTATCCTTGTTTGACCTTCATCATCCTCGGTTTTGAGAAGTCAAATCAGAAGTATCGGCTGGGTGTAACATTGGAAAAACCAATACTTCAATTGCCTTCGGTGCCTATTGATTGTAGTTACTCAAGAGTAAGGTTCTGATTCGATCACTCTCGCCCATGACGACACGAGGTAGTTCTATGCCTCCTGAATAGCCCGGTTTGTGAGTTGTAGTCTAATTGGTAGTTTGTTCTTCGTGACTCACAGGCCTACCTCTCCCAAGTTCGTTCCACCTTCCATACCTAGATTATATTGACAACATGAGGCGAGGCCTAAATATAGGGCTGACCCGGGAATAACTGACCCTTGTAAGGCGCCCAAACTATCGAACAGCGTTGCATCCTTCGTATCCTTATTAGCCAAATCCCTGTCTAGGTGCGGCCAAAGTCCAAATGGGAAGATTTATCGGCATGACTCATGAGCACCAGACGATTCTTTGAACATAAATTCCCGTTGCGAATCCACGTTTATACTCAGGTTCTCTATGCACCTGCTCGCTCACATATTTTGCCCATCCAACCCCCCCTCCAATCTCGGAAGCCACTTAGTTTAGTAGCTCACGAGTCCGTCGTTGACGATAAGATGGGTTGCACCAACTCAACCCCTGGCGGCGGCCCTGGAGCCAGGCCGGCCCAGAACACTGCTGCGGAGCAATCACGGCAGATCGAGCTTCCAGATGTTCAATGGGAGATCAACAAAGAGTGGTCCGAAACTATGGAGGCCGAGTGGAAGAACGCTTTTGAAAGCGGGAATGCCAAAAAGTTTCGCGCCTCGTTCCAGCCTTTTCTTGACTTCACTGTACGCAAGTGGCTCAACAAGGAGGAGCCCGCCTGCGCAAAGGCCGGCACAATTGAGGACATGGGGGAAACTACGCTTTGCGTCGGTGGTCGGAAAAGCAAGTACCCGGCCAAAACTATCATCACATTGGATGACGACTTTACGGGTGTTTTCTATTCAGCAACTATGATCATCGCCCCGCCGCTGAAAGGCAAGGGGGCGGAGGAACCCTGGATGAAGGCAAGTGCAGCGCTGCAGACGGAAGAGATGAGGGAGGCTAAAATACACATGCTCACGTTGCTTACTCTGATGCGTGAGCAAGATGCCGTTGTCAAGCACGGCCTGATCCATGTGTTCATGGGCGCGGATCTGGTCAGCTGCAAATTTAGCACCACAGTAAATGAGCCTACGATAACCATGCTCCCTCACCAGGACAAGCCCAACGAGCAGTTCGTGTCTGGAAACGAAGATTTGCGTCAGGCCGCTCTTGCTGACCCGGAAAATATGCCTGTGCAGTTTCCATCATTAATGTTCACTACAGCATATGGACTAGCCGAGCGCGAATATCCAGGTTGCACCACCTGGGACGAAGGGGAATTCCCATTCACTGTTAATGGCGTGCCTTACCCGTATCCAACACGGTTATTAGTGGCGAGGGACTTCAACAAAATGTCCGAGAGAGTTGACTCAAGCTTCTTCAAAGTCGTGACCGCCAAAGACTCAAACGACAGTCCCGAAGCTTTCCTCATCAGGAACTTGGACCCTGAGAAAGACCCAGGAGGCATAGTCTGCATGACCCTGATTCTCGGGATCGATCCCAAGGTGATCTGGCCGAAGTGTGGAGATTACGCTGATAGCCCAGCCATCGCCGCAGCCGAGCAAGCGCTTCATGAGCACGTCAAGACACTCCACAAGAATGGCAAAGTTCGAGCTTGCGGGGTGAGAGTCTGCATTGGAACTGAGAGGAAGAACTCCAAATTTGTCGGCGACGTAGCCACTATTGCGCCAGAGGTTATAGGCCCAGAGTTCCAAACTGTTCCCGAACCAAACAGGCGAAAATACACTGATCTCAGCGGATTCCTGCTCAGTTTAAAGGAGCAGCCAAAGCATGAGCTCTTTGAGTCAGAGAGCCATTTTCAGGCCATCAAGGAGCACATGCGCACCCGTGCACAGGAGAATCCCGAATTCTTCAACGCTATAGTCCCACAGGTAGCGGTCATGTCGGCAAAACACTTTCTGACCACCAATTTCCCAGGGTGCGAGGTGGTGGATGAAGGAGAGTTGCCTGCGACCCTCCCTGATGGAACCGAAATGAAGATCGCAGACACAAGGTTAATACTGGCCAAAGACCCCAAGCAGGAGCCCAAGAGTATTGTTGCAGCATTGCACATAGTCCCTAACCCTACTGGTGATGAAGATACGTTTATGGTCAAAGGCAAGAAAAACTGGCTCGAGTCCAAGGAAATGAAAGAGGCGGAGTACGCCTTACTGGAGTTGCTGAAAAAACTCCATGCGGAGGGCAAGGTCTCCGAGGTGGACTGCATGGCTCAGGTTGTGATGGAAACAGATGCTACCATCTATAAGTTTGTGGAAGGGAGCAAGTTTATAGATTATAGCGATGAGCGCATGGCCCAAATCAAGTGGTATTAGGATCTGACACACATCATTGCATCCTTTAATGTGGAATAGAGACCTGATTTTATTTCCCTTCATTAGTGTTAATTTGTTTCCATTGTTGGATATTTTTCCTTCTTTTAGCTACTTGCTCCATCGTTATTCTTCTTTCAAATCGCTGCTCTTAACCTACGATTTTCACTTAATTGATTTTTGACTCGTCGACGAGTTTGAAGCTCAATGTCTATTTGTAAATAACAACAGTCAAGTGTTTCCGATGTCGGATAGGGTTATGAAGCTGCCTTTGGACTTCCCTCGACTGGAATGAGACAATATCGGATTCTGCACTTCTCCCCCCGCATCTCACTGGTTATTGATGCTTGATCCGGGCTCGTCTTCGCTTAATATTGTAAGCTCTGGCTTCGTCAGCTGTACTAAATACGCGTTTATTATATCATTGGTATCGACCGTTGAGGGGGCCGCATCCTAGTCATGCACAATACCGCTCTCCCTGTGCATCTTGGATACCCTACACCGAGACATATCGAAATCAAAATCGGCATACCAACCTTCGTCTAACAGAACCCTTATCGGTGTCCACGGCTCCTCATCATGAAATTCTCTTCCCTTCGACTCAAACGAAACTTGTATGTGCATCAATGCGAATGTAACTTTCCAGTAGGTAATTACCTCTACCTGCGAAGCTTCAGGTGGAAGAGGCGGAAAAGGCGGAAAGGCGATTACTAAACCCGACAGTAATTATTCTGATCTGCGTGAATTAAATCAAGAGCCATCGATAGATATTATAGCAAGCCGAGCTAGAGTCTTAGTATTCTACCTACAATGTCGGGTACTCGGCAGTTGACATTTCACGGATAATTGTTATATACGAGATCGCCTACCATCGCTTAGTAAAGTAGACTGGGGTAAACCAACACTCCTTTTTTTCTTTTGCCATGGCTCAGACGAGATTCACTTCACAGCTAGTGCCACTTGCTGCAGAGGATCCCTTATATGAAGTCTTAGCTGCATGCCAATCGGACACGAGTAAGGTCAAGATTGATCTTGGGATTGGTGCTTATAAGGATGATAACGGCAAGCCTTGGGTGCTTCCTGCCGTTTCAAAGGTGCGTGGGGTTTCCGTTCTCTTGAAGATCATATCACTCAAAGCACAGATGTGATAGGCCGAAGCGATTTTGCGTCAAAGACTCGACTACAACCACGAGTATCTCCCAATATCGGGCCTGAAATCTTTCACGGAAGCGGCTAGCGAGTTGTTACTGGGTAAAGACCATCCCTCAATTCAGCAAAAGCGCCTATTGTCCATTCAGAGTGTATCTGGCACAGGAGCACTATACCTGGGAGCGTTGTTCCTAGCAACATTAACACCCTTGGCTAAACGAGTTGCCAATATCTCGTTCCCATCTTGGTCCAACCACTCGGCAATTTTCCGCACCGCCGGCTGGTCTATATCGGAATACCCATACTTGAGACCTTGTTCGCAAGAATTTGACCTACAAGGGACGCTGGCCGCGATCGAGGCCTCACCTCCCGATGCAGTCTTTGTACTCCATGCCTGCGCGCATAATCCTACCGGTGTAGACCCGACGCCTGATCAGTGGAAAGAGATTGCTCAAGCGCTCAAGAGGAAAAACCAGCTTCCATTTTTCGACTGCGCCTATCAAGGATTTGCAACCGGTGATTTTGACCGGGACGCATTCGCCATTCGCCACTTTGCAGAGCAAGGACTCGAGTTTTTTGTAGCACAATCATCTGCAAAGAACTTTGGCCTGTATGGCCAGCGGGTGGGCTGTCTCCATTATATCCCGAGCTCACTACTATCAAAGAAGGAGAGCTGGGTCACACTTGCCCGAGTCAAATCACAACTGTCCTCTCTGCAAAGGTCAATTATTTCAAACCCACCACGCTATGGGAGTCATATTGTCTCTCTTGTACTTAACGACCCTGAGCTAATGAAAGAGTGGAAGAACAACGTTCTCACCATGTCAGAGCGCATAGGCAAGGTTAGGAAGACGCTACAAAGCGAGTTTGAAAACCGAGGAACGCCAGGAACATGGAGCTACATCACAAAGCAGGTTGGCATGTTCATAATGCTCGATGTTCGAGCGGATCAGGTCTTGAAATTGAGGGAAGAATATCACATTTATATAAGTCCTAATGGAAGAGTTAGCTTGGGAGGGCTTAATACACACAATATCGACCACTTTGTTAGAGCAGCCGATAGAGTATTGAAAGAGCAGGTGGAACTATGATTCTCAGGGGGATATGGCAAGGAAAGAATCGCAAATATTCAAACGTCTTAAAATTGATAGTATTTGATTCTACTGGCAAATTCATTCATTAATCCTGTTCTTTTCTATTTGATTTGGCATGTTTGAAGTGCGGTTGAGGAGGATAGCAGACGGAGAGAGAGGAATTTGGCTTTAACTCAGCAAGAACGTCTACTGTATAAGTTACGCATATCGCTGAGGTTTTGATCTGGATGGCAATGAGTTGAAGGAAGATAGCCAAACGTTTTTTCTTTGTTTGAGAAAAGTATATAACCATATTCCAATGCTAGCGGTGACATACCTATAACCTAAACATAGGAGTCCCTAGTTCCGATTATCATATATACCATTGTTTATTTGCTCCCCGACTGTGATTGGAACACTTGATGGACGATGTCAAGCCAATTTACCTTAGTCTGTTGTGGCTGCCAGTGTAGAGTATTCAAAGCGAGCTCTGGCAAGGTCCTTGAACTGAGGAAATTATAAATTAGTGTAAAGCATGATATTGGAAGTCAAACACTTACTTGGCAGCTAGGACTAGCTCTGTTGTGTGATGATCATCATTGAATTCGCGTCGGGCGATTTCAGACAACTCAATCGATTTCGGCTGAGCGTTTTTCAAAAACCCCAACCGGTGACCAACCACACCAATTGCTTGAGCTACCTCCAGCCAGGTATGACGACCCGTGTTGGAGAAGTAGATGCCTCGTCTTCCGTATGGTAGGCTCTCTCCGGCCAAGAGTCGCCATAGAAGAAGTTCAAAGAGATCAGCTAAGTCCTGGACATCGACATGGCCTACAGTGTAGGACCCATCACCCACAAACTCGCTTTGACCTTGCCGTATTGCGTTACGAACTAGCATTGGAACTTGGTGAGACTGCTGGCGATACGGTCCTGTACCACGACCAATGATGCAAGGCGGCATCATGATATATGTTCTGATACCACTTTCTTCCCCAGCCTGAACGACAGAGATATCTGCAGTTCTTTGCGGATAGGTTTCTATGTTTTCTCGAAGCTCCTCATACGCGAAGATATCGTCCTGTTCATCGGAGAATGTTCGAGTTTCGACGTATCGTTTCGTGATTCCATAGTCGCCCAGACTTGATGTTCCTGATGTCTAAGAACAATAAGCTTAATCACGGCATTAGAAGTACTTAAAGAAAACTCACGTGAATATAAAATGGTTCGCCACCTAGGGACCTTTTTCTTTGGGCCAGTCCACGGATGAACGCTCGTGGAGATTGCACATGGTGACCATTGGCGCAATGGATAACAACGTCGAATTGACTGGCGATGCTTTCCAATGCATCGGTGTCGTCTAGGCCTTGGAATGGTACAAAAGAGACTTTATCTTCAAGAGCTTTGAGACGTTCCGGGTCTCGAGCAAGAGCTGATATCGATAGCTGCCCTAATCGCGGAGAGGCGAGGAGGTTCGCTAAGACTGAGCCTCCACTGCACGGCAAGACTGTTAACAATGGTTAAGAGGAGCAATAGGTGCTGAATGGAAGACTTACACGTATCCGGTCGCACCGGTAAGTAGTACTCTTTTTTCCATTACTTTGCCAAGGACTTATAATACTAGAATTTGAGTGATGGCGAGGAGGTAGGGTAGGCTGGGTGTGCAGTCCACAACAAGCCTTGATGTCTCTGAACGGGAGAGGATGTCATTCCCACGGACCGGTATAACGCAAGTTTGCAAAAAAAGAATAAGCAAATGACATCTCAATACGTGTGAATAAAAGTAGTAGTATTGCGTATGCATGTAGATTTGTCATCACACTCGCTTGAAATCATCATTGTGGGGGTATACCATGACGGAATATGTCTCAGGTTGCTATGTACACTGGCTGATTTCCTCTCCTAAACCTCTACACAATGGACACGATCTTGAATAAGGATATCGCCTAAATAGCCAGTTATATTGTTGTCTTAGATGAGCCGTGATTGGGCTTTTCGCAAAGCGTCCTCAAGCTAAAAGGAGAAGTCAAATATGCAATCGTGTATACCCATGGTAGGCTGCGATTGCGTTATTTTTGTCTCGCCTGATGGGCTTTTCGATTCAAGGCGGAATATACTTTCCGCTCTCACCTTGCGTCATCTGCATTTTGATTTGTTCTTGTGACGCAATGGTCAAGCGTACGGAAGGAAAGAAGGAGGCTGCTAACTAAAGTATTAGAACCCAAATACTGTCTTCACTGAGTTGGAAGTGCAAGTGCGCATGCACTTTACTTAGTTCTGTAAAAATATGGGTTTAGAAATCGAATTTTACATGGGCCGTGAGGTGGCAATGATCCGACGAAAGACTTCAAGGATCCATCCATAGTCATAACTGTGGGGGTCAAACTGAGGAGAGCGGAAATCGAACTTCTGGGCGGAAAATGGTTTGTGATTTCGGCAATTTTACCACCCAGGCAACCAGGACACATTCCTCTTGTTGATTGGCCAGAGCTGTGGAAGATGTATCCGCACGGCTAGTAGGAAGCAGCCGAGACACTTTCGGGAACGCAGCTTGTATCTGGTAAGAAAGTACATGATGAGTGGGACACGGAGCACTGCAAACTTTCCAAGGCACATGTAGTCCAATGCGATGAGACCTATGGGGCCATAATATGTCAGAGATAAATCGAAAAGTAGGGGAATACACATTAATCACTTGATACATAATCAACTACCTGGGTACTTGATCTCAACTTGAGTCAGCAAAGAAATAGCATTGCAAATTTCCGACAAAATGACATGGGAGCACATAGTGAGGAGATGGCTATCTGCTTGCTCACTGATCAAAACATCCGCAGAGCAGATTCAAGACAGCAAGGGGAATGTTAACAGCGAGCCATACACTTTATCTCTCGAAAGTTGTAGCGAAAGCATATCCGACACAGAAACAAAAGAAAGCAGCGAAGTCACCCGGCGACGTCGATTCCAAACTGCCCTGACTGTAGTAGGGAAGAACCAGTACGGACTAGTCCATGACTTTCCTGTACCGGAAATTCAGAATTCGGATGAGATCCTAATCCGCAACCACGCAACAGGACTCAACCCAATAGACTGGAAATGTGTCGATTACAATTTCTGCCTTCCCAAGTTCCCATGGGTGACAGGCAGGGAGTGCGCGGGTATAGTAGAAGAAGTTGGATCGTCCGTTACTCTGTTCAAGCGTGGGGATCGTGTCTGGACAAGTACGTCTTTTGTCATACCTGTTTTGAATATACTGCCTTATCTATGTTCTAGCCTATCTATCTTGAATACCTGAAGCTAACTTGACATTTTATAGGTACCTATTACAAAGATATTCGCGCCGGATGCTTTCAGGAGTATCTAGTAGTGCCTGCGCACACTGTCTGCCACGTTCCGCATACAATGACGCTCGAGGAGGCCGCGTGTCTCGGCGTCTGTGCGTTGACGGCGGCCGTCACGTTGTGGCATTGGCTCAAGATCTCTATGCCATCACAATTGACCGTCGAGAATGGCGGTGCGGTCCTGCCATCCGTCCAAACTTGGCCTCCCTGCCAAGATGAATATGTTTTGGTTTGGGGTGGTGTGTGTATGTATGTGTGTATGTATGTAATATTTAACGCCGTATAATCCCACGAGGGGCAAAGGGCGTCTATAGCTAAGCTAACTAGATATAGTTATTTTATTACTGATCTATTTAGCAGTCTATATAGAGGGATCTAAAGGAAAGGGCCTATAAGGGTAAGTTCTATTTTAGGCTGGGTACTATATCCTATTTACTACCCTACTATAATATAGAGCTCTAGATAAATCTATAGCTTTTTAGGTATAGGGTAGGTAGAAGTATAGAGTAAGGAGAAGTATAGAGAGAGAAGGAGTTAGTTAGTATTACTTTATAAGTTATAATATAGTACCCTTCTTTAGGGGTTATTAGGGATAAATAATCTATTAATTAATATAAACCTAATAGCTACTAAAGTAGATAGTTTCTAGTAGGAATAGATAATCTTATAGAAGTTTATCTATCTTATCTACTTAATAAAAGATTTATAGTTAGTAGTAACTATTAATTTAATTTCTTAGTATAATAGGGTCTAGTAACTATAGATCTTTATAATCTTTCTATAGTAGAAGATATAAAGATAGATCTTATAGTATAGCAGACTAGCTCTATAGTAGCTATAAATAGATATTAACTTTAGTATCTATATTCTTAGAGAGGGAAAAAAGAAAGTTCCTAGAAGATCTAACTCTTTCTTTTATATACTATCTATAGTAATCTAACTAGAGTTAGTTTACTATAACTATCTCTTATTAGATTAAACCTAGGATCTTACTAAGCCTAAGTTCTTAATATACTCTCCTATTAAAACCTCTATTATCTTTAATCTATAGTTTTTTATATACTCTATAGAAAATTAATATTACTATTTTAATATATTATTAGTAATTATATATATATATATTATTATATTTTATATACTCTATAGAAAATTAATATTATTATTCTAGTATATTATTAATAATTATATATATATATATTATTATATTAATAATTATAAGCTAGCTATATATTAATTCTACTTTATTATAACTTTATTATAATCTTTATCTTTTTAATA